TCATCATTGAATGCTGTCTGCATACTCAAATATGCTTCAAAATGGTAGAAGATCAAATTGCATCTTTGAAAATGTCCGATTCCTCATTAAACTTTGGAGAGATGCAAAAGATTCGCAAATTATATGACGTTGCCATTGAAAAGACGAGAAAACTGGACTCATTATTATTCTGGGTTTTACCTGTTTACTATTTCACTTGCATTGGATCTTTTCAGATGAATTTGGTATTTATCATCTATGAATATAATCCAGTTAGTCTCATGTTGATGATGCGAGAAGTGGTTACATTGGTTCTTGTTACCTTTCACATCGCTAACATAAACCAACTTGCAAATGAAGCCTTTAACCAGGTTTATTCCCTCTCATACAAAGTAGAGTCTGTTGAGATGCAAAATGAGGTGAGATTCAAACGCATTTGTAAAACGATTTTTAATTTCATTTGCATTTTTTCTCTCAATTTCAGTTGCGATTCTTCTTCACTCGAATCAACAGAGGCGATGTTGGCTTAACCATTTTAAAGATCGTTCTCATAACACCTGCTTTTGTCACTTCTTTTGGAACTTTATCATTGACTATTGCTCTGGCAATTCCAACCATTTTCAAGTAAAATTGAATGTAAAGCTTTAAATCTTCATTATAAAACAATCTTAATGGCTTTATGAAATTATATGACTATCCTCAGCATTGTTTTGATTTTTGAAGCGCACAACGAAACACGATGCAGCACAAGTTATTAACTAATACTCTGTAAGTTTTACGAACTCATTATGTCACTGCAACTTCGAATAATAATGTTATAGACTTGTAGAAAACTTTAAGGTAGTCTGTATCATGAAAATTACTTAAAATCGATTTGAATAAAAACTTAATTTCTAGTACTTCACTATTCATCTTTTCAAACAAATTTTATTAATGAAGGACATCAAATTTTGCCTACTAAACTTTTTCGGTTGAATGCTTATTCTAATAACGTTGTTAATTTTACCATATCAAGACTATCAATATTCAATCAAGTCTTTCAAACGAATGCCTTGCAATTCTAAGTGTATGCTTGGTGTATTTCAGATTCAGAATAGTAATATGAGGTAGAGAGGATGGCAATTGAGGTAATTACTAAGTTTAGTTATAAATAATTTATCAAAGTGCAATTTAAACGTTTATTAAGGTAAATAAATAAAACCAGAAAATATTATTCGCATAAAACGTGTCATTACCGAGCATGAAAATTGAATGCATTTTCAAAGCGGGCAAGAAAAGGGCAATTTATAGTTTCCATGATTAATACAATATTGTATTGATTAAAGTACAATTGTCAGCATGGAGAAACCTGAATTCTGATAAGAATCAAATTGTTAGACTAATATTTAATTTATAATTGTGCTTAAAATTCTTATGTCCTTAGGATTTGATATAACTGGCCAGTGTTGGTGCTGCTAATGCAATAGTTAGGGAAATTGTGGCCAGTGAAGTAGAGCAAGTCGGTGTAATAACAAAGATGTCCAAGAAAGTCAGGCCAACATTTGCAAGCGCTATTCGGGTTAGAAACATTTGTATCTAATTGCAATGAGAAAATAAGAAAATTTAGGTTAATAAAAGACTTCAATACCAAGAAAAAGGACTTCTGCTAATTATTAATACATTAGCTCATGTAGAATCTCATGAAACTTAAAATAAACTTGAAAATTGAATTACCTCTTTGCTTACAACAAGTGATTCAGTTTTAAATGAAAAAGAATAAACTTGTTCGTAAATTCTGGTTGCAAGATAATTGATATAAATCATGTGATAGATGACCAAAGAAAAGGTACTAAGTTCTGCAATACATATTAACATAACGTATAAAGTTGGATTTGCAATCGTGTAGATGAAAGCGAAATGAGATTCAACGAGACTGAGCACGAAATAGAAGGCTATATATGGCATCGAAAGAGAATTGATCTTTTCTGTATTTTCAATAGCAATGCAGTAGAGCCGACGAATTTTCCGAATCTCTGGCAATGTTATAGCGCTTTCTGAGATACTCAATATTTGTATCTGGGTCTCAACTTGCAAGAAATAGCTCTGGATGTAAAGGCAAGTTTCAATGAAGAAACAGAGACAAGCGAAATAACCTGTAAGAGCAATTATTCTGATTCCAAAAATGAAGATTCGCTTATACACATCTGATGCTCTGGTCTGATTTCCTAAAATTGTATGTAAATCCACGCAATTGGTACCAAAATAAGCTGCAAAGGCCAATGAAATGATTATCGTGGTGATAAATCGATTTTTCTTCAAATAGCAAGCAACAGTCGGACATAATGTATTGATTTGAGCACTGCGTTCGAAGTGATTGAAGCATTCAATGTATTTGTTTCGTTTCCAGTAAACAAGGAGTATGAGGGTTCCACATGTCATTTGGGTAATCATATAAATGGCATTAGTCGGCGCTCCCATAGTATTCCTTGGATTCCAAATTGCTATCGCCCAAATCAATCCATCGATATAAAGGATGAGCCCAAGAAACAGAAAAATGACTTTACGTTCAAAATAAAGTCCTTTAGCAAGTATTCCAGTTGGTTTGCATATTGCAAACAAATCAGTATTTGTTTCATTTGATTCCATTTTATCCATACTTTTAATTCAACTTTGAAAACAACTTCGCAATTTAGTGAATTAAACTTTTCTTTCAGAGATAAACTAGCAAAATGAAAGCTGATTTCATGTGAACATTAGAGGACCAATAATTCAGTATTGATTCACTTTAGGTTGTCTCATTGATTATAAAATTTGTTATGTATTGAATGACCATCGTTAAATAAGATATTTGTTTGAAATTAGCATTTCGATCAATCAATTTAGGAAACATTTTATTTCGTTGCAAGGTGAAAGGATATTTCGAACAATAAGTTTTGACTAGAAGTAAAAAATGAGCATAAAAGATCATCTAAGTTGAGTCAATTGTATTTTTGATACTAAAGATCGTCATTTCTCCTTGCAAAAAGTCTTGCTGAGATTGTTTTCAAAACTATGTTTTCCATTTAATATAGATAGTTTTCCCAGTAATTAAGTTATCAATCAATGTTTTATTAATTCACAAACTAACCAGCATGAAACTTGAACAGAATAAAATTTCAGCGATAAAACTATTAAATTGTCAGGTTGTTTTCGATAAATGTGATTAATCTAATTCATTAGTTAAATGCAACTAATAATAGAATGTCAAGTTTACTTTATTTTCACGAATAGAGTCCAAATAACAAAGCCAGAATAGTGTCAGCTTTTAACTTGACCAGATCAGCTTTATTATCAACCTAATAGACTAAATCGTTAGACTAAGTTAATACCTAACATTAAACTATCGTGAAATGTCTCAAGTGCATCCTGAAATAGTACAACCTGATGAATATCACCAACCAAGTGGACTGTTTGCGAAGGCACTGAAAACGAAAAATAAAACAATATTATTGCTTCTTCTGCTATCCTTTGTTTTGGGCAGTTTTGAAAGAATTCAGGGTTTGGGGATTAGAAAAGACATAGTCTCATCATGGCGCATATTGTATGTCAATTCTTACTTGGCAATTTCCATCTATCTGATTTTCAAGCGAAAATCGTTCTTTGAATTCATCAACTATTTCGACAGAGAGATTGGTATTTACATGTCAAATTATTCCATCCGTAAATTTATTGGCAAAAATCGGTAACTTTTTTCAATCGGTTATCCATTGATATTCATTCTTTATATCATTACTGGCATTCTTGACATTATTCAAGTCTATCAGCAATCGCAATCATATTATGGACTTGCGATGAGAATACTCTGGAATTTTTTTCGATCAATAATCTACCTGAATCGCTACGTAATCATTCAATTCATCATTGAATGCTGTCTGCATGTTCAAGTCTGCTTCAAAATGGTAGAAGATCAAATTAAATCTTTAAAAATGTCCGATTCTCCATTGGACTTTGAAGAGATGCAAAGGATTCGCCAATTATATGATGTTGCTATTGGAAAGACGAGGAAACTGGACTCATTATTATTCTGGATTTTACCTGTTTACTATTTTATTTGCATCGGATCATTTCAGTTGAATTTGATATTCATCATTTATGAATACCAACCCTTGCATCTCATGTTGATGGTTAGAGAAAGTGTTACATTGATTCTTGTTACCTTTCACATCGCTAACATAAACCGACTTGCAAATGAAGCCTTTAACCAGGTTTATTCACTCTCATACAAAGTAGAGTCTATTGAGATGCAAAATGAGGTGAGTTGAGACACATTTGTAAAACGCTTTTCATTTCATTTTCCTTCGTTTCTCTCAATTTCAGATGCGATTCTTCTTCACTCGAATCAATAGGGGCGATGTTGGTTTAACCATTTTAAAGATCGTTCTCATAACACCAGCTTTTGTCACTTCATTTGGCACTTTATTACTGACCATTGCTCTGTCGATTCCAACCCTTTTCAAGAAAAATTAAACGTGAAGCTTGAAGTCTTTATTATAAAATAATTGTAATGAAATTATATGGTTAATCTCAACATTGTTTTGATCTCCGAAGCACAAAAACGCCGCACAAATTATTATCTAATACTTTCTGAAGCTATCCAAAGTTTTTGATCTAAATTATTGAGAACAAATTATGTCACTGCAACTTCGAATAATAATATAATATTCAAAATTACAGAAAACTTTAATGTAGTCCGATCTGTGCAATCAAATTTGATTAATGAATAAATAAAAACTTTCTTTCCAACACTTAAACTTCACTCAACAAGCATATAACTATGTAAACGCGTGTGGAGGTGCACTACTTGGGATTGAAGGAAATAACCTAAGACATATTGAGACCTAAGTCCTAGACGAGAGATAGAAGGATGGCAATTGAGATAACTACTCAGTTTAGAAATAAATATTAAATAAAATTGCAATTTAAATGTCTATTAAGGTAAATAAATAAAACCAGAAATTATTATTAATAGTTTTCATTCATTATTGATTGAGAAAATGAACAAATCATATAATATTTTTGTACATTGTGAACAAAAACAGTAGATGTAACAATTTTACAGATAAAAAGGTTTAAAAGAGTCGTTTTTAAAAGTATGAGTTTCATGTAATAATTACTCTAAGGTTAACAACATTATCAAAAAAACAATTAATCGAAATAAATAAATAAAGTTTAAAATGATGATGAATCCAACTGTTGATTGTTTTACATCATTCCCTATTTGCTTCAAGAGTTTCGGCCATTTGATGATTCGTTGGTATTTTGATGTATTGATATTAAATCTGGCAATTCAGTGTCTTGTGTTGACCAGAACTAAAATGAAACTCAGGATAGTTAGACCAAAGAGTTTTTGTCAATCGATTTATAAACCAAAGTTTACCATTTCAAAAATATTGAAAAATCAAAATAGAGTAAAATCATTGGAAATGGACGAAGTTAAAGGAAAATAAAAGATTGAATTTAGGAAAAAATATCCAGAAATGAACTGGAAACAATCGAAAGACTGTTGATTGTGTTTGATGGTTTCATTGGAATCTTTGCAGTTGTTTATCCAAAACAAATGGAATGTTATGATGAATGATTATAGCGATGAAAAGATGAGAAAGGAAGAAAAGTATTGAATGAACAATTATTTTCATCGTTGATCGACTATCTTTAACCAATTGATAACTTTAGCTTCAACATTTTCTTTCCAGAAGATATTGGCTCGAATTTTTTCCAATGTTTGTTTCAATGATTGGAATCCTGACCCAAGAGGAACCGAAGAGTAAAATGATGAAACTTGGTTGTAGTCAAATAGTGTTGAAAAATGCCAACCCGTTTCACTAATAATAGCATCAAGGGAAAAGGATCCAGTTCCAAAAAGGTTCAACAAAGTATTCCAATTGGAACGGACAAAACGCCAAGCCAAATGGCGACCAACTGGATTACGAGCAACATGAGTTATAACATAAGCTGTATCTTGAGGTTTAATCTTGTTCCTATCAAGTGAATAATTAAGGAATTGTGATAACAACCATGGATTATGAGTGTGGGCCAAAGCATCCAGAAGTAAACGTTTCTCTGAAGGAATCCTTTCTTTAACATATTTTTGCCAACAAAATTCCCATTCTTCAGTATCGCCCAACATTATTCCAGTTGTGTAAACGGTTTTACGGAAATTTGGTGGCGGTTGATACGCATCTTGAGACCATTTATCAAAGTGTTGTTTAGCGATTCGAATGGTTGTATCTTCACCGAAATAGGCAGCCGCATAGTAAATGGATGATCGCAATTTACGGTCGAGATGGCTTCCTTCATCGATCCAACCTCGTTTCCACATTTTAAGTGCAACTCGAATGAGTCTTAAAATAAATTTACGAAGTAAAGGATGACCTTCCATTATTGAGTCCAATATCTTTAAGTTTATTATCGTTGTGACCCAAGGAACATAATCACGTTCCTTTGATTTTTCAAGATATGATGTGATGTTGAGTGCAATTTGAGGTTGAAGTAGATCCATTCGCATGAACGAGAAAGCATCGTCAATCAAGTTGGCTCTATCTGAAGGTGATAAGAGATGAGTATCAGGACCAGAGCGATCTAATAATGAAATTAATCTTTTCCAATTGTATTCATCGTAATTAACTCGATAAAATCCTGTTTGGTTAACATTTATTTTAAACCAATCAACATGGTGAGGAAAAGGAATCACTGAATTAGACGATGACATCCATATTAATGTGGCATCTCGTGGGTTATGACTGGTAATAAAAGTTATTGGGACAATCCATTGATATCCAAATGGAGATGTATTATTGCCATCCAATTCATCTTCACTTAAAGGACTGGAAAGGTAACGTTTTTGGGTTAACAAAACATGTTCACCATAAGATCTAACACTAATCACTGGATATCCTTTTTGACGAACCCAAGTCTCCATTATACTTGTAACATTTATCACTTCATTTGGCACAATCTGTAAAATATTCAATATTATTAGATAAAAGAATATAAAATTATAATATAAAATAAAAAGAAATATAATTACATTTGAAAATGATCTCCAAAGATCACTTGTTTCAGCATTGGAAAATTTATATTTGGAGAGATAATTTTTTAACCCAAATCTCAAATTATCTGGTCCAAGAAAATTCTTCAACATCCTAATTAAAGCAGCACCTTTCTTGTATGATATTGTATCAAAAAGAGCTTCAATTTCTCGTGGATCTTTAACATCATTCATAATTGCATGAGATGATTCAAGTGAATCTAAGGCTAATGCTTCTTGAGTTGTTGTCAACACAAATTGATCCAACATACGCCAATCTGGATACAAATGATCAACTCCAAGATTCTCAACATAAGAAGCAAATCCTTCATTTAACCAAAGATCATTCCACCATTTCATAGTAACTAAATTACCAAACCATTGGTGAGCAATTTCATGACTAATTACAGTTAAAACCTCTTCTTTAGCTGAATCTGGAGATGTCTTTTCATTGTACATAATGGCAGTTGATCTGAATGTCATTAAACCCCAGTTTTCCATTGCACCAGCACCAAAATCAGGGACAGACACCAAATCAAGTTTAGTTAATGGATAAGTTAAATTGAAAAAAGACTGAAAATAAGTCAATATGGAAACGGCTGATCTTAGAGCCAATTCCCCATGATTAACTTGGTCTCGAGGAGCCAAAACTCGAACATGAGTTCCCTCTTTGGTTCTTGCATCCAAAGGTTTAAAATCACAGACAACAAAAGCAACCAAATAAGTGCTCATTTTAACAGTTGAATCAAATACAGAGAGTCGAAGGCCTTCCTTTGAATAAATCAAAGTATCTTGTTTCTCTGAATTAAAGTAGACATCATGATGAGCTTCATGGACCATTTTCAATGAAAAAGTAGCCTTAAAAGCGGGTTCATCAAAACATGGGAATGCTGAACGAGCCATTGTAGGTTCAAAATGTGTTGTCCCAATGAATCTTTTACGTTCACTTGAACTGTCCATATAAGACGAAATGTAAAATCCTTCCAATCTTTCCTCTAGCGATTTAGTGAAGTTTATTTTAACCACATATTCAGTATTTGTCTCTAAATTGTTTACCAACTTGATATGAATCAATTCAAATTCATCATTTTCCAATACTTTATCAACTGTTATCCTTTCACTTTCATCGTTAAATTTGGTAATAGTGATTTGTGTTAAATTCAATTGTTTACCATGTACTAAAATAAAGTCAACTGCTTCTTCACTGATGATGCTTATTTCAACTGATCCTCGATTAATAAATGTGGTTAAATTTGGATGCATGAAGATATCTGAATAAATATGAGATAATATGAGAAAACATGACAAAAATATGAGATAAATTATTAATAATATTAATATAAATGATAAATGTGTTTATTAATACTAACCATAATGGATGGGTTTAATAAAATTAGGCAATCTTAAATCACTCCAAGGAAATTGTTCCCCATTAGTGGCTAAAAGATGTGAAGAACTTGAATTAACTTGAGTTGTATTGGTTTCTTCAATTGCTCCAATGATATGGCATTGATTTGTTTTAAAGGGACAGGCAAAGGCGCAAATTAAGACAGTCGAGATGAGTAGGATAACAATTAATGCTACCATGATAAGTAATTGATAAAATGAAAAATGTACATGATGAGGATGCTGTTTACGGCAAACACGACGATTACGGCAAAATGGCCCACAATCACCTCTCAATGATTTATTGGTTACTCCATCCACTGATTCACGACAAGTTAAAAAGGTAACATCATCCATTTCAAGATCAGACATTTGAATAATGCTCATAATTGCTATTATATTTGGATCCTTCAATTAAACCAATTCGTATTATCTCGATAATTATTCATCTAATTTATTGATGATTGTAATAACAATAATGATGATTTTGTTGGTGACTTGGAATGGCTTGTTAGTTGCTTTAAAATATATACTGTTATCATATGATAAAGTCCAATTAAAGCAATGACGATGTTGACAATAAGCAAGAGTAAAAAATAAATAACATGAATTAAGATGAGGAAATTGTATTATCACTTATCTTGTTCATTCAATTTATCAATTTAAATTAAACAGAGGAATCATCATAGTGGTTGTGACAGTTAATCAACTAATAATAGTAACAATAAACATAACCATAACCATAATGATAACCATAACAAGACACAAAATGAAACATGAAAAATGTCCAACCAAAAAATATGTAAACAATAGATGGCAAAATGTACAACTTACCGTTTAATTGATTGTATCCAAACATTTAATTATTGATTGTTAATGCCTTTTCATTTGTATTTTCACTGGTTCCAATAGAAATGGTTTATTTCACAGTTATTTGAACACGAATATATTGATCACAGGTCCGGTTGAATTGATAATGAAATGAAAACAAATGGATACAAATGAAGGTAAAGTGTATGTTATAAGATGAACAGATGAAAATAGAATGTCGAGATGAAGATGGAGATGAGGAATAAAGAAATATCAAAAGGGATAAAAGATGATCACGATTTGGAGCCAATTATGTTTTAAGGAATCCAATCCATTGTGAATTCATGTTCAAAGGCGATCAAGTAAATCTGATGGTGAGTATAAATCATGATAAAGTCCTAATGAGACTTGAAATGGTCGCTTCTTTTTTTCCTCCACATCTCATTGTAACCCACAGACTCACTTCTATCAATCTCACTCTGTTTCTCATCCTTTCAGCTTTTCCTCTTCATCTACATCATCTTCAAGTTTCCTCTTTTTTTCTTCTTCTTCTCCTACCAATAACATAAACATCATCTTGTTCATCCTTCCCTGTCTTCCTCTGTCTTCCATGGATTCCTTTCCCTTCCCCTTCAATATTTACTAGATGTTTAACTCACACAATGAGATTGACTTTGTATGCTTAGTATTGAACCATCAATGTAACCCAATCTTTACCGTCATCATCTTGTCTCTGCTTTTTTTTCAGTCTTTTTTTTCAGCCTTCCCCATGGAAGACCAAACATCAATTTGCTTCTTCAATATCATCATCTTCAAGGGAATTGAAGAGTCAATAAGATGATGAGAGAGGAAAACTCGAGATGAAATGAAGAGAGAAGCCAAAGACATGATTAATAGGGAAACCTTTTTTTCGGCCATTTAACTACACAAAATTTTGCTACTGGATTCTAATTTATTTTTTTATTCAACTTCAAAGCCTTGATGGGTTCAGGTTTGTATTCACTACTGAATCTTTCAAGATGATAAATGAAAACCTTGATATTTGTTGAAATACAACTGGTAATGTAGACAGATTTTAAAGGATTAATCTATTCCTGCGACTGAAAATACCAGAAAATGGGTTGCTTAATAGCCTCTAAAAGCCCATAAATCCATATTAACGTTAACCATTGACTATAATCAAACCTAATTTCACCTGACTTCACTCATTAAATCATTTGAATGTTTTATTCACTTTAAAAGCTCAACTGATGTAAGCTGCTTTTAAAATAATTTTTCCATTGTTTTGCTTATTTCATTCTCGTGATAATTTTTTTTCAATCAACTTTTCATATTTCAATAACCATTTTTAAAATTCTAGTCAGTATTTAATATAAATTAGCTTAATTGCCGATGTTTTTATGCCATTTCATCATTTTACTGGTAAAACCCTGATTTTCAAAAAGCGCGGAGATCACTTTAAGCTTTTGCTGAAAGCATACTTTCTGGTTTAAATGCAATGACGGAATCCCGGTTGTTTGTTCACCTTTTTGTCAGCAGTTTGTTTTATTTCATTAACAATGATTTTAAATTTTTATAATCAATTATTTATTTTATTTGTGATTTTTAACTCAATCAGTGGCATTCATAGTTTGCTTCAGTGTAAAGATGATCTTGGCAATGACGTCGACTGGTCAGTTGTTTACAAAATACCCAAAGAATCTAAGAATTACCAATCAAATGGACTTCAAACTGTTTATGTCACAAGTAATGGAGAAACCTCTTGGACACCATCTAAATATTCAATTAACAATATTGAAAATATAATTGGCTCAACATTATTACCCTTGTATACCTCAAGTCCATCCGTAAATTACATTCTTTATTCTGACCAGCCTAACAAAGGGGAACATATAAGTGACAATGGACACTCAAAGGGTGTTTTGATTTTTGACTCATCATCTGGTTTCTGGCTAATCCATTCAGTTCCAGCTTTCCCAAATGATCCAAAGATTTCTCCAAAATATGATTATCCAGCATCTGGGGAAGTTAATGGTCAAATATTTTTATGCATTTCTTTCAAGACGCAAGCAGCCTTACCAAAGATTATACATCAATTACTTTATATCAGACCACATGTTTACAGTAATTCAATATCAGAAACAATGGTTCAACAAATTCCTGAATTGGCTGCTTTGATTAACAAAAAATGGACCAAACAATCTTACAGCCAATCAGACTTTGAAACACTTGGAGGACAAACATTTACAAGCTTTAGTAAAAGTCCAAGTGCTCATTTAGATATTTATTCACAAATAGCCGCTCCATCATTAAAAATTGACTTATTGGCTGAAACTTGGAGGAAAGGTGCTGGTGGCCCATTACCTTCTGAATGTAATCTAACTTATCAAGTTGTTAATATTGACCAAGTTTCTATCCTTTACCCTGACAAACCAGCTGTCTGGTCCTACACTGAAGATCATTCCAAATGGGCAATCAGCGTTGAATCAAATACTCCGATTGTCTGTGTTGGTGACACTAATCGAATGGCATCTCAAGCTAAGCGCGGTGGTGGCTTGGTTTGTATGAAGAATCAAAATGTTTGGAAAACTCTTCATTCATCTGTTCATCAAATCGAATCCTGTCCCAGAACTAGTTCCAAAAAAGACAAGTCTATTTTCACTCGAATCATTAATTTTTTTACAAGCATATTCACCACTAAATTTTCATTACCAGCAAGAACACTCACAAAGGATCGAACCAAAAAAGAGCTTAGATGACAATTATATGCATCAAAAATGTAAAAAAATACCAACGAAACTGAATATACAATTATAATCAGTGATTAAACATATTATTTATTTACTAAAGATGAAAATGAGCTGCTTCATTGGTACAAATTTAATATGAGGAATATTTTTGCATTGAGAATTGCGAATATACATATATGTGTATATAAACTAAGATTGAAAATGATTATGCATGTTGACCATGTTCACGATTGAGGTTTGATTTTAATTGCTACGTTAAATGACTTAGTTTGCTGAGAATTGCTCCAACCCGTCATATATGTTTTATTGAAGAAGCTAAGTTCTTAAATGCTTGTAAAATTTTTTGATGGTTAGTTTGATAAGTCGCTAGCAGTCCATTCCTGTTGTAAACATCGCCAGTATCATTGTGATCAATGGTGTTTCCTTTTAGATCAGTCATCAAACTATTTTGAACCGAATCAAGCACTGCATTAGGAGCACAAATGTCCCATTTTTTAATTGAGGTACTGTGAACATAGGCATCAGCATTACCTTTGATTAGCTGCAATGCCTTATACCCAGAGCCACCGGCAGTTATCATATCATCGGAAATTTAGCTGAGACTTGTAAGACCATCATTTGATGAGATCTTAAATCACCCAATAACTCATCTTTACCATTTTCATCCTTAGATTTTGCTCGACTATGTAACTCTCGATTTTTCATAACGCCAACCACCTCTTTACCTCCTCTTTCAGCTGCTCTTATCAGTGTTACAAGTAGATTTTTCAAATCAATCGTTTGGCCACTAAAAATAAAATCGAAAATGTGTGTCAATAAAAAATGGATACTTGGTTGTGCCACTCAAGTCATACTCAAGAGCTGTGGAAAGATTAGGTTCACGTTTTCTCGCTCTGATATTATGGAGATGAGTCGTTAGTCAATGATGCACTTCCTTTACTCTTTGACCTCATCTCAACAGGACTAGATTACCATTTGATTAACCATGACTACACATACATTGTCCAAATGTGTTTAATACAAGCAACACCGGGATCATAAGTCATTGCCATGGTTTGTACCCTATAACCCAACAATTGGAACCAGTCAAGAACACAAATATCTGGATATTCAAATTTGTAATTGTAACAATTGTAATTGGTAAACTTCAATGGTTCCTCAATGATTCGCAGAGCTTTCAATTTTTGAATGATATTGGCATCTCTCGTTGTCACATAGGTTGGACCATCAGTTCGACTTTCATAGCTTGATACAAGCAAGTACATTCTTCCTCCTCCAATAACACCAAGGTTTCCTCCAACACCACCAATCACCCCTTGGCGTTTAACTTGATTGGTGATTGGTGCTGTAACACTTGAGATTAACTGATGAGGATGTTGATGACGAACCACCGACGATCCAGGATGATGGTGATGGTAGGTATGGGAATGAGAATAGGAATGGGGATGTAAATTGGGTGGTTGATGGCGAAGTGTCGAAGAAGATGGATTTGAAGCTGAGGAGGAGGAGGAAGAGGAACCGGGAACTGGTTGACGGGGAATGGTGAAAATGGTTGTTTGAGACAATGGCGAGGAAATTTGATGATTCAGTTTGAATCTAGGATAGTTGGTACTGTTTCTATTATTTCAAAATAACAATTCAGGGAAGACCTTTTTTTATAAAAAATTATCCAATAAATCCTATCATTCTTTTTCCTCTGTTTAGCATTTTATCTGTCTACTTCTGTCTCTCCATTGGAGTTCAATTGAGCAGCTCTTACCTCTACATCCACTCCCTTTATAATGGATCAAGTACAACAATATTGATGATAAATATAACTACAGTAGAGTCTCCACTTAAGTTGTACAAATTTTGATGGGCGACATCTAACGGAATAAATTTAGGGCTAAATTTTGAGACTTTTTCATGGGTTTTGACACATTAATAATTGATTAAAGATGGAAACCGTCTTTTATCATGCAATTTTGGAAGTATTTCGTTGAATAATTCCATATTTGAGGTTCAATTCACTTCGATTAAAAATTGCAAAATTTTTGATTCTCATAAATTTGTGAAAAACATTAACCCGCTAGGTGGCAACCTAACAAAAATACAACCTAAGTGGGTACAACTTAAGTGGAGACTCTACTGTATATTTACCTTTCTTCAAATATTATATTTCTCAGAATTACAATTCTCGACACTCAAGAGCAAGAATAAAAGAATTCTTTTTTTCTCAAGCTAAATATCTATCATTGTAAACATTTTTCTCGAAGGAGAATCTTGTTTTAATGAAATGCTTGATAAATTGCGCGCAAAAAAAAATCATTTAGACATTTATATCGATTGAAGTTTTTCATGACTTGATTATATGGCCATCATATTGCGGTTCTGCTTTTTATTTATTACAATATTAGACAAGGTAGTTGTAAATGATTAGATCACTAATGTAATTTGCTTATTAAACATAAAAAACGTGGAATGGCGAAATTTCCTTTAATCATTTTTAGACTTTAACCAATCATCATCACCATCATCTGGGAAAAGCAGTGGCGGTGGTTGAAGTAAACTCGAACGACAAGAGGAAATGTAGTTTCGATACCGTTTAAGAGTATGGAAAAACAAATAAGCATTGCTAATAATTAAAGCAACTTTAAGCAACGGATTCTTGAGATAACCTTTATTCATCCAAAGCATGTAATCAGCAACAACTAACGCCATACCAATTACCAAACCAACAGCGGCTCCGATCCATGGTAAATGTTTATCAGATGATTCTTGTTTGTTGGCTTTCTCTTTGCATTGGCGAATTTTTTCACTTATAGATGAGTCTCGGGTTAAATGATAAGCTTTCCTAAAATTAGATAAGGCTTGTTTGTAATTTCCAGTCTCAAATTCAATTGTTGCTCTCTTAAGAAACCCGGTTGGGTTATTTGGAGCCATCAAAATTAAGTCTTTGGCATCTTCGTACGCGAAATAATATTGTCCAATTTTATGAAATGAATTGCACCGTTTCTCTAACAAACGATACTCTCTTGGCTTTGATTTAATGGCATGTGTATAGTGTAAAACAGCTTCTCCGTGATTGTCTTTTTTGGCACATTCATCACCTAATTCTTCCAATTTTTTAATGTTATCCATTGATATGGTGCATGTGATCGGAGCAATTGTCAAAAGATCGATTAATGGAGCTAACAGACCGTCATATTATACCGCTCTTCGAAAATAATATTATTAAATATCAGGTCACTTTATAAATTAATATAATATTTAAAAGATAACTGAATCACAAGACATAAACAGATGTATGAAAAGATTGATAAATCTGTAATCTTATTACAGATTTATTTTTATGTTAGTTGAAGAAAATATTGCTAGATGCCAGCAGAGGTGGCAAGGCAAATCTTGATATTTTCAAAGCTTTTACAATTAAATGTAAATTAAATTAAATTAGCCAACACTAAAACCTTTGATTTTTTCTTATCTGATTCCGATTCTTAGCAAATAACACAAAACCTGATCAAGATCTGGACATCAGCTAGACAATTTCACAAAACAGGAATCTCATACCAATACAGAATCACTTGGACTCGAATGAAGCTGGACTTGAATTTAATTGAATTTGTACCCAAACTAACATTCACATTCATAAAAGACATCTTATCGTTTTATATTATACAATTTACTCATTAATTGTTGTTTCATTTCTCAAGCTATAATATTAAATTCAATTTTCACTATTGGATCCTTTTGGAATTAGCGGTATCCTTATTCCTTTAACAGGTGAAATGAAATAAACTCGCACTTTTTGCAGCTTGTTAATCACACTCAATGAATGTAAATTAAGGTTTCTTGTGTTTAATTATTAGATCAGATATTTATGGAGTGTGATATGTTTGAATATTGAATGCATGCAGTTGAAAGAACAGACATTGGAAAGTATTTCAATCTGAAATAAAATATCTTTATGAAAATCAATCCAGTTTAGGATTACGAAAAAATGTAGCACAAAATGATTTATATACACGAGATTTAAGGGTCAAAATAGGTGAAAGTATAAAAAGGAGATCAATATTAAGGCGTTTTAGGTTAGCGATGTCTGACAAACTCTTCGAGCGGTGTTTTGGATCCTAAAGGAAAACTTCTGATCTTATTTGTACAAAGACAGGTGATCATGTGTTCTCGAATAGCTTTAGGATCATCCGAGAATAAAATGTCCGCTGGATTACGTCGTGAACACAGGGCTTTGGCAAAAGCTATGGCATACAGTCCACACTGTGAATTATCAACTTGTTGGGTAACTTGTTCAAGAAAAAATTTTATCTCCACTGCATCAGGTAACATGGCAAAGACTGGTTTCAACGTTTCATCAGTGTAATCCTTCCGATCCATTGATTTGGAATCATAAATGGAAACATGACCTGGATTGTTGCGAAAAATGTTGGACACTGTAAACCAATGGTTTTGATTTTCATTTAAAATTTGAACAAAAGATCCTTCCACTGGTTTAAAGCCTTGTATTTGAGCCAATAGGACATCCTGTAATCCACCAATATTTGGATACTCTTTTTGCAACAAATATTGACTAGCGTTTATTATAGAATCGGTTATCCACTCCTTTTCAGATTCAAGGATCATCTTGTCAAATTGAGTTAACGTGAAAGATCCCATTTTCCTCCAAACACAATTTTCTGGTCCATTATTCTTGTCTTCGTTGGTTTTTCGATCCATTGAACTTTACATATTAAAAAATAAAAACTCAATTACAATTAAAAAAATTAAAAAATTAAAAAAAAACAAGGAAAAAACAATGTTAAGTTAAAGATGTTATCATTCATCTATTGTTACTCTTAAAGTATCGTAATGGATCTTATTGTTGGCAAACATATGTCGATACCAACCTAACAATACTCCGCTATTTGATTCCTAAATATTTCATACGAGTACTCTAATTGATCTAGCAATATGAATATTTAACACTTCAATTGTTTTTAATTAGTGTTGTATTTACATTTCTAATTTAAAATTTCTTAGACTCTACAATATATTCAGTTCTAATTTTTAGCTTCAATGGTGACATTTGGATGTAAATTAAACTTGGTCTGTAAGTAATGAGTCTCTATTGTTTAAAATTTATGGTGGCCATTTTAAATTCACTTAAATTGTCAAAGGTTTGATCGTTTGATTGCAATTGTTACCTTTACTCAGTTTGATTATGTTTACCACTAATCTAGAGTAGGAAGTTACTCATACTAGACTTTATCAAGAATTGTCTGTTTATTGTTTAATATCAACCTTCTTCGCTCTTCATTCCTACTTCCATCTTCGTCTATATCTTCACAATTTTCATCATTTCTCCCATTGATTAACTCACTTTTGCCTCCTCACTCAACATCCGTTGGCTAAACTGAATAAAAGTTCAAGTTGAACCATCCAATTTCAACTAATTTACAGAATGCTGTTTAACCAACCAACAACAACACCATTATCATTAACTAACAATCATCTCCACATCTAATCCTCTATTTGTGTTCATCTATTCAGTATTAGTGTTATAACAATCTAAATTGATTAATTGGCTTCAATACTTGACAAACTTTGAGCTTTTTCGTTGGTTTTACAGCTTCTGTTGTCCGACAGTTTCATTTGTTTACATATTTTACAACATAACGTTCTTCGCTTTTCATCATGTCTATTGTTCATTTTGTTTTCTTTTCATTCCTTTTTATTGGCATTTCATTTGTAAATGTAACCTACAGCTGGTCAATTGATGATGTTAATCCAGTAGTGAGTACTCGTTATGGTCACATCCGAGGTCGAAGAGACACACCAGTGGGAAATTATCCAAGTGATTTGAGAATCACTTCCTTCATTGGTATACCTTATGCGTCTCCACCAGTGGGTAGCGGTCGGTTTTCTGTAAGTAAAATGATCACTTGTATAATTACATATAAAACGACCTAAACTGATAACTCCATGAAATAACCAGCAGTCATCATTGTCTGCATTTAATTGAAATTTTCCCGTTCAGCTTCACACCTTTTGCACAGTTATTTTCACTCATATTTTGACACCTATTTTATCACTTCATTTTACACCTTTTAACACTTTTTATTGTCTTTTGCTTTTTCAAGAACCCAAAAGAACCAGTAAAATGGTCTGGTTTCCTGGACGCTACCAATCGTCGAGTTATGTGTCCACAGGTTGAACAGAGATTCCGACTTGAATCTGACCCTCAAATTGGTGAATCTGAAGATTGTCTTTATCTCAATGTTCAAGTTCTTAGTCGAGTAAGTTACTTTTCCTTCATTCCTTTCATTTGATTAGTTTAATCAACCAATGTATCAGGGTTTGATATAAACGAATCGAAATTGACAGTTTTAAACAAATGTATATCTCAAGTTAATCTGGGAATGAGTGGATGAATAATCATCACCAAGTCAACACAGTCTTGAATTTTTCAAGATCATCGTGATTCATTCTGAAATTTGTTTCGTCAAGCCTCACATTTTTCATGTTGTTTTTGTTCAACTGAAAAGATAAATTGCTTTGTTGTTTACTTGTCTCGTTATTTTTAAATTGAATGAGTCACCAAATTGTTTATTAACTTATTTACAGTTTTGCCTTGACTTGCTTCAATATCATGATGAGTATTAATATTATTGTTGAATTAAAATTAAAATGGCATTTTATATTCAGGAAAAAAGTGAATTTTTTAGTAAATAAGTTCAAGATAATCGATGCTAAATGGTTAATCATCAGAATTGTACCAGTTTAGCCCATTGTTTTATTATCACTCATATGTACGATTAATTTGATTGAAATGAAAAGGCCATCAAGGTTATTAACTATTGTCACATTTATTAGTAAATTAGGAAAAAGTATTACAATTAAAGTGTTTACCCTCCAAGTTTAGTCATTTGTTTATTGACATGCAGTCCCCCACATTTGAATATTACCGTTAAAATGAAGAGACTAGGTTAAGTCAACTGCTAAAATTACTCACGGAAATTATTATTAAATTATTAGGACATTAATATGATTTTTATTTTGAATTTGTGTCTTTCAATAATCGTAATTATTATTTTATGTATGTTATATAATATCAACCGGAAACATCATTTGTTTTGTTGATTAAAGAGGAGGCTCCTAAAAAGAGAGGGAACCTCTTTTGGTTTCTCATCTCTCACCATTTTCAATTGTAAGTTAATTGTAAATTTACTCTTCTTTATATTATTTTGATTAAAAAAGTGACAAGTTCATTACTTCAGATCACCAGTTTCAATCAAAGAATGAAATTTATGTAACAAGTGGAGACAACGCAGCTTCACACAGCAAATATTATGAAGTCATAATTACGATCAATTTTCAAATAAAAGGCTTGAAAGTATTACTTTCAGTATTGAGATTCCATAAAATTGAAAATTTTCAATCATGGTTTGATAATTGCTATTTATTTTTATCAATTATTCAGGGTCCAGTTACAGCGAATGCTCCTGTTGTAGTTTATTTACATGGTGGAGAGTTCAAATATGGAGGCAAAGATTTCTATTATCTGGACGTTTTACCTCAAAACCTTAACTCTCTTGTGTTTGTAACTATCAACTATCGATTAGGACCTTTGGGTGATTTGGTATTAATTTTCGTTTAACTTGATTAATAACTAATCAATTTTTTGTTCATTAGGTTTCCTTTCTACTGACACTAATGAAGTTCACGGTAATTATGGGTTACGAGATATAATTATGGCTCTACAATGGGTGCAATCCGAAATATCTCAATTCCATGGAGACACGAATTCAGTTGTTCTTATGGGCCATGATGCTGGTGCGATTGCCGCTAACATGCTTATGCTGTCCACTTATAATAAAGGTACAGTTGCGTTTTAGTGATTTATCGTTTAGCTAACTCTTCTTTCTTATTTTTGTTTAGTGTATTTTAATGCTGTTGTTTGCTCTGGAGGAACCGTTTTTACTCCTTGGGCCTTTGAACATCAACCATCTACTATTAGTCGGGAACTTGCGCTTAGTTTAGGCTGTGGGTATACTCAGATTCGTCGATGTCTTCAACAAAAATCTACTTCTGAAATTTTGGCTGTTGCGAGAACCAAAAAGCTGCATTTTCGACCAACAATGGATCGTAACTTGAGTGATCCATTATTCCATGATATACCTCAAATTCAAATTGAAAACGGTTTCTTCGCACGAGTACCATTGATAGTTGGTATAACTGAACAAGAAGGTGCTCTTGATTATTACCGAAATTACCGGCAAATACAAGCTATAAGTAAAATTCAAGATAAAATTAGATATTTGATTGGACCTTTTGTTAAACGTTTTGCAAATCTTGACGTTCTTGCATCTTTAGTACATTATCAATATTTTCCCGATGAAGAAGCTCGATCAGGTAGACAGATTACTACTGTTGGTCGCGGATACAATCAAGGCCAAGTTGATGAACGCTTAGTTCAGGTATTTATCAAAATCCTTTTTCAAAAACTATTTTCTCTAAAGTTTAACCATTTTCTTTAACAGGTATTGGGAGACTTTTTATACACCTTACCAGCTGAAAAAGCGCTGCAACTTCACTCCAGTCACAATCTTATATCAAAACTTTACGTTTACGAAGACAAACAGCCTCGCATTACCTTTGGAATGCTTCAGAGAAATCTGGCATCTGATGTTACCGCTGATAAATTCAGAGCCACTCACATGGACGATATATTTGTACTGTTTAAAACAATTTATTCAAAACAATACGCTGAGGCTAACCCGGCAGCAAATACTCTTCTCTCTTGCATTTTATCAACCATTAAAGACAAGGAGCAAACTTGTAACTGGCAAAATTACCAAACGACAACTCGCTCTTACATTCGCGTTACCCGTCAAGGCTCTGCTTATGGTAGCATGTTTCGTTCTGAGCGTATGGTTGCTTTCTGGAATCATCTATTCTCGACAGTTGAAGCTAGCACCGTTGTCATTCCTCCCTACTTCCCAGAAGCAGCATTTCGATCCTACCAAGCAGCTACATGGTCTTTAGTTGCCATTGTTGTCATTTTATTATTGTTATCATCCAGTTTGGGTGCATTTATCTTCATTAAAAGACGAAATGATAAACAATCACTCGAGTCAATTCGGAAGCCAAATGAGGAATCAACTGAAAAGTAAGGTTCATATTAAACCTAACAATCGCTAACATTGCTTTTACATAGATTATGAAAAATCCTTTTGAATTTGTCTCTCATCCTATCTAAAAAGCAACAATTAGATCCCACTGATAACCAAAGAATTAAAATCTTTCCCAAAACAATAGTAGAAGTAGAAAAGAAACAAATTAACCGAAACCTTTGAATTATCATTTTTCGAGAAAACTAATTAAGGCAACTAATCATTATCTTTTTATGACCAATGTATTTAAATTCAATCTCTTTTTCAGAGGAGACGTAGTTGAACAACTTTAGGAATCATTGACTTGGATCATATTTCTGGTTAACCGATTTACCAGTGGATCAGATGGATTCGTCTAAACCTGTTGACTTTTTTTGAGAAATTTTTTTTAACTCAAATGAAACTTCTTTGCATTTACTTTATCACCAAATTATCCACCATTAATTGTAATAATAATCAGAAAATCTCTTTTGCATGAAAACATTTCAATCTAGTTTAATATTAAAAACTAACACCGCCATACTTTAAATAAATAATATTTACATCTACCACGAATAATGTGAAACCTTTATTTAATACGTACTATCGCAATTAATAATCTGTAAATTGTTTCAACTTTTGTCATCATTCTATTAGTATTTGGTTAAAATAGAACTCAAAAGATGTCAGTGTAAACGTTAGCAATTGTGACTGATTTTATTTTGTTTATATTAATTCAAGAATCAACTTTCAACTTTTGCTGATGAAATAATGTTGAGTTTCTTATCTTGTTCCCAATTCTTACTGTAAAAACAACTAAACAACTTGATAAATCCCCAGGACCCATTAGCGCAGCTTTAAATTGTTGGAATATCATAATTTCATTTGTATGCAAGATAATGAACCAGAATATATGAGGTGAATCATTAAAGACAAAAAGATCGTTGTGAGCTTCAAGCTCTTATTGCCAGAAAGCGAACATAATCTCGATGGTTGTTAAGTTAATTGGTTTCAATTCGCAGCCTATTTGTGGTTCGTTAATTCTTCATTCTTACATCACCAGATGAAATGGATACATAATTTTGTTGGATCTAAAGAAGCCCAAAATGATGATCATATTGGAATGGCTAATAGTGGAAAGCGGATGGTGAATTGAGATCGATGTACTTTTTAATAGAAAGCTGATTGAACTTGAAAATGAGGATCAGGGTTACCGGACTCTTAATATCTTCCTAATGAGAGATTATCTTCTTATATCATCTGACTTTAAACAACTGAGTCAACTATCCTGGTGACAAGTTCAACATATGATAATACATAATGAAGTTTCATTCACGTTCCAGAAGGACCGGTCCTCTTCATCAAGATTAATTCAATTAGATCGTTCACATCGTTCCTGATCATCTTTCGCCCTTATAAAGCTGAGAAAAAAAAGAGAAATATTTTCTCTCTTTGACTTTTATTTTCTCAAATGACTATTTGCTCTGCATTTATTAGCAATAACCTGTTGGTCATCTGTGTGATTATTGTAATGAAAAAGGAAAGATCACACAAAGTGGAATCAACAAAATCAATCTAATCATCAGAAAATTGGTAAGTTGAATTAGAGAGTGAAGTTAAATCAAGTGTTTATTGCAGTTTCAAGGGTCAACATATTTTTTCACTAACAGAAGAAAAAATAAATTCAGTTCATGATCCATGTAGATTATTAGCCGAACTATAAAACTCTGTGTAATTATCTTCATCATCTTCATCTTCTGGTTTCTTGTAATATTTATTGCCCACCTTCTTTTTTTCTAATTATCTTTATCAGCAATTAAAATCACATTGGTTTGGAAAATGTTGTGGAACCAACTTTGACTTCATTCAATGGTACATTCAACCCAGGGTGATCGTATCATCATCATCACCACCAGGTTTCTTCTTTGCTCTTCTTTCAACTTCTTCATCATCATCTTGATGATTAAAGAGATATTGATGAAGTTGATGGTGATTCTGGTGCTGATGTTGATCATCAACAGGAGCAATTATTGATAGAAGGAGAGTTTACAAGGAATAAACCGGATAAGGTGTGATTTAGATTTTTGGTTGCGTAAAGAACAAAAATTTCAGTCAAGTTTGTATTTTGATGAAAATTGTTAATAATGAGCGTCAAATCAAATCAACATACATGTATTTACAATTTACAGTGATCAATCTTGAAATGAAATTGGTTGACCACCCTTTACTCTGCCATAATCTTTTTTTATCATAAACCTTTTTGTTGGTCAATTGTCTGTTCAGTTATAATCGACTGACTCACTTGGAGAGACAAAATTGTTTCTTATTTTTTGTTATTTTTCTGGATCAAATTGGATTAAATTGCTCGATTTTACTTTCAAAGGGAAATCAATCAATTGTTGAGTTGTCAGAATGGATCCTGGACATAAATTATCATCCATCATATGGTTTATATTTATTGTTTCAAGTTATTGTCTAGAAGAAAGTAACATCAATAGGACTTTTATAACAACTACTCAATCATCAAGTAATACAATTAACGACGACATAACAACAATTATCTCAACATCTTCACCTTCACCTTCTTCCAGTTCTTCACCCTCCTCCTCACCACCCACGACAACATCAACTTCATCCTCATCCACATCAACTCCTAGCCCAACAACTATCTCATCTCTACCATCAACTCAATCATCTGAACCTCGAGGTAGGATTGATAATTGTTGTTTATACCAACCATAATAACATAATTCATATTGTTTGTATTGAATCAACCTTTGCTTAATAAGCTATATTTAACATTTAACATTCTCTGTGTTTATTCATCAATCCCAAGCTCAACAAGCGTGCGGATATAACCGTTATCGGAATGATAGTCCATTGACTGAACGCATTGTTGGTGGTAACAATTCAATTATTGGTGAATGGCCATGGCAAGTAAGTAAATTGTTTCGCTCATTTTCAATCAAATCCAACTAATTTGTTCTTTGATGTCCGTTCAAAGGTCTCTCTCCGTTTGATTCACCCACAAGTGGGCAAAATTGGACATTGGTGTGGTGGAGTTTTGATTGACCGTCAATGGGTAATGACAGCTGCTCATTGCATGTTAAAGTAAGTGATAAATAAACTCTCTAGATAGAGCTTTTGACTGATTGATTGATTTTTAGCCCAGTCTTTGCCTTGCCTCAACCAATATTTTGGGAAGTTCGTGTTGGTGAACACAATATGAAATTAACTGAGACCCATGAGAAAACTTATTCAGTAACAAAGCTTTTCCATTATCCATGGTACCGTGGTTATGATAATGATATTGCTCTTATGAAATTAAGTGAACCAGTTGAAACAAATGATCATGTTTCACCAATCTGTTTACCTGATGATCCTCATTTTGATTTCTTTGATGTTGAATGTGTTGCCACAGGATGGGGAAAAGTTGATTACAGTTGAGTATACTTACGATACATTTAAATTTCTTATCCTTCATTAATCTAATTTTGCAATTCTAATAATTAATCAATCTTACACAGACAAAAGAGCAGCTGATGTCTTACAAAAAGTTGAAATAAAAGTGTTTGACAATGAGGAATGTCAGAAAGCATATTTCCCCAAATTCAAGATCTCAATCAGACATTGGCATCTTTGTGCTGGAACTAAAGAAGGTGGAAAAGGAACTTGTCATGTAAGTCTAATCACAATTAATATTTTGATTTGTTGCTTATAATTTTTCTTGATTTGTTGCAATTAGGGTGATTCTGGAGGACCACTTCAATGTAAAGTTGGCAACCAATGGCATCTTGCTGGAATAACATCATTTGGTTCTGGTTGTGCTAAACCAGGTTTCCCTGATGTTTATACTCGAGTTACTCATTTTCTTGAGTGGATCAATCAAATCAAGAGTCTTTATTAACCAACCAAAATAATTACCTCCTTTTGTATTTGATTTTAATCCTCTCACTGATCTTAATTTAATATTTATCGAACCCTTTTGTGATCTATTTTAATTTCTTTACCTCTTTGTGCTTTCTTCATAAATATTCATTAATAAAACTCACGAAACATTGGAACTAAGATTTTTTTATTTTGTATCAAGTGCAAGATAATACTTAGAATAGTGTAAAATTTTCATGACTAATTACAATAAAGCAGGAGAGTTGACCATTAAGCAATTATAGAGCTTCATATGTCCAGTTTAATTTGAATCTGGGATGATTTAAAAGTTACAATGAGATTTATTTTATGTGATATGGAAGATGATTAAATTCAATGAGTCTTTACAATTATATAACACCGGTTTGAAGGGAAAAATAGCTTTTTTTGTACTTTAAACAACTGGCAATGGAAGTGCAATATCTTCTTGAGGAGGTTCTTCAGCTTTTTTATCAGCTTCAGCTTTAAAATCTTCCACTTTCTTAACCAAATCAGTTAACATTTCTTTAGCTTTCTCATTTTCAATTGGACATGCGGTCAATGTTTTGATTAACAGATCTAGTCGATGTGCAGGAAGATGATTGTAAACATGGTGCATAAGCTTGATTAAATGATATGGTACATTGAGTTGGTCAAGGTTGGAAAGGAAAATTTCATCGAAAACAGCTGTGCAAAAATCTTCTAATGAAAATTCATCTGCCATTGGAATCAGGAATGACACTAAACTGTGAAGAATACGATCATCAGATATCCGATTGTCATGACAATTCGATAAAAAACCTAAAACTCGGACAACTGCATTTCGATCTTTTTGACGTAATACCTGTAAAGTATAATAAATGGCTAGCTCAGTAGCTAAACGGTCTTCTGTAATGAATTTTTGATACAAATCTGGAGGAGGTCCTGAATGTTCAATAATAGTTAAAGCTGATTCTCGATCATCAGGAGGTAACTTTGAATTAACAGCACGAACTTGATCATCAACGATTAAGGACATTAACACAGGAAGAAATCGAGTCACCAATTCAACATCGAGTTTAGGTTCTCTATATACTTGCGAATTCAGAATGTCCCATGAATGTAAGCCCAAATTTAACATTCTTAGAATTAACATTAACACTAGGTTTTCACGAGCAAGGTTCTCATTATTTATCAAATTATTGGCTATTTTAATTGCCTTGTTTGCCAAAAAGTTGACAGCATATGGATCACATAAGGTCATGGATAAATCGCCAATTACTTGTTCTTGACCACGCTTGACTCCTTCAAGAAAACCTTGTAATTCACGAGATCTCTTTGGGTCAATGTTTTGCTCTCTTATGCAGGCATCAAGACACCAAGCAAATTTATGGCAAGGATCCATGGAAGTAATATCCTGAATATCGGCATCATGTAAGGCCATCAGCAGATCAACACGTAACGTACAATAGTGACTATTTTTTGTGCTCAAAAAAAGTGTTCGGAGAAATTGCAAACAAGTATCATAAAGTAATACATTGCGACCAATTATTTTCACTAAATTTTGTATTATTTCGCTTTGGCGCCTTTGTTTTGGAGTCATTGCAAAAAAAGATCCTGACTGGAGTGAAAAAAGCATAGTATCTTTCTCTTTTATATATGCGCTAAATAGCGGCGAAACTTCGTCACCGAACAATCCTTGATGCTGTTGCCAGATTTGTCGCTTAACTGAGAGATCACACTTTTCATAAAGCTCTCTATCAGCAACAATTTGTTTCAAATATTTATCATCAATACGTTCTGCAAAAAAGACAAAAGCATCTAAGTTAAACTGCATAAAATGAAGGGAAATTATCTGATAGATTTACCTAAATTTTTCAATAAAGACATAACAATTGGTTGTAAAGTCTGTATCCTTATAACAGGGAAACTTTTTTCCAATAATTCTTTGAGACTTTTTTCTTTATCAGTTGACTCGGATGAAGCCATTTTGTCGATTTGTTTCAGTAATTTATCTTTCAACTCTTCCAATACTGAGTGATGAAAATCGTATCTCTTGACTTCATGGAGGTCCAATAATGGAAGTATTGTTCGTAATGAGGGTAATAAAATACCATTTTCAGTTTGGAATTCTTGGATAGCTTGTAAAGGATCGTTGCAATTTGTTAATGCTTCACGAAGATATTCCCTTCCAGGTATACCAACTTCTTCAAGTCCATTCATCTGTAAATGAAAACATATCGAGATATTAAAGAAGGAAAAGTGACATCACCTAACCATAATTTTTACCTTGATTTTTGATTAAAATAAAATCTCTAGATGACACAAAACAATTTGTTTATTATCGAAATTAGGTAATTAAGCTAACAGTGTAAAATTTGCAGTGAACAAAATTCAAGATTTGAAGATGGTTTCAACTCTACGTTCCTATGGCAACAGGCGGGGAGATCAATTCAGGGAATTGAATTCAAAATTGGATTGAAAAAATTATCCAATTACTGTAATTAATAAATGTTGGCAGAATCACAATAACTTAAGCTAATTATCATGATATAATTATACTGACAATTAAAGTCTAATTCAATGATTACGCACCATTTGATAAATTTCAAATATGGCGGTATAAATATGGTACACAGTCTTGTATACAATTTACAAAATACAAATCTTCATTAAGTTAATTTTGTTTTCGTGGAGCTTTCAATTCATTTTTTATTCCTAATTAATTTTAGATTAACAGTTGAGCTGAACTGCTTCTCCTCTAAACATTGAAAATCCTTATCAGATTCATTATTAAATTTGTTTTCTTCAATCCTTTTTCAACCATGGAGAGTATCCTATCGATTTCATTTCCCTATTTAATTGCTTTGATTTCTCGAGGAATGATAAAAAATGCTGTAAATGAATACATTGGTGATGGAGATGAAATTACATGAACGTGAATGGTTTCACTTTTTGTTCAGCAATGGATTCTGATTATCATTTATATGCTGTTTTATGAAAGTGCAAAGCAGCTTAATGATAGTTATATCTATGGACCCATTCATTTGTTCACTTTGTAAGCATAAAAATCAATTAATGGTATGATTTTGATGACTGATGGCTCCTTATTGATGATGTAAGGAAAATTACTGATCCAGAATGAAGAAATTTCTCGCTTGGTAATGAATCAATAATACCTTGTTCAGAGCCGGGATTAAAAGAAGCAAAAAAAAGGAAATTCTGGTACGATAAAAAGAGGAGATGTGAGTTGGTAAAGAAGTATGTAGAAAGATGAGGATGAAAAAAAGCAAATGGAATGAGAGAAAGTGAATGTAATAGAAGTGAGTCTGTGGGTTAGAATGAGAAGAAGAAAAAGAAGAAATGAAAAGAAAAAAGATCATTTCAAGTCTCATTAGGACTTTATCATGATTTATACTCACCATCAGATTTACTTGATCGCCTTTGAACATGAATTCACAATGGATTGGATTCCTTAAAACATAATTGGCTCCAAATCGTGATCATCTTTTATCCCTTTTGATATTTCGCTATTCCTCATCTCCATCTTCATCTCGACATTCTATTTTCATCTGTTCATCTTATAACATACTCTTTACCTTCATTTGTATCCATTTGTTTTCATTTCATTATCAATTCAACCGGACCTGTGATCAATATATTCGTGTTCAAATAACTGTGAAATAAACCATTTCTATTGGAACCAGTGAAAATACAAATGAAAAGGCATTAACAATCAATAATTAAATGTTTGGATACAATCAATTAAACGGTAAGTTGTACATTTTGCCATCCATTGTTTACATATTTTTTGGTTGGACATTTTTCATGTTTCATTTTGAGTCTTGTTATGGTTATCATTATGGTTATGGTTATGTTTATTGTTACTATTATTAGTTGATTAACTGTCATAACCATTATGATGATTCCTCTGTTTAATTTAAATTGATAAATTGAATGAACAAGATAAGTGATAATACAATTTCCTCATCTTAATTCATGTTATTTATTTTTTACACTTGCTTATTGTCAACATCGTCATTCCTTTAATTGGACTTTATCATATGATAACAGTATATATTTTAAAGCAACTAACAAGCCATTCCAAGTCACCGACATCATTATTGTTATTACAATCATCAATGAATTAGATGAATAATTATCGAGATAATACGAATTGGTTTAATTGAAGGATCCAAATATAATAGCAATTATGAGCATTATTCAAATGTCTGATCTTGAAATGGATGATGTTACCTTTTTGACTTGTCGTGAATCAGTGGATGGAGTAACCAATAAATCATTGAGAGGTGATTGTGGCCCATTTTGCCGTAATCGTCGTGTTTGCCGTAAACAGCATCCTCATCATGTACATTTTTCATTTTATCAATTACTTATCATGGTAGCATTAATTGTTATCCTACTCATCTCGACTGTCTTAATTTGCGCCTTTGCCTGTCCCTTTAAAACAAATCAATGCCATATCATTGGAGCAATTGAAGAAACCAATACAACTCAAGTTAATTCAAGTTCATCACATCTTTTAGCCACTAATGGGGAACAATTTCCTTGGAGTGATTTAAGATTGCCTAATTTTATTAAACCCATCCATTATGGTTAGTATTAATAAACACATTTATCATTTATATTAATATTATTAATAATTTATTTCATATTTTCCTCATATTTTCTCATATTATCTCATATTTATTCAGATATCTTCATGCATCCAAATTTAACCACATTTATTAATCGAGGATCAGTTGAAATAAGCATCATCAGTGAAGAAGCAGTTGACTTTATTTTAGTACATGGTAAACAATTGAATTTAACACAAATCACTATTACTAAATTTAACGATGAAAGTGAAAGGATAACAGTTGATAAAGTATTGGAAAATGATGAATTTGAATTGATTCATATCAAGTTGGTGAACAATTTAGAGACAAACACTGAATATGTGGTTAAAATAAACTTCACAAAATCATTGGAGGAAAGATTGGAAGGATTTTACATTTCGTCTTATATGGACAGTTCAAGTGAACGTAAAAGATTCATTGGGACAACACATTTTGAACCTACAATGGCTCGTTCGGCATTCCCATGTTTTGATGAACCTGCTTTTAAGGCTACTTTTTCATTGAAAATGGTCCATGAAGTTCATCATGATGTCTACTTCAATTCAGAGAAACAAGATACTTTGATTTATTCAAAGGAAGGCCTTCGACTCTCTGTATTTGATTCAACTGTTAAAATGAGCACTTATTTGGTTGCTTTTGTTGTCTGTGATTTTAAACCTTTGGATGCAAGAACCAAAGAGGGAACTCATGTTCGAGTTTTGGCTCCTCGAGATCAAGTTAATCATGGGGAATTGGCTTTAAGATCAGCCGTTTCCATATTGACTTATTTTCAATCTTTTTTCAATTTAACTTATCCATTAACTAAACTTGATTTGGTGTCTGTCCCTGATTTTGGTGCTGGTGCAATGGAAAACTGGGGTTTAATGACATTCAGATCAACTGCCATTATGTATAATGAAAAGACATCTCCAGATTCAGCTAAAGAAGAGGTTTTAACTGTAATTAGTCATGAAATTGCTCACCAATGGTTTGGTAATTTAGTTACTATGAAATGGTGGAATGATCTTTGGTTAAATGAAGGATTTGCTTCTTATGTTGAGAATCTTGGAGTTGATCATTTGTATCCAGATTGGCGTATGTTGGATCAATTTGTGTTGACAACAACTCAAGAAGCATTAGCCTTAGATTCACTTGAATCATCTCATGCAATTATGAATGATGTTAAAGATCCACGAGAAATTGAAGCTCTTTTTGATACAATATCATACAAGAAAGGTGCTGCTTTAATTAGAATGTTGAAGAATTTTCTTGGACCAGATAATTTGAGATTTGGGTTAAAAAATTATCTTTCCAAATATAAATTTTCCAATGCTGAAACAAGTGATCTTTGGAGATCATTTTCAAATGTAATTATATTTCTTTTTATTTTATATTATAACATTATGATATTTTTCAGATTGTGCCAAATGAAGTGATAAATGTTACAAGTATAATGGAGACTTGGGTTCGTCAAAAAGGATATCCAGTGATTAGTGTTAGATCTTATGGTGAACATGTTTTGTTGACTCAAAAACGTTACCTTTCTAGTCCTTTAAGTGAAGATGAATTGGATGGCAATAATACATCTCCATTTGGATATCAATGGATTGTCCCAATAACTTTTATAACCAGTCATAACCCACGAGATGCCACATTAATATGGATGTCATCGTCTAATTCAGTGATTCCTTTTCCTCACCATGTTGATTGGTTTAAAATAAATGTTAACCAAACAGGATTTTATCGAGTTAATTACGATGAATACAATTGGAAAAGATTAATTTCATTATTAGATCGCTCTGGTCCTGATACTCATCTCTTATCACCTTCAGATAGGGCCAACTTGATTGACGATGCTTTCTCGTTCATGCGAATGGATCTACTTCAACCTCAAATTGCACTCAACATCACATCATATCTTGAAAAATCAAAGGAACGTGATTATGTTCCTTGGGTCACAACGATAATAAACTTAAAGATATTGGACTCAATAATGGAAGGTCATCCTTTACTTCGTAAATTCATTTTAAGACTCATTCGAGTTGCACTTAAAATGTGGAAACGAGGTTGGATCGATGAAGGAAGCCATCTCGACCGTAAGTTGCGATCATCCATTTATTATGCGGCTGCCTATTTCGGTGAAGATACAACCATTCGAATTGCTAAACAACACTTTGATAAATGGTCTCAAGATGCGTATCAACCGCCACCAAATTTCCGTAAAACCGTTTACACAACTGGAATAATGTTGGGCGATACTGAAGAATGGGAATTTTGTTGGCAAAAATATGTTAAAGAAAGGATTCCTTCAGAGAAACGTTTACTTCTGGATGCTTTGGCCCACACTCATAATCCATGGTTGTTATCACAATTCCTTAATTATTCACTTGATAGGAACAAGATTAAACCTCAAGATACAGCTTATGTTATAACTCATGTTGCTCGTAATCCAGTTGGTCGCCATTTGGCTTGGCGTTTTGTCCGTTCCAATTGGAATACTTTGTTAAACCTTTTTGGAACTGGATCCTTTTCCCTTGATGCTATTATTAGTGAAACGGGTTGGCATTTTTCAACACTATTTGATTACAATCAAGTTTCATCATTTTACTCTTCGGTTCCTCTTGGATCAGGATTCCAATCTTTGAAACAAACATTGGAAAAAATACGAGCCAATATCTTCTGGAAAGAAAATGTTGAATCTAAAGTTATCAATTGGTTAAAGATAGTCGATCAACGATGAAATAATTGTTCATTCAATACTTTCCTTCCTTTCTCATCTTTTCATCGCTATAAATATCATAATCTAAGCTTTCTGCCAATAACATCATTTTTTTCACTTTCAAGTTAAATTAAAATCTTTGATTGTCTTTCCATTGAACGAAACTAAAAAAACGCATATTATAATTGTAAATTATATTTTCGTTAAAGTCAAATGACTGTTACATAAGTCAGCACAATTTTTAATATTGATTCATCATTTAAAGTTAATCACTAATCAATAAAATCAAAATAAAGTATAATCATTGACTGTTTAACAATCTCGAATAAAGTCATAATCATGTTTAAATCTCTTGTTGGTGATTTTTTTGCTCAGTTGAATCAATTACAAAAGATACATCGGCAAACATATAACATACATTTATAAGAATAGTTCATAATTTTAAACACCAATAAATATATTTATCATTGGTTCATCAGCTAAGGCCTCAAATGATATCAATTACAGTTATCATCTGAATTCATACTTTCAACCTTTTCTATTTTCTATTTCTAATATTTATTAGTTAATCATTTGGCCTTTTCTTATAACTTTACATAAATACAAAGCAATGAACATGAAATAAGACAAAAAAATCAAGGGAAAGTCATTTTGAAACAAATCTTATACAGAGACTGAATCGTTTCATTACAATCTAAATTTTTCAATTTTAACACACATTAAGGTGACAATTACTTTGAATTTGATTGATTATCCTTAGAAACAGATATTCAAAACCAACAGCTAACTGAATACAAAATGATAAAATTTCAATAAATATTATGCTTCCAATTTTATTCAAATCAATAATTATACAATACAACAATGTTAGAGATACAATGCTTTTAATTTGATCAATAAAAATTAAATGAGACCAGACAATAATTGAATTAGTGTTTAAAACCTTGATGGCCGTAAATGTATTATTTGGGATCACAATCAATTTTGATTGAATGGGTTATTTTGGCATGGTTTAAATAACTTCCCATTAGCATCGATTACCAAAATCTATGATCAGAAAATTTGCAAAAGGGAATCAGTTACTTATTAACAGAGGATAAGTTTGAATGTTCAAATAAACTGTTTAAACTGTTATTATAGTTGTTAATACAATTATATATTGTATACACTGAAACAATTATGTTTGGTATCAATAAAATGTCTTGGGTTTTCATCTTTTGCTTTACAGGATGCACTGTCCATCTTGGCTATGTAGTGCATCATTATCTTGAATTTCCTGTGCGAAGTCAAGTGACAATTGAATTTCCTGGAACGATGGAAATTCCTGATATCGATATCCATTTACCATTAGTTAATGCGTTAGATTTGAATGAGCTATTCAATCGGTATCCAGTTGAATTGGAATCATTATGTAAAAAGCTTGGAAGATACAGCTCAAAGGATGATTTGGACAAGGATTTTCGATCCAGATGCTTGCAACTGTTTGAAACCGTTGTAATGCAAGTATATTTAACTGACCTATTAACTGTCGGTGATATTGAGCAGCTTACTATGAACTCCTCTTCATTGATAAGCAATGTCGAGCTACATCGCGAATTCACAGATATTCCCAATGGCACAGTTAGACCTTCATGTAAAATTGAACGGCATTTCAGTGGAATGGGCCTATTTCTGAGAGTCGCCTGTCGAAATGGATCTCAAATATTGAGTAAAACTATCTCCACAAGCAGCGAAACAAATCAATGTTTGCTTCGCATTGGCTATAACATGAAATACAGTTTTGGCTACCGCTTTGTCTCACATGATGATGTCATAAGTACTCGACTAAGCAAATATAAACCAATCTATGAAAGATCAGATGAGATAAAGTTCACATTCAGTCGTTTCCAAAGGACAATTGCCAACTCTCTTCAATGGCCATATCAAACGAATTGTCGAAATTATCATAAATCTCGAGTCTTACAAGATTGCCTTCAGAGTAAATTATCCAACTCGACAGAACCAGTCATTTATTTTGACTTGGTTTATCCTTTTGGCCATTATCCATCACATTACAAATTTTTCAGGCCTGCTAAAGATACAAAGGTAACACAGGCGTTAGAGAAATGCTTTCAGCTAATTCAAACCCAACAGTGCTATAGCGTTTGGTATCAAACAATTAGCACTGTCTATGTTGCCAGACAAAAAGGACAATCTTTAATTTGCTTGGAACCACAAATTGAATATGACGTCGTGTTTACATCGTATCCTGAGACCACATTTTCAGATCTATTAATATACATCAGCAGCATCCTTGGAATATGGTTTGGAATCTCGGTCTATGGAAAGTTAGCTGCAGATCTCGATTGGTTCAAAATTCCCGTTTTATCCAAACCACTGTTTGAAAAAAGAAACATTTCAATAGCTGCAATCACTGATGAAATGGCTGAAAATAATGAAGTGAAAATGAAAAACTAAATTAACTATAGTCAGCATGAAACGTCTTTGTTGGCTTGTAAACTCAAAAGAATCTCAATGTTAAATAACATTATACTAATAGTTTGATAATATGAAGTTCAGGGAAGATTAATAATTGTGTTAAAGAGATTTTCAAATTGATTTGATGAAATAAACCAAATACGTAAGATTTGCGACTTTGAAACCTTAACAAATGTCAATTGATCGCGAATAAAATCAAATAAAAGCTTTCAATGGCTGAAACTAACCATCATCCGAATGAGCTAATTTTGAGATTTTGAGTCCAAAATATTTATATCACATTGTACATTTAAGGAGTTAATTATTTTAAACTAGATTGATCAGAGACAAATATTCAGAACTAACAGCTAGCTGAATACAAAAGCTTAAAATTTCACACTCAAGTCACTCTCAAGTTAACAAAAATGGAGATTCTCTTCACTACTGCAATTTAACAGAAAATAAAAGTAAAGTATTTACCTCTACGATCGAATAAGATTTTGGGCAGTTCCTATTGTTTAGTGTCTCTGAAAACTAGATCTGCTCAAGATGGCAAAAACTGAAATTAACTCAACTTTGGCCTTTTTTTGTTAACTTGAGAGTTGCTTCTAGCTCAATAAATATTATGGTTCCAGTTTTATGCAAATCAATACTTATACAATACAACAATGTTACAGATACAATGCTTTTAATTTGATCAATAAAAATGAAAAGATACAGGACAATACTAGTAATTGAATTACACTAAAAGTCACCTTCAAGTTAACAAAAATCTTCACTTCGTCAACAGCAAATAAAAGGTCCTCTTATGATTGAATTCAAAATGGCCCAGTTTCATAATGTTGAAGGTTTCCGAAAACAAAATATGATCGAACTGAATACACCAAAATAACCGGACTCTTGGCCTTTTGTTAAATTAGGAGTGACTCTTAGTGTAGGGTTTTGAATCTTGATGGCTGTAAATATATTATTTAAGAGCACAAGCAATTTTGATTTTATATGTTAGTACGAAACTGTGTGTAACTTTTTGCCAATAACTTACCAAAATCATCGATTGCCACAATCAGAAAATTTTCAAAAGTGAATCATTTATCAACAGAGACTAACTTTAAATCTTAAGACAAACTGTTTAAACTGTCATTGTTATTGTTAAGACAATTGCATATTGTATTTACTTAATTATGTTAGATGTTAATAAAAAGACTTGTGTATTCATCTTTTGCTTCATTGGATGTACCGTCCATCTAGGCTATGAAGTAAATCATTATCTTGAATTTCCTGTGCGAAGTCAAGTGACAATTGAATTTCCTGGAACGATGGAAATTCCTGATATTGATATCCATTTACCATTGATTAAAGTGTTAGATTTAAACGAGTTATTCAATCGGTATCCAGTTGAATTGAAATCAATATGTAAAAAGCTTGGAAGATACAGCTCAAAGGATGATTTGGACAAGGATTTTCGATCCAGATGCTTGCAACTGTTTGAAACCGTTGCAATGCAAGTATATTTAACTGACCTATTAACTGTCGGTGATATTGAGCAGCTTACGGCAAACTCATCTTCATTGATAAGCAATGTCGAGCTACATCGCGAATTCACAGATATTCCCAATGGCACAGTTAGACCTTCATGTAAAATTGAACGGCATTTCAGTGGAATGGGCCTGTTTCTGAGAGTCGCCTGTCGAAATGGATCTCAAATATTGAGTAAAACTATCTCCACAAGCAGTGAAAAAAATCAATGTTTGCTTTGCATTCACTATAAAATGAAATACAGTTTTGGCTTTCGCTTCGTCTCACATGCTGATGTCATATCTAGTCGGTATAGCAAGTATCAACCAGTCCACGAAAGATCAGGGGAAAGAGTGATCTCCATAAGCCATTTACAAAGGACAATCGCCAACTCTCTTGAATGGCCATATCAAACGAATTGTCGAAATTATCATAAATCTCGAGTCTTACAAGATTGCCTTCAAAGTAAATTATCCAATTTGACAGAACCAGTCATTTATTCTGAATTTGTTTCTCCTTTTGGCCATTATCCATCACATTACAAATTTGTTAGGCCTACTAATCAAATTAATGTAAAACAGGCATTTGAGAAATGCTTTCAGTTGATTGAAACCCAACAGTGCCATAGCGTTTGGTATAAAACAATCAACAGTGTGTATGTTGTCAAAGAAGATGCTCACTCTGTAATTTGCTTGGAACCCCAAACTGAATATGACGTCGTGTTTACATCGTATCCTGAGATCACATTTTCAGATCTATTAATATACAGCAGCAGCATCCTTGGAATATGGTTTGGAATCTCAGTCTATGGAAAGTTAGCTGCAGATATTGATTGGTTCAAAATTCCCGTTTTATCCACACCACTGTTTGAAAAACGAAACATTTCAATAATTGCAATCAAGAACGAAGTGAAAATTAAAAATGAAATTAATTATAATCCATGTGAATAAATGAAACTTCTTTATGCTCTGTTGGCTTTAAACTTGTAAACTGAAAATAATCTCAATGTTCAATAAATGTTGAATAACTCTAATACTAATATTTAATAATTTAAAGTATTAATAATGTTATTCAAAAAGATTTTCAATTTGCTTTGATTAAGCAAACCAAATACGCTATGTTTCAAATAAAATTGAAACCTTTACAAATGATACAAGCTGAGGGTGAATCAAATAAAGGCTTTAAATTTCTGAAATTCGCCTGCGCTTGGATGAAATAACCTGATTCATTCCTGGTAAAAGGCCGTAGAAATGTGGTCTTTGGGTTCTTCAGAGTTTCATAATAGCTTGCAAATTTATGTAGAGAATGAGTTACATTGAAATATCGTAATGAAACCTTAACAATTCTTTCTTTCGATTTTTGTCTTCCACTTTTTAAGACAATTTCAGTGTTATGAGTGATCCGTCTCATCATGATCATAGCGAAAGAGATGTTGCATGAATCCAATCGACTTATGAGAATTTGTTTGATTCCAGGAATCCTTAATTTTCCATTCTCTACGACATGACAAGAAAAATTGTAAAAATACTGCAATTGAGGGCATTTCTTTTGTTGAACGTGTGATTTTGAGTCCAAAATATTTATATTACATTGTAAATTGGATCACAAAGAAACTCGAAGTCCTTTTGGATCGCAAATCTTGATTGGTTTCCATTTCCAAATTAATTCCATTTGATATAAAATTTTAGACATTTAATCATTCATAACAGTCCTAAAGAGAAGAAAAATCATTTAGTAAGGTCATTTAATGATATTTATGATGGAAATAAACATTTGATAAAAAGGTAAACTTACTTATAAAATTGTGTTTTAAAGGTGTTGAAAGGTTGATGTTGTATTGATGATTGACCTCATTACAAGTTAATGATATTAACAATGGTTTTGTTTTCATTTGCTATTCATCTCAACAAACCACCACTCAATTGTCAACATTCATACCAATTCAACCTTATTTGTCTAGATTAACATGTTCATTAAAATGATTGTCAAGATAAATTAACAAAAGGTGAACAAAAAAGATTGTAATCTGATTTGATCCTACATTTTCAATAGACAGAGTTTAACAGAGCATTGAACAATTTTTCTTCAAAATAATAAAAACTGAATTAACCTGTAAATTTACCTTTTTTCACGCATTTTCATCTGCCACTCATTCAATTCATTTTTGATCAATTGATGGACTTATTGATGTATTAGGCGCATCTTCATCAACAACAAAATATTAAATACACCTGTAAATAGCTTTGAAAATTAATGGATTGAATTTAAAATGAACATATTTTCCGTAAAAATATTTCAAAGGCAAAAAATAGTTTTTAATGGCTTGATAATTAAGTTGTTGTTGTTGGTGTTTGATTTGTAAGGCACAAAACAAAAAAGGTTTCTAATAATCATTTTTTGTTTCAGCTTAATCATTGGATCAAGACTTATGAAAACTTTACAATTTTGAGTTATTTTTTAAACATGTTTTGTTTTGTAATTGTTTGACAATTTATCAATTCATGCATTGTAAATTAATAATGATAATAGTTATGAAAATGTATTATCTTGTCCAGCGATTCTTAAAGCTGCAAATTTGCTAACCATCACAGTTTACTGTGTAGATTGTAGTCAAGTTGGTTAATTTTGTTTCTTTTTAAACTCTCCCTTTCATTGACCCTGATCACAATAGGTTCATTTAAGTTGCTCAGTCCATCTATTGGATATTTTTACAAAAATATAATCAGTATATATATATATGAAACAATCAAGGGAAAAGATTATAAATATAGAACATAACAACCTTGATTGTGATACGAAGAAATTAACTTCTCCATTATCATTCTCAGTTTTACAACGGACAATTAGCTATAAGTCACATTGAGAGAGGAGAAAAAAGAAACAAAATTAACGACCAATTTAAATAGTCAGTTGACTTTCATCAAGAAATTATCTTTCCTCTATCATTAAACATGAGCAAGTATTTGAATCTCCGAGTTGCCCGTAGTTGAGATCGAAGGATTGGGTCCATTAGTAAAGGCTGATGTCAATAAATTATCACTATTTGAGGTCACACCGGTAACAGTAGCAGCAGCGGCAGCATTAATTATTGTAGATGCTACTGTTCCAGATGATAATGGTGTAGTAGTTGTAGATGATGATTGTGATGTTGATGAGGTTGTTGTTTGGGTAGATGATGAGTTTGTTGTTGATGAAGATTGTGATGATGATGATAAATTTGACAGTATTGTTAATCCGTTTGATGGATTACTAATGGTACTAATATGGTTAACTGCCGTATCATTTTCAACAGTCAATGGTGGTATGGCTACAATATTGACTCCATGAGGTGTGCAGACAGTTGATGTTGTATTTGTCTGATGAATTGTTATCCTATTTACATCATCCTTATAATTGGAGGTGGGGGTTGTACCAGTTCCTCCGGTGCTGGTGATTCCAAGGGCCTGTTGACTAGTATTGGTTGAGGATGTAGTGGTAAGACGAGGTGATGAGTATATTGGATGCCCATTTGAATTGTTGTTACTATAATTGTTGCTACTATTATTATTATTAACAGAGTTATGATCAATTATAGACCGATAACTTGGTGGTCGGCTTATGGGTCGTTGAATAGTATTACATCCAGGCCGATTTAAGGTTCCTAGAAAAGCAATTAAAGAAGAAAGAGAAAAGTTCATTAGTAAATTAATTGAATAACAAAAATGCCATAATTATATGAATAAGTTATAAATTTATTGAATAATGTTTGTGGAATCATGTTAATTATCATTTCTTTTTTTGCTCCTCCTAAGCATACAATTAATTATCGTGAAAGCGTAAATCTGAGCATTTGTTTGCAAATGAAATGGCAATTTACTTGAAAGACTCATGGATATGGATGGTTAAACTCAGCAACTCTCTGTTTAACAAGGAGCCACAAAATTATCACCTAAATCATCTTTTAATAAAATAACCAGAAAGATAATGTCTACGACTTTTGTTCACTCTCCTTATGCCTCTTTTTTTCATTTCTTACAAGTCTTTTGTTTGGTTAAGTTCAAGGATAGCTTCCAAAAAATTGGGCTATGATACCAGATGAGGGGAAACAAGTAATAATAATGCTAATAATAATATTGACGATGATATTGATAATAATAATGACGATAATAATGGTAAAGGAAGGAGGAGTGAAATGATAAGTGATGCGGTAAATTTATTTTAGAGAGTCAATGTTAACTGAGAAGATGCTTTTTGCCCTTGTTTATCCCTGTCTATTTGATGTTAGTTGATCATCTTAACAGTCAAAACGTCTCAGTGTTGAACTTCACTGAGCCGAGGTTTAATTTTTTTCTCTCTCTCTCTTTATGATTTTTTTTTCTTGTAAAAAAAGAGGCTCAAAAAATTCACCTTGGTTTTCATCTGAGAAACTCTGTCAACTAAGAAAAGATCAACTTTGCTATTTTATTTAGCAGTATTGGATTACTTGTATGCAAACCAATGATACTTGTAATATTCAATGTTACATGATAACTTTTTCCTTCTATTCACTTCAACCCATAATAATGGTACAATTTTTGCATCTCATCAACTTTTTCTTCTTCTTCAGTATCATGAAGACAAATTTCGCCCCTAAACTGTTAATTTGCGTGTTTCTAATCATCATCATTATCTTTGAAAAATGCATTGGAAATGGAGTTAGCATAACTAATACGAGGAAAGGATAAGGATGATTTCAACCTGATTGATACGGAAATTGCCTTTCAAATCTTTTAATCAACCAAAATTTTTCAAACCAACATTAATGGAGAAAGAAGAAGAAGAAGAAGAAAAGACTAATTCAGAATATTATTTAACTGCATAAACATGTGTCAATGTACTAAAACAGGTCAATTGATGGTAATGATAATGACAATGATGAAGATGGTAAAGATGATGACAATTATTGTAATGATAGTGATAAATATCAGCAGCTTGATAGTTATTGATGGTCAATAGGTTACAAGTCTAAATGAGTTTAATTCATTGATTAAGTCATTAAATTTGTAAAATTGCAACTCATTTTAGCCTCGATTAATTGTCATTACCATCAATCATTGTCTCAGTGAAACATTAACCAGTGAAAGGTGGTAAAGCAAAAATTGTGCCGATGGATAAAAAGTAAAGTTGAAAACATTTCCAGATGAAGACTCAACGTGAGATAAAAGATGAAGCAAGATGGATTCTTACCAGCAAGACTTGAAGCCGCTGAACTTCGATAAGTAGGCGGAGGTGAAACTGGCGATAGAGAGGTAGGCTGTGTTTGAGAGGATGATCTCTCCAGGAGAAGTAATCTCAATCGATATTCTTGCATGGAGGCTTGATAAGATGGCGGTGGAGGACGGTATTGAAATTCAGGGTAAAACATGGCCCCATAAGGATGATGATGAGCCCCCGAACGACCATGTGGATCTGGTACTCGGGGAAGGAATCGTCTAGCTGTTGATTCCAGTGTACTTCCAGGTAAACCTACAGTGCTTGGTATCTCACCAAAGCCAAAAAGTGCTCTCCATGTTGGTCCATTGGAGGTTAATCTCCATGCGATTCCACTTACAATTATGAGAACCACTCCAACACCTAATGACAGGGAAAGAGAAAAAGAAAATGAAAGTTAAATTAGTCTTTTTAAATAATCCAATTGGGGAATGGGAATAATCATTATTGATCCAAGGTAAACTATTTCAAGGTTGAAATTCATTGATAATCGATTTGGTGAAATCAATAAGAAAAAAAAGAGACAAGTATTCAAAGTAGAGAAGAAAAATGTATTCAAAAATTGTCTACAATTTGCATCCTCAATGTCAACAACCAAGCTATAAGATGAAATAATATTGGCGTTGAATTGATTAATCAACCAATTGAGCAGTTGATTAACCAGTTATGCTTAAGCCTGGAATCTTGGCTCAATTAATTTATTAATTGATCAAAAAATAACAGAAACAGAAAGCGAGTAGAGAAGAGTGAAAAAAAAACTAAACAAAAGCATGTCAAGGTGGTTTAAAGTAAATTAGGATTGTTGGTTTGGTTGATCAATTGACTGTTCAGTTTAAATTAAAATAGATTGAACTTTTCAGCTCTTTTTTTCTCCAGCAAAAACTATGAAGTTGTATCAGAAAATGTGAAACATTTCATTGAATTAAATAACCAGGATAAGAGTGAATAAATACAGTAAAATGAGGCAAAACAATTGGCATAATTTTTGTCATACCAATCATTGAATTATGCAACAGAATCAACCACAATATAATACATAATGTAATAATCAGACACAAGGCTATTTTAACCAAGCAAAGTTAACATTCAGCTTGAAAAATACTCAGCAATTGAAATAATTATGCAAATAAAGTATAAAGAGTTATCAACTACATTAACAAATGGATACATTGTGTAGTTGGAGCTTTTAAAAATGAAAAGCCCACTTTTATTGTCAATTGTTATATACTGATATTCAACTGAAATGAAAAGCTGTCCTTGAATAATTATATTTACCATGAAAAAATTACAAACTAGAATAACCCTTTTCTGATCATCGTCATCATGATTATGGTGATGGCAAGTTAACTATGTTCAAGTCAAAAAGCATATCTGCAACAGTTGACAAGATATGTATGTTGAACTAAAACGTTGGAAACAATCAACGTGTTTACTTACAGTAAACATAATTACATGAAACATTGAGACGTTCTAGTTAACATGTTTGATAATTACCCAGCATATTGAGTATATCATCACAATGAACATTTAAAACTCACAGCAACTAATGAATAGTAGTAAAAACAATAAACGATCATAATGATTGTTTCAAGTTATCGGGGTAAAATTTTTAACTATTCAATTAATTTACTATCACATTATTTTATTGCAAGTTCAACAGCTTGGTCAATATTGAAAAGACACCATTGAAGGTTATCATCAGTGAATAAGAATGATGACGATGATGAAAAATCAAAAATATATCAAATCAATGAATAGTTATATTGAATTGAATGAAGATTTGAACAAAAAAAAGAGTAAAAATCATGTCAACAATCACAATAATAAAGTCTTTTTGATTACATTTGTACATTTTTGAGTGTACAATTTTTTTACCATTTATCCGATTCCCTATTATTGACACTGTTTGGTATTTTGAAAAAAAACCCTTTGAATATGAGTTTGAAAATGATTCAAAATTTTCCCAGTGGCAACGTTTACAGTTGAACAGTTGATTTAATTTTTTTAATTTACACTGTGAAAGATATGAGCAAAGTAATTATCATGTTAATCATCATAACAAATCTACCTTTTGATTCAGGTAAAGTTTAATCGATAAAGTTTAAAGATTTTTAATGTTCAATTGTTTATGTATTTTTGTGAACAATCAATCATTTAGTAATAAATTGATTTTCAAGTTAACTTCAATTTAATTGTTTTTGTTTTTTTCAATTTCATCAAACAAATTTACTAACTTCACCTGTCTCAATCATAAATCAACAGAAGGAGCATTGGAGTGTGGATTACGACAAAGTGCTCGTGCTAAAGCAAAAAGACGGACTACAAGAGAGGCCAGTTTGAATAATAGTGTTCATTCACATTTGGTTCGTGAAAGTGACATGGAAATAGATTTGGAAGTTGATTTGCAAAGTTCATCAAATGGTACTTCAGATGGTCAACCTTTTGCCGCAATAGTTGGTGGCTCATATGCAGTTCCAGGTGACTTTTGCTGGCAATGTTCATTAACTCTAAATGGACGAGCACATTGCGGAGCAACTATAATCAATGAACGATATGTGCTTTCTGCTGCTCATTGTTTAACGTTAGTTTAAAAATAATTTAATAACTACCATCATTTCAGTTAATAATGATAGTCTATTAATCCACCAATATTGCTGAATAATGTAACAATCAAAGGAAAAAGCTTTTAGCTGTTCACTAACCAATTATCAACTTGACATTAGCTTTTAATAGCAGCTCTATGATTAGGAGATTTTTTTGTTTATTGTCAAAATTCATGCTGACAATTGACCTGTTAGAGCTTAAATTAAACCAGGCTAAAAGCAATCGATAATTTATCAGAATCTGAATCTGGATGAGAGTAGAAAAATTTGAAGCAAAATCTGTTTTTTTAGGCCTTAGCATTTTCATAGCCTCTGAAAATAGCCTAGAGAGGAAATAGACTGAAATGGCTATTTCATGGTTGTCCTTTTCATGTGAGAATCAAATGAAACATCAAACCCATTTTTTAAAATGTTGCTAATTTAGATTAATCATTTCATCAGACATCATTCAAATTCATTTCATTATTTTTAAGCGGTCCAGGTAAACTTGCAGTTAGAGCTGGAGGTTTGTTTTGGTATAGTGGAGTAACTTATCCAGTCTCTCGGAAAATTGTTCATCCTGGTTACAGTTCAACCTTAATGAATGATGATATTGGATTGCTTGAGCTGGCTGAACCCATACGCTTTACCAGTGGAACTCGCAATGGGAATGGCGCTATTTGCTCTGCTTGCCTGCCTGAGCAAGGCCAAGAATTTACTGGTAATTCAATTGCATCCGGATGGGGAGCAACACGCGAAGGTGGCTTTAAATCGGATAAGATGAGATGGGTTCAATTGGCTTTACTTCGATCGGACGTTTGTGCTAAAGCATATCCTCACTATAGGTCGAAAACTGAGATATGTGCAGGATTTGTGACCGGAGGACGAGATACATGCCAGGTAAATAGAAAGTTTGATCATTTCCCTAAATTACTTTTAAGTTAAAAAGGTATTAAACTGAAAAAAAGGGCAATTCAATATTGTATTACTATTTATTCATTGTTTACTACCGGAAAAGGTAAGGCCAAAGAGGTCAAAGCTTTTAGCTTGTTATTGGGCTGTTTATTTTTGAGCAGATCAAAAATCAGAGTAAAAAGGCAGTCAAGCTCAAATTGTGAAGTTAAATGTAATTAATTTTGGGTCATTTACAGGGTGACTCGGGTGGACCTTTGGTTAAATTTGCAAAAATGAATCCAGAAGACAAAGAGAAAAGATCATTTGTGATTGGAATTGTTTCAAACGGAAACGGCTGTGCAAGAGCTGGTTATCCAGGAATTTACACTAAAGTATCAGAATATGTCAATTGGATTCAAAGTCATATGAAAAAAGGGTGAAAGTTATTGCCAACAAATAAAATCATCGTAATTGATTTATTTTTTGATCATTTACTAACGTGTCTAGTTTATTAATGATGTGAATCAACAAAAATATATCGCGTTACAAAGAGCTAAATTTAGTTACTGACCGTTCATTTTCAATTAAACAAATTACATTGTAATTGATTGAAATTTTCAAAAAAAATTGTGATAAAAATACCTAAAAATATGAAATAGTGAATTAATAATAAACAATTGATTCATTCTTGTTATACCAATCATTGAGTAACGCAACAAACTTGGATCTTTTCATCAAAATTTCTTGCTCTATAAACTGACCAACATTTTCAGACCTCCATTTACATAACATTTTAGGCCCATTGTTAGAGAGATACATTGGAGGGATACTAAAAACAGCATCTGTGAAAGTAACAAGCAACCAACATGTACATTTCATAGGTTTAAGTGAGCATTGATAATTCTTAGACGATATTGCGTGGACTCTAAGCCTACTTTTGAAGGACTATAATAAAGAATTTCTTGGCTCAAAAATGTTGAAGACATTTATTCAAAAGACCAGGTTGACAGATAATTCAAATGTGAAACAATCAAGAACGGAGATTGGAAGTTTATCAATGAAAATCACCAAACAAATTAGAGTATTTCATCATAAGAAATAGACAATAGATTGAGCATTAGCGCAGTAGGCGCAAAGCAGAAAAGACAACATATGATGACAATGAATGTTTCAAGTTGAGAATAGTTTTACAGCTCAATTATTTTAAATTGGCCAGATAACTGAAAATCTCAACAGAAGTTCAACAGCTGAGTAAATATTAAACAAAGGGCGAGGAATAGGAAGGAAAAAAGATTATCTTAAAATGAATAGATAACAGAATGGTCATAGATAATGAAGATGATGAAGATTATTATAGTGAACTTAAAAGAATAGGTTTAGGTTGGAAAAAAAACTTACCAATCATGAGAAGCGCTAATGTTAAATGTTCCTTGCCGGTGGGCCTAGCAGCACCAAGAAAGGTACCTATGACCGTACAGACAAGGCCAATAAATGAGATTGACAAAATAAACCATCTTATGGATAATCCAGAGCAGGCTAAACAAGACTTTGTTGTGCTGGTTTCAGCATCACTATCACGAGAACAGCCTGAACGAAGATAGGGATGATGGTGATTTACATGATGATGATTATGATGGTGATGATGGTGATGGCTAGATGAATGGGGTGGCGGTGGCGGAGGTGGTAAATGGGAATTAAGGATATCTGGTAAATTGGATGAATCCATTAACTGAGGTCTACTCTTTGTGTAGAACATGAAGACATGTATTGGGTATGTATTGTAATCACGACACGTACAAAGCAACCAAAAAAATCCAGTAAACGCTCTAAAAACTAATAGACGGCTCCATATTGAAAACACTGGATTTAGACGGGACAAAGAGTAAAATGTTAGCCTACTCTTTGTACAGAGAGATCAAAGAGAAAGAAGATAGCGAAGGGGAAAAATTTAATACACAAAAAGGCTGCCCTGGTTAGCTTTAAGAGAGTCAATTGAGAGTTTAAAGTAACAATAGAGACTCTCTGGTTGCTGGCTTGTTTGGTTGAAACCAGTATGTTGGTTGCTTTCACCCCCCAATTTACGTATCAGATTGCTTATTGGTTAACAATTTTTAGCCGCCAAATTTGAGAAACAAAAATGGTAAACTTTTTAACCTCAACAGCACCATCTTTTGGTGTGTAAACCTTTCTTACTCTTCAATTTCCCAAAATTTTCAACAATTAAATAACATCTTTTAATATTTGTTTGATAAACTTTATTGATCAATTGGTTATTGAATTATCTCTATATAAAATATAACTAGACAATGAAATGATAATCTTATCATCAATAAAGTCATATTTTGATGATTGGTGTTGGTTACAAAAGTTGATAAAGCAAAAACTTGATGGGGATTAATGTTACAAGTTAGGTTGGAGTTGAAATTATCAAAATGAGTATCAAAATATTGAAAAAAAGAAAGAAAAAATGATTAAAAATGAGGAATTGACAATCCATTAAATGATGATTTGGAATGGAATAATGACTATGATTTTGGATTGAAAATTATGCTTCTTTCAATGTTTATCTTGATTTGTAAGGAAAATCTTCTGGTCTCATCGGCTGTCTATGGTGAGCAGGAGGTGGTGGAGGTGGTAATGGTGGGCCATTTGGTCTTTGGTTGGCAAGATAAGCTACTAATCGATCGTAATTTCCTGGTTCACTGGTTAGCTCTCGATTTTCTCCCATTCCAAACTCTTCTCCACGTTGATCAGGTTCTCCGCCGGGTTGATGATGATGATGGGAATGAGGATGAGAATGAGATTGAGGTTGAGATTGGGAATGATGATGGTGTCCATTATGTTCACCACCGTTGCCTTGTTTATTCCAAGGACCAGATCCACTTGATCCTTGTCCACCATTAACTGAATCACCACCATCCCAATGAGTATTTGATGATTGTCTCATTCTTGGGTTGCCAAATTTACGTCCCTCAAAATCAAAATCTTCATCAAAGGCAGGATTGTTGTTGTTGAAGCGATTGTAATCCTCCATTTCATGACCACGAGATTCAAATGATGGCTGGAAACCACCATCTGCTGATCCCTCCATAGAACCCTGGTTTGAAGATGAACCCGATGACGAAGAGGGTATAGGAGACAATATCATGGGACCTTGATCATTATGTTGGCTTGTTAGTGGTACAGGATGATTAATATATTGAGTACTACTCTTGGGTTTGGTGGCATAATTAAACACTATCCGTTGACTGTCTTTCTCCTCCAGTCCATATGATCCTTGCCGGTTACCAGCTCCATCACCAGACTCTTGCCTAAATTTAGTGCTTCCACTTGGCTCGTTGACTGTATAACCAAATGAGTAGGTTCCATCTGAATCTCTTCCTTGGTATGTTTGACTTCTAGGTACAGGTTGTAGTGGTCCAGGAATCTGAGCGAAACATGGTGTCAACAATGATAAACAAAGTATTAACACATGAAACAAACCAACACTAAACACTAACATTTTGCTTTGATATCACTTGTTAATTTATACAACTCGACTCTCAATGTTGTCGTCTTTATAATACTTTGACAATTTCTGTTGTTGATTGTTCTTCGATCGCAATCAAACTGATCAATTGTTGATTATAAGCTGACTCCTATATATATACATATCGATTAGTAAAAATGAAGTACATTTCTTTAATGGTCCGTGTTAATAGTGTTTAAAGGATTTAACAGTTTTCTGAGATCTCACTACTTATGCTTCAACTTTACATACGACGAGAAGGAAAAGGACGATGAAGAGAAATGCTTTTTTAATTTGATTGTGTTTGATTTTTCATTGATTCTTGGCAATTAATATTTCACTTTACCAACTACCGGTTACATTTCAATGTATTTAGTTTTATCGTTATTACTTTTATTGTTGTTGTCTTCTGTTTATTTGATGCTTGCTTTTGTGATGATTATTATGATTGTTTGTGATACATTTAGATTGATCCTTGGAGGGAAGAATTGGTTAATGGTTGCGATCAATTGCAATCATCAAATTGAGAGAGAGAGAGAGTGAGAAAGTGAGTGAAATAGTCAATTTTAGGAAGTTTGATGATGATTAAGATGATAATAGTAAAGCTAGTTACTACAATAATAGCAACTGTCTTTATAAATTTAATTTCTCACTTTTGGTACCAACTTTTACTACAATTTAATTCTTTTCCTGTCTTTTCACTTCATTTTCATAGTTGATTTTGATACATCATCAATCTGGTTACTTTAATAGATAACTACAGTCTCTTGACTGGTTAAGTTCAGTTCAATCTCAAGTTCACTCTTGTTGATTCGTGTTAGAGTCATCAATACTCAAATCAACCAGAAATAAGAGTTGTAAAAATATCATCGGTAGTTTAATATAAAATAACTTTATCTCAATTATAATATTACAATATTACAATTACACAGGTATGATTTAAAACAGCTGATACTTGTTGATTTGATGAGCTAGGGAAATTTTTGAGTACACGAGAAGTGACATTGTTCAACAAAAAAATATGAAACAATTTGTGGAAGACTCAAACGTCAATTGAGAATTGCAGGTTAAAAAGATGAAGATTCATCGAAATATACATGCTGATTGATCGGTGAAATGAGTAAATCAGGATGATATTGTACAGGTGATCATGAAAGGGAAGGATAATAATAAGACGCTTGACTTTGATCAAAAGTCCATCCACTAGCTGCACATTCAATCATCTGGAGGATAGATTTAACACACATATCGGATAATCTAGAGGAAACAGGTCCAATAAAGGTAACCTTTAATTGTGAAATCAGCTCATTCATTCGTTCAGGCCTATCTTTTTCCAGAGATTTTCCGACAGTTCGAAGTATATTAAGCAGACATTCAACTTCTGCTGTAGGTGAATTTGTTGTATCTAAACCTCTAACAATGTCTTCGCCGCAATCATAAAGAAGATCAGCAAATTCAGTATGTAAGGTTGGTACTGGTCCATCATCATCAGATTGTCCATCCTCTTCACTATGGCTGCTTTCGTCCTCATCATCAAGGTTTTCCTTCAATATGACACCACGAAGTTTAGATTTAAGATTAAGGTAAAAGTCAGTGAGAAAGGCAACATAGGCTGCCCAACGGTACTTTCTTGGACTTGTATTGTGGCCATCACTTGGTCGTAATCTACTTCTATCCAAGTACCATTCACGGCAACAATTGATTAATGATTGTGTAAATACTTGATTGGTATCTTTATCACAGATTGTAACAAGTACAGATGACAATGGATAACTGTATAAAGATTTTTCAAAGGCTTTAGCACAAACGGTTCTCGCTAATTCCTCCAACTGTTCGTGGGTCAAATTATTTGGATTATCGATAGCCTGTATAATAATGTCTACGTAATCCGAAGGAAATCCCATTTTAGTGAAATCAAGAGAACTACCGTGGCCATTGGTGTCCACTGGATCTTCAATCGATGAGGTTGTTGATGTACTTGAAGGCATTTCTGCTGATAACTGCAGTTGATTTAGGTAAGAGAGATTACAAACAATCAAACGAGAGGCTTAATTTGATGAACAAGATCTTAACAGGCACTGAGGCGTTTTAAGTTGAATATTTATTATGTTTAAAGTTGATTAAAAATCATTGTAACAAGGCTTTGTTCACAAGTTTAAAAAGCGGGTAAAGCAACCAAAATGGCAACCAGTCAGTTGAAGATATCCATCTAGTAACCAATAAGGTTAACCAATTAACAAACACCCTATTGTTTTAAATTCAAGATAAGAAAGATTATTAACGGAGAGAAACAAATATTACAATTTGGTTAACAATTTACATTAAGGACAATCAACTCAACAAGTTTCACTATTTTACATGAATTATAATGGAGAGTTTATGTTGCCTAGTCGTTGTTAAGTGATGACGAATCAAGTTCTTCTCTTTACCAATCAACAATTCTTAGCCAAGCAAATTCATATTTTATCTTCACTCAAATTGTGTTTATAATTGAAATGTTAATTTCTTAGCTCTTCATAAGGGTGCTATTCAACAAACAAATAGATCACCTGATTGTCAGTGATAAAATTATCATTAAATAATGGTCAAGATGATTTATAAGATTTACTATCAGTTAGTAACCATCAAATTAACCGCCATTCTTCATTAAGTATCCAACATGCATTCAAGTTGACAATTATAAATAAGGTTGTAATGAGTTTATTTTGAATTTGTAAAACCGTTATTTGAAAATATGATGGAAACCTTAATTATATCGTTGAGATTAAGCATTGTCAACTACTGAGACTGTTATCTGATTCAATCTGGGCAAATTATTTAAATCAACAAAATCTCCAAACGATCTTCTGAAATGACTTGTCGAGTTTGAAAGAAAGAAGGAAAATCAGAAGACAATCATTTAAAGCAATCTATCAATGAAATTATTTGATAGATATTAAAGATCTTCACCCATCAAACGATCAATATGATTGACTTGATTGTTGACTGGATTTTAAACAATAACTAACGTAATACTAAAGCAAACAATGAATCTATTTCTGTCAAATCCATTTGTAGCAACAAATTGACGAGAAATGGCAAAAGATTGAACTTTCTTATCCAAAGTGGATTTTTAACAAGTTGATTAGCTTATCCTCAGTGATCCTGGTCAAAGCATATTGATTAGAAATGAATTGTTAAAGAAAAATTGGACGATTTCAATTAGACACTAATTGCTACCACAAGAAATGATGTTTCTCACTTGTGTTTAACTTCTGGCTATTTGAAACTTCAAATGGTCAACAGATCCTTGAGAACCGGTTTACTTTAAATTTTCAGCTTGATGATAATTAAAGCTAATAGAAGAAGGAAATGTGATTCGTTAATCATTAAAAGCAATCTCACTCATCAATAGAGTAAAAGAGAGAAAATAGTGTAAAGCTAACATCAAATTGAATACAGATGTGTTGAGAATCAGAAGCCACTTTGTTTTCATCAGAAGCAGTTGAGTTGTTTCTTGTCTAGGTGAGTAAATCTATTGATTTGGGAATTATTTTTGTGCCATTTTTTCACCCAAACAATTGACTTTTATTAAAAATTAAATTTATTATTCCTTAATTCTACTTGTTCTTCTTTCTGTGTTTACTTAGCTTGATTGGTTTTGACCTTTCATACGGAGAATAGAGATCAAATCGGAAAAGGTGGATCCAAAATCTAGAACTTCTTGATTCCATAGAAGTGAGAAGGTAAATATACTCTAAATTAATAGATTTTAATCTTTCAATTGTGTAGCAAAAAAAGAGGAGATTCAATCAATTGAATCAATTCAATTGGAATACGAGTAATGCTGAGTTGAGATCTATTTCTAGTGAATATTAGAGCTGCTTCTGCTTGCCTTTCAATGCATTATCAACAGAATCATCTGTTCATTGGTGAGACAACGATCAACAGCAAAATAGGCATCCAGAGATGTCATCCTCAAAATTTGTATTATAGTTATATTTCACCCTCTATTAGTTGGTTAAAATCATCAGTTAACCCTTACATAATCAATAGAAATCATCATCATCATCAAATTATTTCAAGAATCGGGAAGAATGCTCATTTGAATAAACAACAACCTGCTTCTGCTTGTCAACCTTTTTCCTTCCTTTTTCTCAATTATTCTTTCACCAAATTTACCTTCCTGTTTTGCTTGTTTATTTTTTTATATTTATTCAGCTCATCTTTACACCAACCAATCAGTTCGGAATCATCTGTTGTCAGCAGTAATTCAGTGCAAATTACCATGGCCAGTGAGACCCCTTTCGATGTAGTTAAAGTGTGCGATTGCCTTAAAAAATATAATGAGGATGTCTCTGCTCTAAGCCTTGATCTTTACATTGAAGCATACAAAGAACTTCAAAAGTAAGTCCAATTGTTATTATCATGATCCCATCAATTGATTGGGCAGTTTATTTTTCAAAGTCTTCTTTTGTTATCGATTCAATCTAATAGTCATTTTTGTTTCTTTAACAGATTCTTCAACTGTCTAGGAACCGTATTTTCATTTGTAACGTCAGATGTTGAAAGTAAAATCAATATTCTTGAATGCTATCGAAACGATCAAAATTGTGGAGCTGATTACAAAACATTACAATCAATGATTGAATATGAAGCAAAAAACAATCTGCTGAAAAGTGAAGACAGACCTTCAGGTGATTATTGATATCATAAATTCATTATTTTAGGTGTTTTTTATGTATTGCAATTTTTTATCTATCTACATGTGATGAGAATTAAGGTTGAAGTTAATGCAGACAATACAAAAACCCTTATGAGTGATTGATTTCCATCGACAGGAACAGGGAGAGGATTTACTGGTGTTTTCAAAAGCCACGTCAAACTATTCAAACGGGGAATGCTTAGCAAATCAACTAATTTCTTGTGAAATTAATATATTGTAATGAAATGTAATTTGTTATTGTCACTGTTTGACCAACGAAACCAAAGCTACTCTTTATTCAATCCTGATTTTTCCTTAAACTAATGTATTTTTTCATTCTACTATTTCCTTAGGTGCCCGAACTTTACTTAGATTACACCGAGCACTTGAATTCATTTCCAAGTTTATTCTTGAAGTGAGCAAACTGGAAGATCTCGCAGCTACTGGGCCTGCAGCTCGTTCAGCTTATCAATCTACATTAGCTAAATATCATCCATGGGTTATTCGTAAAACTGCATCCTTAGCTATGTATGGATTACCTAATCGTGAACAATTAATTATTAGAGCCTTTGGTGGTGAACCAGGCGGCAACAAAGCACTGTACACACAGACAATGATTAACTTGGCTGAACTCTCGGAAACGGCCTACAACATAACAAATAAACTCTACGAAGACAACAATTTACTCGATTTGCCATAAAGAGGTTTGATCTCAGTAACATACAATTGAATCAAGAACAAAAATTCGAAACAAAGGATTCGTGGTAATACATTTTCACCAAATCATAATTTTTCAGTTATAGATGATAATCATCACCTTTTTTTACTTTTATTTGGCATCTCTCAATTGTGAATTGTGATTTCTTTTCCTCCTTGTGAATTGTATCAAATCTTTCTATCACTTCATTTTCATCCTTATTAGTGTTATATTTTAAATGGACAATTTGTTCATCCTTGTTAATATTTGTTTTGGTGAAAAGAGCTTGTGATTATACCGAACAAACGAAGCAGTCTACATTAGGAATTGTCTAATGTCGATACTTTATAGCTCAAATTACCAGTTGAACTGATTGTTAAAAATTATATTTTCTGCTTGTTGATCAAGATATCTACTTTTCGATACAAAATTTACGATTTAAATTCCATTTTTCTATAAATTAATCTATGCACACTCACATTGTTCAATCACCTTAACAAATATTTTGAAAAAATCAAATATCTATTGTTATTATATTATTGTTACCTTGACTTGCATCAATCTTGGATCAACTAGACGAAACCTCAAAATGGTGATCGTCAATTTATCAAATTTACCTTTTGAACAGACATTAATACACAATCGATGAGGTTATGGACCAACATAAGGATAAATTTCCTCAATTCTTGAAAAATCTACATCACTATTCACAGAAATTAATTGTTATTCTTTATCTTTCTATGATAGTTTTTGTTACTCGTCCATATTAATTTAATTGTTGACCCATTTTATTTTCAAATTTTTTGAATTTTATGTTTCTCCTTGATTCCTCAATTCACCTCATTCCAGGAGTCTGTTTAATATTTTATCCATTTCATTTGAAGCTCAAACAAAAACATTTTGTTATATTTCAGCCATCGCTCATTGTTTGAACGAAACACATTAAACTGTCGACTGGTTCATCCACTAAAGTCAGGCAATGATCAAATAAAAACGCCATTTGAACTAAAAAATGGCTTTAAGCCGCAACCTATTTTGTGGACAATAAATCTTTTATTTTAAACAACTTGGATCACTTTTTTACATATTCAACCGTACAAAGACATTGGAGATTTTCCGAGTCAATTTAGATCCTGGATATTCATGGATTAAATATCATGAATCATGGCCAAACTCAGATTAGTTTGTCAATAAGAAACGAAAATACGAAGCTAAATATTTAGTGATTGGATTATTTGCTTTGGTTGCATCAAATTTGATATTGTCAGCTGGGTAGAGTGATTTACATCGACTTGCTTCAAAATTAAATTCCGAGTGTTTACAAACCAAGTTGATTAAACTGGCAAACGTCTTCTCCATGAAATTGGTTAAAGCCTCTCTTCCTGATCCTTGACACTTAGCTGAAACCATTCTGGTAAAGATAAAATACAAATCATTATTATTCGCTATTTTAAATAGGGAACATTGAAGTGCAATGAGATTTGATTGCATTAGTTGATTGGAGATTACAGATGGTTAGATAATAGTTATAAGGAAGGAAACTGTCGTACTTTGAATAGATTAACCAAGGTAAATAAACCATCTTGAGATTGAGTGTTAATCAAGGTAAATTGTTGCATAAAACTTACCCAAGGAAACAGTTTTCCCAGCGATTGTAGGAACAGCAGGTAAGGTCAAGTCTATCATCAAAGTCTTCGAACTTGTTAACCTTGTCGATGGAAGCTAAATATGGTTGATTACATGTCTTTTTATAATCATCCTTGGATAAAATGTTATCGGCAATGCAGGGTGAATGTTTCAAAAACTCTGAAAATAACAAAATATTCAATCAGAAACATGAAAAGCTTTGAGATATTGCCTATGCAATACTGTTGTTTACAATTCTAGGAGGAATGGGTAAACAACTATATCATAAAAATACCGAGATTTAATGATATGTAATCAAGATTTAGCAATTTTTAACAAATGTAAATAAATTTACCTTGACGTAACTCTCCAGGTTTACAAAACTGGTCAATTGACCTCTGGAACTGCTCAATAGTAAATTCAAACATCTCTCTTTGGATTGGTGTACCACATTGGTCAATGTGTTCTTTCAAGCAATTCAACCCTTCCAAAGAGTTTCTGGATAGATTAATGATTAATGTAACATTAGGTTAACATAGATAGGTTTATATGAGTTGATTTATATCATATGCATTGAAAAATGGTTCAATTGTTTACTTACGAGCAAATTTCATCGATCCCTCTTGAGGTAGTTATCAACTTGTAGGCTTCAGTTTGGTTTGAGTAACGGTCAACCTTTTCTATACATGATTGCAACTGTTTAAGATGACAATTTACATTTGGCCGACGACCTCTGAACTTATTTTTCCTTTTATCGGATTGGCAGTTTATCTGGGAAACAAATAAGATGATCAAAATAGCGGAAAACAGTGATTTCATTATTACAGATGGATGAAGTGACAACAGATAGAGTAACAACTATTTGCAAAATGAATTTTGGGGTAAATGATGGTAAAATTAAGACGGGAAGATTAAGAATAATTAAAGAAGGAGTAAATTAGTAAGAAAAGGAGATGGAGACGAAGAGAAAGTGAGTATGAAAGGTAATGTATTTGAAGATCAGGACGATCTTGACCATAAGATTACCTTGAATATACGGAAAGGATTACAACTTACCACTTAGCTGGAAATCAAATGATCCTTCCTTGATTTTTTACATAATTCTAAATGAATTCGGTTGTGAAATACGATTTTATCTTCATCCTTCAAGATTACTGATAATTTTCCCATTAATCCAACAGATCATCTGCAAGTCAATAAACGATCGGATAGGTAAATCTGTCACCTTACTTCTACAATGGATAAGCCATTTCAAGTACTCCTAAAACTTATCATGGAATATTTAACATCTATGATTCAATTTCTAATCATTACAAATAAAATAGCACTATCTGGATAATTAGTCTTCACAGTTAATAACAAACGAAAATACATTTAGAGAAAAATTAATCGGTAACAATACATTTCGCTATGAGTGATGGTCCCTCATGGATTTATTATTAGCCCTGTGGTTAGGGCGCTCGGCAATGTACACACAACCTCGGTTCGAGTCTCTCTCTGGCCCTATGGTTTCTCCTCTCTTTCTCTCTTCTTCTGAACTTCCTCCCTTTGAAAATGTAACCAAAAACTTGTCCTTTGAAAATGTAATTGAAATACACTATTGTAGTTGCGCATCAGCGACAGTGTCGCCGCCACGGCACACAAACCCATTTGATTTAATAATAAATAGACTGCTGTTACTCTACCAATACATTGAAATGTTTCTCTTTTTTCGCTTTAATTCATTAATTTAGTCTCTCTAATTGTGCTATAATCGACATTGACAATCAACTAATTTGATAAGATGAAATTCTCGCAAGGTTTGTATGAAAATTTGTTTTATTTTTTATTACTTTTTTATGTAAACGGTTTTTCATTTTTGCTGTTGAGCTTATGTTTCATTGTGAGTCTTCCATTTGTTTTTGTTTCTCTCCTCTCTCCTATTCTAATCAAATAAACTCTGATTACTATCTATTTGTGTGGTCTATCTTTGTCTCGCTTGTGCAATTTAGTTTTGTCATTGTCGTATTTTATCATAAACTGAACACTGTATTAAACCATTGAGTGTAAGTCAATGATTAGCATATCGTAAAATTGAAATCCATGCGATTAAAATGAATCGCTCCAAATTGGGACTTAAAATAGCTATTTTATCATCTCACTAGTTTGTTAATCATGTCATTCATGTGTTATGTGTTTTTTGAATTAGTCATGTTCGTAAACCTTTTGATAATTCTGACAATAATTCAATTAAGCTTTCCCTTATCAAATTGATTATTATTGCAATTTAATATTCCATCTATCCAAGATAACCCAGCCTTAAAGCATACAAGATATCAAACTAACGTAAACATTATTCATCATCATTCTCTTTCATCCAATATAGTTATAATTGTTCCATTCAGTCTTTTAATCACCAAACCTTTTCTTCTGTATACGTGTTTACCTTCTCTATTGACATGATATTTGATGCCATTAATTACCGAAGCATTTGGATTGTCAATTGAAGTTTAGCTACACCTCTCATAACCAATCCAGAGAAATAAGCTTCATCTTTTATATTGTATATTAATCTAAGCTCTTTTTTGACTTCGTTTTTTTTTGTAAATCAGATGCAAATGGATCTAATAAGCTTCGAACAAGAACATGATAACACTGTGTCACCGAAAAAAGTTGATTCCCCAAATGGATATGGTGAAATGCTTGAAGATGATCAGATCTGTAAAAGTGATAATTTAAACTCTCAACCTTCACCATCTCTAGTGGTTTCTTTTGATGATGCTTCATCGTCTACATCAGATGCAACAGCTGTAGCTCCTACCCCATCGTCAAGATTATCTGGTTATTTTAATAAATTGGGTATCAAAGGAGGAATTCGTAATTATAAAAGAAGATGGTTCACATTCAATGATTCAACTGGCAAATTGATATATTATCGTAATCCTGGTGAATTGACACCTTTAGATGAAGTTGACATTCGCAAAGCAACATTTTCATTACACCCGCAGTTCAAAGACTCTAGTTTCATCATAAAAATTTCCAATGATAAACCCTTACTTTTGGAAACAAATGACAGATCGGTTGCCTTACTTTGGTTCGATACTCTACAAGAATTAAGAAAAAAATATATAATGGATGAAGATTTAAACTTAAAAGGTCAAAGTGGTGGACCAAATGAATTTTACAACAAAGATAACATTCCTTCAAATGGTTCAATTTTCTACGATACTAATGTATTCGTTAGTAATGAAAAAGATCCTCCTGTGAGAGTGAAAAGTGATTTAGAGCCACCCGAAACCAAACCACCTAATCGTCTTTCTGTTTTTGGTCGGATCAGATCAAGAAGTACTTATCTAGTATCAGGGCGAAAGGAGTCAAACAAATCTAATGGATGCAGCCAATGTTCTGACTATGAAAGTTCAATTGTCAACTTAACTGATGATCTAAACGCCGTTGAAAACGAGCTTGAAGCTAGTCGAGAAGTGATCAAAGTGTTACAATTGCAATTGGAAGCTACTGTCCGTGAAAAAGAATCATTAATTGAAATCTGCAAAAGTCACTCAATAACAGACCAAATGTTACATACTCTGGCTCAAAGGGAGAAAGAATTAACCCTCACCGAGTCTCGATTTAGGCAAAGTGAGAATAAAGTTGAAAAACTAACCGCTGAATCTCAAAGGTTAATCAAGGAAAGGGACGATGCAAAGGAAGAATTGAATCTGATGAGAGAATTGATTCATGTTAAAGATCAAACAGTGATGTCGTTGACAAATAAAATTTATGATCTTGAAAAAGGGCGTAAAGATGAGACTGCCAATAACGAACGAAGCAATATTCGTAAATTGGAACAAGATGAATTGGAAAGCTTAAAAGATTCGGTTAACGCCTATCAATTACAAAATAAGTGTCTTAACAAGGAAATAATTGCTCTCAATGACATAAGAAAGGTTTTAGAAAAGAAACAACAGGAATTGCAACTAAAATGTTATGATTGGGAAGCCCGCTGTTGTCAGATACACAGTAAACTTCTTTCATTACTCAAAGAGCTCAAGCAAACTATGGAAATGAGCGAAAACTCTGAAGAAAATGATCCTCAACAGCTGATTTCTAGCAACCAATCAATTAAAACATTAGTGACTCGTTTATTAGATGAAAACTCTCTAGATATACCATTAAGTTGGAAACCCGGTAATCGAAAGAGGAGTGAAGAGCATACATCATCAAGTGCTGACATGGATTATGATGAACTTGGATTTTCTTTGAAGCAATCTGATTGTGAAATTGAATTTAATGATAAACTAGCAGTTAAAAGTGAAGCACTCAACAAAATGAAGATGAAAAATGAAGGCTCTGAACCTGCTGTTGCTCGTCAGCAATTTGAATGGAAATATAGATGGGACTATTTTATTGGTAATTTAGGATCTAATGAGCTACAAAAAAGTCTTGAGCTTAAAGTTTTACTCAGAACAGGTGTACCTCAAGAATATCGATGTAAAATATGGCGAATGTTGATAAATATTCGTATAAGAAACTTGAAAGAACGTCTTGGAACTAATTATTATCAAAATTTGTGTACAAAATCAGCTGAGTGCAAAGTTAATCCTGCAGCTAAACAGATTGAGCTTGATCTGTTGCGAACCTTACCAAACAACAAGCACTTCGAGAATATCAAATCGCCTGGTATTATGAGATTGAGACAAGTATTGACTTGTTACAGTCTTCATAGTCCTGCCGTTGGATATTGCCAAGGAATGAATCGCTTGGCAGCTGTTGCTTTGCTTTTTATGCCAGAAGAAGATGCGTTTTGGACTTTGGTTGCTATAATTGAAAATATTATGCCACCTGATTATTTCACTGCTAATCTTCTTGGTGCTCATGTTGATCAATTTGTACTTCGTGAGCTTCTTAATGAAAAGATGCCCAATCTTGGAGCTCATCTTGAAAAACATCACATTGAACTTTCGCTTTTCAGTTGGTTTTTAACCTGCTTTGTTGATAATGTTCCAAGTAACATTTATCTTCGAATATGGGATGTTTTCCTTTACGAAGGTAACAAAGTCCTGTTTCGATTTGCTCTTGCATTTTTAAAATACCATTCCACAGCCATCTTATCGATGAACGATTCACTCGTTATTAATCAATACATTAGATTAATTGGTTACCGAACTACTGATGTTGATCATCTTTGTCACATTGCATTCAACCAACTCAATCCTTTCAGAATGCGTACAGTGAAAGCAAAAAGGTTACATCACACTCAAATGGTGACCAATGAACTCAACAAACTGGATTCTATTCGGAAAACTCTTCCTGTCCATGAAAATAACGATAACTCTGACAGTGAATAATACTGAGATGAATACTTCAATATAATAAATAAATTATTGTAAAAGATCTACATAATTATCGTAAAGCGTCAGATTATGACAATGCAAGAATCAAGCTTTACTATGTACAGTCATCAATTTTTAGTCATTTTGTTTGGAGGCCTTTTTTTGTTTAATGTCCGACTCAAAATCAACAGCAAAATCATCAAACTATTCAAAAATTAATTTCATTAAATTTCGCAATAAAGAATTGAATAACAAAATTTTATATCAATTGTTTATTATTTACCTTAAATTATCGTTTATATAGTGAATCTTTTTGAAAAATAAAAATGCGCGAAAGCTCCAAACCTCCTAGTTCTAGTTGAAATTAGACTCAGAGGTGAAAGTAAACAAGCGTTAGTCCAAGCTGATCAAGTTGACCAAGTTGCTGATTTAGAAGCTAGTCAAATTTGTGACTCCCAGACAACCAATTTTCTTGATTGCAAAGTTGATAAAATTTCAACTACTCCAGCTGTTCGAAGAATAGCCGCTCAAAATAATATCAAGTTGAGTAATGTTAAAGTTACTGGTAGAGATGGTCGTATTTTGAAAGAAGATTTACTCAAATATCTTGAAGAGGCGAAAAATTCGTAGAAGGAAGCTCCAGTTCACAATATTTCACCTGAGCCCAAGACATCAACAATTAACTTGAACCAAAAACCATCTTGATAAATTGACTACTGAAGCATCTGATAAAAGTGTTCCATTCACCGTAATTCAACGTGCAATGTTTAAATCGATGACACAATCTCTTAAAGTACCTCATTTTGGATTAAGTAATAAAATGACTTTATCCAATCTTCTCAACATTTTGCCAAACTTAAAAGAGCGAGCGAGAGGTATAAAATTGACTTTCATGCCTCTATTCATGAAAGCTTTGTCATTAGCTCTCAATGATTTTCCAATGTTAAACTCATCAATCGACGAAAAGAATGAAAAATATAATACTTGTCAAAGCATCACATAATATTGGATTTGCCATGGACACTAAAGATGGATTAATTGTTACAAATATCAAAAATGCTCAAAATTTATCTATTTTAGAAATAGCTGAGGAAATGAAAAGACTTCAACAAGATGAAGCCAATACAATGTAATAAGTTACGTCGAGATGATTTAACTGGTGGAACTATCACTTCATACATTATCGGTTCGGTTAGTATCAACTTTTATTTCATGAATTATTCTAGCTGAAAAAAGTTTTTTATTTTATTAGATTGGTGGTCTTTTCGGTATTCCTGTTATCTCACCTACAGAAGTAGTAATTGTTGCCATTGGACAAATTAGAACTGTGCCAATTTTTAACGAAAAAGACGAAATAGTCAAGGGATATATAATTAATATTTTTTGTCAGCGAATCACCAAACCATCGATAGAGTAACTCTTTGTCGATTTTCATCTGTTACTTGGAAAGCATTACTTCAAGATCCGATGAAAGCTCGAAACCTCCTAATGTTAGTTCTAGATCATAATATAACTTGAATTTTCAGCATCTAAATATCTAGTTCAGATTGTTGAACTTGAATTGTGAATAAAATATGATTTTGTCTTCATTCTTCAAGATTACTGTTGATTTTCCCATTAATCCAACAGATCATCTGCAAGTCAATAAACGAATCTGTCAATTTACTTCTACAATGGATAACCCTTATGCAAGTGATCATGAAAATTTTTATGGAATTATGTGACATCTATTATGCAATTTCTTTTCACCGACAAATAAAATAAATAAATCGCACTATCAAGATAATTAGTCTTCACAGTCAATATCAAACGAAAATCCTTTTAGAGAAAAATTAATCGGTAACAATACATTTCGCTATGAGTGATGGTCCCTCAAAATCTGTTAAACAGATTCTGTTTTTGAAAAACAGTTTTTCTTCTGCTACCTATTGATACAATTTAAAATTGTTTATCTTTTCACTTTAATTTATTAATTAATTCTCTTTAATTGTGCTGTAATCGACATTGACAATCACTGCATTTGATAAGATGAAATTCTCGCAAGGTTTGTGTTAAAATTTGTTTATTCTTTATCATTCTTATAACATGTAAAAGGTGTTTCATTTTTGATGATGAGCTTATGTTTCATCCAGAGAAATAAGCTTCATCTTTTATATTGTATATTAATCTAAGCTCTTTTGTGACTTCGTTTTTTTTGTAAATCAGATGCAAATGGATCTAATAAGCTTCGAACAAGAACATGATAACACTGTGTCACCGAAAAAAGTTGATCCCCCAAATGGATATGGTGAAATGCTTGAAGATGATCAGATCTGTAAAAGTGATAATTTAAACTCTCAACCTTCACCATCTCTAGTGGTTTCTTTTGATGATGCTTCATCGTCTACATCAGATGCAACAGCTGTAGCTCCTACCCCATCGTCAAGATTATCTGGTTATTTTAATAAATTGGGTATCAAAGGAGGAATTCATAATTATAAAAGAAGATGGTTCACATTCAATGATTCAACTGGCAAATTGATATATTATCGTAATCCTGGTGAATTGACACCTTTAGATGAAGTTGACATTCGCAAAGCTACATTTTCATTACACCCGCAGTTCAAAGACTCTAGTTTCATCATAAAAATTTCCAATGATAAACCGTTACTTTTGGAAACAAATGACAGATCGGCTGCCTTACTTTGGTTCGATACTCTACAAGAATTAAGAAAAAAATATATAATGGATGAAGATTTCAATGGATATAGTCAGAGTGGAGATTGTGAAGGCACCACTGTTAATGCTACTAGTGAATCTTGTCATAGAAAGATAAATGCTCGAAAGAAACCGTCGAATTTCAATCTAGATCGCTATTATAAATATTTTTTTCTATTAGTCGTATTCTATTCATCTATCTGTCAATCTTCCTTCGCTGATCAGTCCCAATCTGATGAACCAAAGTTTAAGTGCAAGTCAAAAGAAAGGCTAACTGTCGATTATAGCTCTCATGCTGTTAAAAACGGTAAGAATTAATGTTTTTTGTCTCAATAGTAACATACTAATCATTATCTCTCACTTATTTATGCTTTAATAATTTTCTAATCCTGTTCTAACTTTCTCTTTTAAAGAATACATCGTAACATTCAATCATCTCTATAAAACATCTGCTCGTAAACGCTTCATATCATCAGCACTTTCATCCTGTAATGATTTTATTAACTCGTGGGCTATTATTCCTAGAAACAATCCTGCCAGTCTTCATCCAAGTGATTTTGATCTTGTTCATCTTTCAACTTACAATTTAACCACCATCATAACCGCCTTAAAAAATCACCCTAATATTAAAAATGTTACTCCACAGCGATTGATTATCAGGAGTCTCAAAGTAGTGAATGAGTCTGCTGAGGGAGAACCCGATGATCCAGAACTTAAAAATCGTAATTCTTGGTACTCTTCTCGTACATTCAAATCCCGCCAATCTTTATCCTGGCTAAATGGTTGGAGTTTCGATTATTACAATTCTGTTTCAACTAATACAAGGCGCCATTTACTTCGCGCCATACCACGTCAGATTACTACAACTTTAAGAGCTGAACAGCTCTGGGCGATGGGTATCACTGGTACTGGTGTGAAAGTTGCTGTTTTTGATACTGGTCTTCCAAAAAATCATCCTCATTTTAAAAAGGTAAAAGAGCGAACTAATTGGACAAACGAGAAAACTTTTGACGATGGACTAGGGCATGGAACTTTTGTCGCAGGAGTTATTGCCAGTGGAAAAGAATGTTTAGGATTTGCGCCTGATGCTGAGTTACACATTTATCGTGTTTTTACTAATAATCAAGTTTCCTATACTTCTTGGTTTCTAGATGCTTTCAATTATGCTATACTTAAAAAGATTAATGTCCTTAATCTTAGTATCGGAGGGCCTGATTTTATGGATCACCCCTTTGTCGATAAAGTGTGGGAACTGACAGCTAATAACATTATTATGATATCAGCAATTGGTAATGATGGACCTCTATATGGAACTCTTAACAACCCTGCTGACCAGATGGATGTTATTGGTGTTGGTGGAATTAATTTTGATGATCAAATTGCTCGTTTTTCATCTCGCGGTATGACTACTTGGGAGCTACCTGCTGGTAATGGTCGAGTCAAGCCAGATATCGTGACCTATGGCTCAGCTGTTCGAGGTTCAAGTATTAAAGGTGGATGTCGAACTTTGTCCGGTACGTCCGTTGCCTCCCCAGTGGTTGCTGGCGCTGTTACTCTACTTATGTCTGGGGTCCTTCACATGGGTAATTTAATTAACCCTGCTAGCATGAAGCAAGCTTTGATGGCCTCAGCTCGTCGTCTCAATGGTATATCCATTCTTGAACAAGGTGCTGGTAAACTTGACTTGATTCGGGGCTATGAAATATTGCGCTCTTACAAACCTCAAGCAACTCTTTCTCCGAGCTATCTCGATCTTACCGAATGTCCGTATATGTGGCCTTATTGTACTCAACCATTGTACTATGGTGCGATGCCAGTTGTCATTAATGTTACCGTGCTGAATGGGATGGGAGTTACTGGTACTTTTGCCGGTAAACCTCAATGGCACTCATATACACCACAAAATGGCCAATATTTGGATATTGCAATCACTCATTCTGATATTTTATGGCCTTGGTCAGGATGGATGGCAATTTACATTTCGGTTAGCCCAGAAGCTGCCAATTGGGAAGGAATAGCTCAAGGTCACATTAGTATTGTTATTGAATCGCCAGCTTCAGGAGAAGATCCCGATTACAAGACTCAAAGATCTGAAATAAAACTTCCATTAAAAGTAAAAATTATTCCTACTCCATTGAGGTCTAAGAGAATACTTTGGGATCAATATCACAATCTGCGATATCCTCCTGGTTATTTTCCTCGTGACAATTTACACATGAAAAAAGATCCACTAGATTGGAATGGTGATCATATTCATACTAATTTTAAAGATATGTATGAACATCTAAGAAATTCTGGTTATTATGTGGAAGTTCTTGGTTCTCCATTCACTTGTTTTGATGCTCGAGAATACGGTACTTTATTAATTGTTGATCCAGAAGAGGAATATTTTCCAGAAGAAATAACAAAATTAAAAAATGATTATGATGCAAGTGGATTGTCAATAATCGTGTTTGCCGATTGGTACAATATATCAGTCATGAAAAAGGTTAAATTTTATGATGAAAACACTCGTCAATGGTGGATTCCTGATACAGGTGGTGCTAACATCCCTGCTTTAAATGATTTACTTGCACCGTGGGGCATTGCTTTTGGTGATCAAGTTTACGAAGGTGAATTCAAATTAGGAACAAACCATGATATGTTTTACGCTTCAGGCACATCTATTATCCAATTTCCTGAAGAATCACCTGGTTCTAGTGTTTTGGTTCGTCGTGATCTTAATGATCAAGGGAAAGAAATGCTTAATAGTGTCACTACTAAACAGAAAGATATACCTATTTTAGGACTCTATCAAACCAAAGACTCTAACTCAGAAGATAATGCATTCTCTAATAATAAAGGACGCATTGTCGTCTATGGTGATTCAAATTGTTTAGATACAGCTCACCTGCAGAGAGACTGTTTCTGGATGCTTGAAGCTCTTCTTCAATTTACCACTACCGGTAACATTCCAAATGTTTTTCTTTCCTCTTCATCTCCACCTTTATCACCATCAAGTTCATCTGGAGTTTCACCACCTTCATCTGCAATAGCGACCAATCAACAAGAAAAGAAATCGCCGGATGCCCCAATTGCATCAAACAATGAAAAATTACCAAAAAGAATGGAAGGCAGTCATTTGTACAGATATTCAAAAGTATTAGAACATCATTTAGGTTAGTATTGTTCGATTACGTAAACACAGCATCAACTAGTTTATAAAAAGTTAATTTTTATTAATCACCATATAAAATTTTATGATAGCAAAATGATTATATTAAGAGTATCGACAAGTTCTGTTGCTCTTTTTGTTAATAACTTGAATTAGATTTTTAATTAGATTGAATTCAACTGATTTATTAACGATTAGAGTTTTCAAATCGTGATCAATGATTACTTGGAATCTAAGTTTTCGATTGATATTTTTTCCAATTTTTGATTGACGATTTTAAAGATGATAATAAGCTCTGTCGATGTTTCACTGTTTTTTCAATCCACTTTTTTAATCAACCGATTGATTCTAAATGATTAATTTAACTCATAATTTTTTCTTATTTTTTCAGGCAATATTCAAACTAGACCTTTACCTTCTTGTCCAAGTCATAAATGGGAAACTCCAATCCCTCTAAATGAATCTCTTCCAACAAATTTGTATAAAGCCCAGAAATTATTATCTATAAGTAATATTGACATGGGAGTTCCAGCTTTACCGCCTTTACCACCTTATCCAAATTCAAGACTTGATGATGATCCATCTGATGTAAATAATCGCTGGGACTCTTTAATATCTTCCGATCTAGTAGCTCCCGTGGCGGTGGGTATCAGCGATTTAAAAACTGAGAGAAGAATTTTCTCTCTTGATTGGACAACATTTATTCTGTTGATTGTCGTCTTGATCTGTTTTTACATTGTTAATAAGAAACTTCTTAAATACCGTTGGATTCTTTCTCGAGTTGGAAACAATAAGACTGGACAATCGGTAAACAAGAGGCGCCGAAGAAGTACAGCTGTCAAACGATGGTTATTACAAAAATTACCGAGTAAACTTTCAAGTGTTTAACTCAATAATTGAGACTTTGGACTAAACTTGGAGGAAAATGTATATAAAATATGTCTGAATATTTATATATTTGATATGATTGTGGGACGAATAAGAGGTTTTAAGCTAAGAAAAAGATCTCTTTTTTGTTCAATTTTGTTGAAAATAGCTGAAAAACATCAGAATTATTCAATCTTATTCTGTCTTGCAATTTTTTCAAATAATATGCATTTGAACAGTAAATCGACTTTGAAACATTTTCATTGTCACATTTCTCGGTGATAAATTATACGATGACTGAAAATAAGAAGTTGTATATCAATACATTTTAAAATATAATTTTGTGGACACAAACTTAACTATTGTACTATGATTATCTCAAATTTAAGGGTTTTATTTAATTGTTTGATACGTTTATGTGATATGGAAATAAATAATTGTTAATAAATTTTTCTTTTTTTTACATGCAAATATAACTTCTAAATATCTTTTATTCCAAGCCATTCCAGGCATTTATCATAACTGTCGATTCAACATGAACTTAATCCCAAAATTCATTTTCATTTTCTGTTGAATCAATTGTCATCAATAGTCACTGTGGCACATTCAAGATCAGATGTAATATCAATCAATAGAAATATCGACATCTTTTCAGAAATTCGTATGTTATAATAATCAGTTCATAATAATTTAATAACAAAACATAACATATTAATAAATAGTTGCGATCACAATGTTGACAAAATAAAGATAATCTAATGAAAGTCAGTTTACTAATTAAATATTTTTAAATGCTGTAAAGTTAAGGTTAAATTTTCATTCCAATAGGATAACTCCATCGGCCAATTTCATATCTATCAGAAAAGCCATCACGGAATCGGTAAAAACCAACCTCATCAACCAAAATATTTTCATTGCCTGATTGAAATCTTAAAGTTACCTCTTTTTGTTCAACCCAAAATTTACAACAATTAGTACCATTTAATTTGTCTTTAAATCGATACGATTCACCAGGACTAAGAAGATGTTTCTCTCGATCATTGTTACAAACAAATTCCAATTGTTTACCACTTTCTTCTAAACCATTATTCACCTGGATTCCCGAGTTTAACCTAATTATAGTATTAATCAACCCTTCACCAGGAAAATCCATATAAATAATGCCAATAAAATCAACCTGAAATCTGGTTAACCAGTCCATTATGTATTTGTTGATTCGCCGAGCAATAGTACACGGATAAGCTCCGGGTGATGTTCCTGAAAGGAAATTGATGACAAAGGAATCAGATTGGTAGGCACGTAACCGAGCACGATCCAGATGCTCTTGAACTTTAACCCATTTGGATCCAATGGAAAACACAGTTGGCACAATGTAATCATCCTGAATCAGTGTACTATCCCATGGAACACCAATCAATTGTTTGGAAGGATAATTACGAAGAATCACAATTTTACCACGAACAATACCCAAAGGAACAGTTGAGTTGCCTTTCCAAATGTAGCCACGAAATGTTGGCTTGTTTAGGTAAAAGTCAACAGTTTCAGCAAACGATCTTTTATTGTCTCTTGGTGCGTGTTCCTCTTTTATTCGCACAAGCAACACTTCGCTTGGAAAGCTGCCCAAAAAGGAAACCATTGATTGTAACACTTTATCCATATCAGACCTTTGATAGATGGGTCCATGGTGAATCTCAAATTTATCATTAATATGGCGACAACGGATATCAAAGGCACGCACTCCAACCCTCAACTGGGAATCCAAAGATAATATTTGTGTTTGTACAAAAGGTCCACCATAAAATGCCATTGTGTCATGTGTTCCTGGAAGCGACAAATGGTTAAGATGGACTGAGTCACTAATGGTTGACATCCAATTTTTGTTGGCCATGTTGACCCTTCCATTGCGATTGAAATAGAGCTCAGTTGATCTGATCTTTTGAGATGAGGTCAAAATTGGAAGACAAAGGACAATGAAATAAATGAAAAACATAACAATCAAACAGTTGAGTTAACACAATAAAATTTGACATCAGAAACACTTGAAATTAATAAAACGAAATAAGAGAAACAATTTGAAAGATTGAAAATCATTCGAAAGTGAAATCTTTCTTGTTACCAAACAAATAACTGAAAATATCAAACTGGACTGTTCAGGATAATCCTTTGGAGGATAAAAAGGATGGACAGAAGTCATAATTTTCCCAATTTACGATTGAAACTTTCTCTTTTTTCAACTGATTTCCAGTTGAAATTAACTTGAACGTTTTACTTAATTACCGTCAATTTTTTGTACAGCTTGATGAGTTAGTTTGATAATTATTCACTCTCGTTGTTGATGTCAAAGAAAATGTAAAATTTACTGAATTTACTGCCCTGGATCAGATCAATGTAAGTGAATAAATGACAAAAGGATTGAAAGTGGGTGAATAAAAAAAGGAAACTGATGGATTGTCCATTCACTAGAACGTTAATGTTTGCAAAGATGAAATGATATAAATGAAGTAAATTGTAGTTGAAGAGGCAAATGAGCATAAAATATCATCATATTTGTATGCATGGAAATGATGATAAAATTACTTCTTTTTATACCTTTATCATTACTCCATTTACCTAATAATACAATAATTTCAATTGAATCTTTTCAATATTTTCCAAAGAAAATTAATTCTCAATTAACTGGTCTCAAAATTGGTCTACACTAGGGATGGGTTTTCCCGTTTCTAGTTGAGCTATCCTTTCATTTGTTTACTCATTTCACTATTGTTTTGACTCTCGTTTGAATAAAGGTTACACCATTTGGACTTGATCGACATAAATTGTTAATAGCATAAAACCAAATCAACTGTTAAATTGTTTGACTTACAAATAACAAACAGAAACAAAATGACACATTTCCATGAAGAAAGTAGGGAATTACAAAGAGATTATTAGATTATCCTTTTCGGAAAGAGTTGATTAGCAGCTTAGTGGCAATGAAAAACAACCCTTTACATGTCCAAAAAGCGCTTACATGAAAATCTAAAGATGTTTATGAATTTTTATTAAGACATGAAATCTGCTTCAAGATTATCGATAATCTGTTAAGTTTATCATCGATAACTATCGATAATAATATCGATACCGAGCTGAGTAGAGAAGCGATTTACATTTACATTTCAACCCAATTTTGATGTTTTTTTTATAAATTAAAGATTTGTTTCAATGAATCAATTTTGATTGTTATTTTTACGATATTAAGTTCCAATAGTGCTGTGTTCAATTTAATTTGTTTTTCTTATCATTCAAACCAAAGTAAAAGTCAAAATCTTTACTGTTTACTTTTCTCCTGTAATGCTTCTCTGATCACCATTCGTTAACCTGTCAATAGCTAATTAATCCTCTGTTTGTTTATTTTGTTCTAATTATGCTTTCTCATATTAAACAGATTGGGATGTTTAAAATAATTGCTTTGCCTGATTTTTCTGTTTTTACACTAATCCATTTACGCTAGTTTTTGTCACTCCAACTTGATCGCTTTATATTGTGAGCAAAATGAAAACATTGGTATGAAGTGTTGTTGATGGACAAGTTTGTCTGTCTTCAAGTTTGTTACATTCATTGGTTCTTCAATTGATTGCTGGTTTCCCGTTCGAATTGGTTGCCTGTTATTTACTTTCATCAAGGCCAGAATACTTACTGTTTTTCCTCTCCTCTTCGTATGTTTATTTTCTAGTTTGGTATTTTTAGGTCATCTTTAAATTACTTCATGCCCACCCACTTTTTCAGCCATTTTATCTTGATCTCTTCCTGTCTTCCTTTCCTTCTATTTTTCTGTTTATCTCTTCACTCTCACTCTCTCTCTCTCTCTTATCCATCTTTTTCCTCTCTCTCTGTTTCCATCATTACGAATTCATGTTCCTCTGATTCATCTGATATTTCTGTTTTTATTTTCATTCATCAATATTATGCAATGTGATTCTATTCTATTCATCTTTATTTCATCTTAATTTATTAGTTAATTATTCAACTCTAAAAGTAAATACACTTTAGTCAACATTGTGCCATTTTCAATCAAAACTGGTGTAATTTGCATTCATCTGGGTCGTCAAAGAGGCTGTGAAATGTAAATATTGTTTTGCTTAATAACTCATATCACAGCCAGCTTTGATGATTTTGGTAAAATGCAGTGCTCATCATCACCGTTTACAGCGATATTTACAACCTAACTTAATTTGCTCAATCTATAATTATCATGAAATAACAGTGTTTTTCTTTATCTGTTTTGCATATCTATTACAATTTGGAGATTTAGCTGATGGTTAGCTAATTTCATTCAAATAAGATGTAATTTAATCCAATTTAACCATCCATTCATCAACTATAACTAGTATGCAAATTCAAATTTAACATTTATATATCATGACGCTGGATCTGACATTTAGGTGTTAACCATCATTTCCTCTCTTTGCTATGTGATTTCAAAACAATTTTTTCCAGATTAATATTTCAAGAATTCATAATTTAGGATTTTGTGTTCAATTTTTAACTATTATCTTTTACTATTCAGGGTCTTTTGTTTTCCTGATCAAGAAATTTAAATCTAAATGGATTACTGTTTCAAATTTTGCTATAAGCAGGATTAAATATCGAAATATCCGCTTCACAGATTTAAAGTATACACTAGAATTATTTTTAAAAATAAAACTTTAATTAGTTGATTTGCTTAATCAACGGTTTAAAATAATCCTGAGATTGTCTTTAAACCAGAACAACTTGTAATGGTGATTGACTTTTCAGATTACATTGAGTAAAATTGTATAAAAAATAGATGCCTTCCGCTGTTATGTTGAATTGAGTCGCAGAAAAGTTGAAAATAATGGAATCGGACATCTTTGAAGAATAAGAAAGACAAATGGAAATGCATGAGAATGTGTATCATCGTATTGTATTTAACCAGAAGAGGTAATGAATTTATGAATGGAATCACTGACATCATGAGGTAGTTCAATATGAGCGTAATGTCCAACTTTAGGGATATTTTTTACTTCGACAGAAGTAAAATATCTTTTGAGAGCCTCCTTTGAACCCAATTTAGCGCACAAAATTTGATCATTTTCTCCCCAAATAATCAACGTTGGTTGGCCAACTTTTTTCTTTGTATCAACATTTTTAAGGCAATCCACATTGGCTCGGAAATAGTTGAGTGCACAAGAAACTGCTCCAGGCCTGGCAAAAGTATACTTGTACGCTTCCAGCTCATCTTCATTTAACAAAGGAATTCCATCGGGTGAACGGAAAGTGTTTTCAAGGAAAGCAAAATCTTTACCGAGTATCACAAATTCTGGTAATAGGTGAAGTTGATAGAAAAAGATTTGCCAGGAAAGGAAAAATTGTTGCAGATCTGAAGCAAGGGTCTCAATATACAGCCTTAAATGAGTTGAATTAACGAGGACTAATTTATCGACCATCTCTGGATGCCTGGTTGCAAAAAGACTTATTATACAACCACCAATATCATGACCAACCAGGATAGCCTTTTCTTTACCAAGAGCCTTTATAAACTCCATTAAATCATTGAGTATAGAATCAAATTCATAACTTTTGAGGTAAGGTAATCTGTCAGACTCATTAAAACCTCTTAAATCCAACGCAACAGTGTAAAAGTTGTCAAATTTTGTCATTTGGTTTCTCCAGGTGAACCAGAAATCAGGGAACCCATGAACGAATAATAAAAGATCCTTTTCCGGATTACCTTTAGCAACATAATGTAAATTAACATCCTAAATTTGAAATAAATTGAAAGAGAAAAAAATATTAATGAGCTTTCATGTCAGCAATGAAATATTTTGAATCTTACATTTACTCTTATTGTTGAATGTACACCATAAACAGAATTTCTTAAACAGCTTGGTTGACTTTCTCTTCTTCGGATTTGAAAATATTGTCTCCTGTAGCGTATCATTGAAAAAAAGGTGTAAATTAATACAAAATATCCATAAAAAAGTGATAACATTGCCAAAATTGCCCGGCGAATGCATCCACGAAACAAGAACGCTGTACAAAAGTATGGAGTCATTATTGTTTTTGCTGGTATCACTATGAAAATAAAAACTGAAAGATAAAATAAAAATGTTAGATTATTGATAGCAGAATTGAAAAAAGATTTCAAACAATACAAATTAAAAGTTAATCTAATGCATGAAGAGAGGGTTTTGAAAATTTGTGAACGAGTGAACATTTTATAATGAGAATTAATTCTGAAAACCAGATACCGAGAAGATAAGATTTGGAATGAAACACATGGCAATTCAATCCTTGCTTAACTGGTTGTAACTAAATTAAGAGCCTAAAAGAAATGGAGACTCAAAAGATGGAGAAATTTGTAAACTTGATTCTCCCGAATCTACTTTTTTTGTTAATGACTATTAACCTATGCATTCAAATGAGGTGAGAAAGTGTAATTTAAAACTAGACAATTTCAGGACTGTTAAATGGAGGATTATCAAGCACTTGAATAGGATCAATCAAATATATAAATGATTGGCAAAACTCGTAAAAACATGTAAATGATATTGAAAGATAAATGTTTCACATGAACTGACAATTTTAAACCCAGAGGAGGACAAAATAACAAAAGGAACAGCAATGTACTTACTTTAAATCAATTTAAAATATGGAAAATAAGGTTCAACAATTCTTGATAAACAGTATTCACATTGAGTTGAGACGATTGGAAAAACAAGTGGCAAGAAAAGACGACGAGTTAGGAGGAAAGAAAGAAAGGATTAAGTAAGTTTATCCATTAATTTCGATAAGTTGAGGTAAATTCATAACGAGTAGAGGTCTGATTAGAACAACCTCAAGATCAGTAGATTCGGAATGGTTAATATTAATATAAGAGACAACCAATCAATTGTAAAGAAAATTACGATTGAACAAAGAAACAATCAATTGATGGAGGAAAAATTTCAAGAAACAAGTAAAATAAACGAAGGTCGTCAGGCAAGATCAGCAACTCTTCTATACTTTCGTTTCACCATCTCCTTCATTCATTGGAACAGCAATAAAGAACTTTAATTCACTATCACATGCAATAATTTCAATAAAAAGATTCAACTTGTTTAACTCATTCTAATCATTGTTTAAGAAAAAATTTTGTTTACCAATAAAGTTATATATTTAGTCAACAGAGTTCGCCTCTGAGACTCAAAGTTTGAGTTTTTTTGAATAAATGCAGTTTTAACCTGAAAATGAATGAAACAAAAGTTAGTAAATCCCCTGAATAATAATCCCTTAATGAAATGAAGAAAAGATACAATTTAAATTGTTTTCAGTTAATTGCATGTTTAATTTTCCAATTATGTAAAAAAATCCTTACAATTATCAATAGATCATTGAAAGATATTTTAATATAACAACAAGATTTATGATTATGAACAAAATAATTACAAGCAGCAAAAGATGAGAATCAGCTCTTGAATACGGACTAATATGCAAATTGGTGCAAAATATCAATGATGAGTTCAAAGGTTCACAGTATAAACAATGATTTGAGAATTGTATGAAAAAATTTGAAGGAAACAAAATATCAAATGAATATTTGATACTCAAGTGATACGATAGTTACATCAAGTTAGATGTGTGAATCTAAATTGTATTTGAAGGGAACCATCAGATGTCCCAAAGATATTAATACCTTAGTATTGATTAGAGCGATATAAATAATGATGATACAAATTTTCATGATTAGGTGCCCAATGAGAATGATGGCGATGATTTTAAATTAATTGCATTTTATTGAAAACGTCAAATATTACTCATTTGGTTCATTTTGGACTAGATTTGTGGAGTAAGTCATCGTCATATCTTGAAAATTTAACGAAATGATCCCTTGATAGTAAACTTTTACGTCCTTAAAATAACCAGAACGTGAGAGTATCAGGAAATGTTTCACCGGGCAGCGCAAGATGATGGGTGAAGGGATAAACAACCAATAGTGGATCCGATTCGGCAAATTTAAAGGTAGAGCTATAACAACTACAACATAAAATTAAATGTTGTAAAAATATTTAACCATCTTTCTTAATACAATTGAATGCATTGAGTTTGACGGTGCTTTTAATTTACTCTTTGCATTCAAAGTTGAAAGGGTTGCCATCAAGGTTTTAACATTTTCAACAGGAGTTTACAAGCCTAAATAAATATATACTCTGAGTTGGATTGTTTTTTTCTTATTCATGGTAAGTTTTGAAATGAGTGAAGTTGAATTATCGCCATAATTCTTGAGGAATATATCGGAAATGAAGATGAACAGCAATATCGGAGCTTGTTCGTTGAATGCTCAACGCAAAAGGATCAGTAGGATGGAAGGTATAAGCGACTAATCTCAGGGTTACAAGGGAGGCTTCAATATGCTGCCGATCTGCATGTATTTGGAAACGGAATGATCCATCGGAGCGAGAGAAAAATTGTATTGCATATTCACTGCAGACTTTTGGACGTTCCAAAGGAGATATCCAACGGTCATCGTATTTAAATAGAGATAGATCCAAATATGGAGATGGTGTATATGATTGTGCAGACAGTGGAAGTAAAGATAAGACTCGTCGGGTTGTTTCCTCTGAGCCATGATCTCGATTGGTGATATTTTTAAATCGATGTAAACATTCTCGAGCATAGAAATTGTTGGTTGATGAACAAATGGCTTGATTATAGAGAGTATGAGTGTTACGAAAATAATCACAGTAATTTTCAAACAGCTGGGCCAATTCATTGGATGTGTTTGAATAAATATCTAAAATTTTGGCTTTCGATATTTGGTAAAAAACAAAGTAAGATGTGAAACCAGTTTGATCTCCTAGCCTTTGAGCGACCAACTCTCCAAATTCATATTTAATTAATAGATGGTCTCTATCAAGTAACTGCATTTTGGACATTCTTAGGCCACAGTATTCGTCAAACTTTCGGTAAAATGTTAGTAATAATTCAGGGTTAGATTTCTCTTTGGCTTGACTTTGGGCCTGACGGTAAAAAAAGGCCAAAATTCTATGTTTCATGGCACAAAAAGAAACTTCGTGGTAAGGATGAGTTGGTGTATCAAATTGAGAATCGAGATAAGATGAAGCTGATGCGTTTGATGAATCTGATGAGGAGGGTGACAGTGGACGAGTTTCCGTATTGTGCAGAGTCGAAACAAAAGGGTCGTCATCATAACAAAAGCGTCCAATAGAATTAACTTCAATGAACGTTTTCCCCACTATTTTACAATCGTCTAAACGATAAAGATAAATGGTTTGGTGTTGAACTGAGAGTATGGCAAGTATATCATCGTACAGGTAAAGTCCTTGGTTGTGAGGCAGGGAAATGTTGTCCGTTTTTAAAACAATTTGGTCACATTTTTTACCATTTTTTATATCAATCAGATAAATAATGTAATCTTCACAGAAAAATTTTACATTTACACTGACTGATTCGTTATTTCTCAATACATCATAATAGTTTGGCATGTCAATAATAGGAGCAGAACTGGCAACAATAACATATCTACTATCGAATGTGAAGAGGCTGCATTCGCGATTTAATTTCTCATCATTTTGGGCCAATTTTATGATGTGTTTAAGTTTGAAAAAGCGTTTAAATATATTGGTGAAAAGAGAATCCCGATTTTCTCCATTGTCTTCAATAAAATCATCAGTAAGACGCACGTTTTCAAGCAAATCGTTTGCCCGATCAGGTCCTAGATATTCATAGATAAATATAGACACCTGGTCGTAACTGAAGCCAATTAAACGTTTGCCATCAGGTGTAAACTTTCTTACAATACAGGGAGGCCTTTCAATGTTAATCACAGTCATGTTTGGATAAATGTGCTCATGAAGACTTCGTTGAATTTGACGATGGCATGATCTGGATGAATGGTCAACTAATTCACGATTCCGTAATCGATGGATAATGCTTTGGTTCCTTTTCATGATAAATATTGGACGATAAGTAAATCACAATGCACAGTTTAATAATTTAATGGATTCCAATCCTGAAAGGGTTTAGATAAAAAATTAATATTAATACTTGAAATTAGGTTGAGATTCATTTAGTCAACTAAAAAACACAATAGTTTTGTCAAATCGATTAAATATTATAACAAAGTAGCCTATTTAAATTTTTTAAGTATTTTGACAAAATTAAGTCATCTAATTAATTTATACAAATACAATTTATAATAGTCATTTGATTGCTTCCGATAACAATACATCGTTGCTTATTTTGTTTCAACACACTCCGGTTTGTTTTTATGGTGAAATGTAAATCAACTATCAAAGAATTCTGAATCGTTATATCGCTAATCATTGCTTTGTTCACCGCTAATTGCTTTATATAACCTTTAAGGTAGGCTTAGTAATCTAAACTTTTGTTTCGATCTGATTTCGAAATTTCAGGTGATTGGTTTTTTCAGTAATTTTTTATCATGAAAAATTTTCTTAATTTATTGAAAAAGTTGTAAGTCTATTCAATTTATTTTGGTTTGTTCGTGTAATATTTGACCAATTATTTAAAAATTAGGTTGAAATGACACAACAAATATCAAGTAAAATCTAACAAAGCCTGACGAGGCCTGCATTGCTGGCGTATAGGATTGACAAACAATCAATAATTAAAGATACCAGATTCAGGAAGGAAACTACTAAATATTTGAAATCTTAATATTGTAAAAAGATAATTTTGTCACAAATTACTTGCATAAATTACAAAGAAATATACTTACCAACATACAATAACAGCAGCTTAAAGGTTGCTTTTCTGGAGATTTTCAAATTCTGAAATTTTAAGCTGTAACGACATTGTAACTTATTGGTTATTAGAAACTGTTGAATAAAGAGGTAAGAAATGAAGCACGAATTAAATATGTCCAACAGGCAAATTATGATGATAATTTTTATTTCAGAGAAATTTTCCTCACAATTTATCACCGTTCAAAATTAAAGTCAGCTGAGTTGAACTCGATTCAAACAGTTTTGTTTACTAAGTAAGTTGAAAAGTTAGTCAACAGAGTTCGCTCCAATAGTTTATCAATTCCGGCAAATTAATTTTGGTTGTTTCATGTTTAGGTGTATAAGCTCACCGCCACAAGCACCATTAAAATAATAAATTGGTTCAGTCTAAAATTGAGAGTTTAGATAATTGTGTTTTGATTAACTAGTTCTAGTGTTCCAAGATTTAAAGTAATCAAACACTGTTTGCTTTTTGATATGATGTGACAGATAATTTCGTGCAACAATTAATTTAATGAAAACAAGTAAAAAAGTCAAAAAATAACAATATTAAGCTTTTGATAAGCAATATTATCAAAATGTGTATTAAAATAAAGATTTTTAAGTTACCAAGTCGGTTTAACAATAGCAATGGCTCATTTGAACAGCTTAACTGGAATATCCTGAATGACAATCTAATGTTACAATTCATCCTTTAGATTTGAATCAAAGTATGAGGCCATATTTCATTGTTAGATCATTTTTTCCTTCTGATATAATTAGTCTCTGGATAATGATGTCCATTGTAATGGTGTCTGTGGTGGTGGGAATGATGATAATGATGAGGATGGTGGGGGTAAAGTGAATGTGAATAATGTGGATGATAGTAATTGTGGGGATAATGATGATTGTGATATCTTCGATGATGGTCACCATGATCAAGATAAATAACTGCATTCGATTTAAGCGGACTAGATTTGTGAAGAAAGTGAAGAATTTCCCATTTTCCTGAACGATTTCCTGGAAGAATTACTTGACAACGAGCTTCTATATCCGAAGAGTGGCCAGAATGTTTGACGTGAGAACATTTGAAATGCTTTGGGGGAAGATGACTGAATATTGGATATCGATGGTCATAAGTATTAGACAACGATGGATCATAATGATTATAATCTGAAAGTCAAAAATCAAAAAAGCAAAACTTAAAGTTAGAGTAACTCTACAATTTTAATTGACTGCTTATAAATAAACAGCTAATGAGTCAATAATATACCTAAAAATAATATCAAAAAAATATTCAAAAGCAAAATTGTCAAGTTTGTCATTAAAGTGAGAAAAACTTCTTCTATATGTAAACTCATTAAGACTCAACTGCAAAACTGACCATTGAACGATGGATTGGTTTAAAAAATTAAATCAGATTGAAAGCACAGCGTCTTTGAAACAAATCTGACAAACTTAACAATTTCAATTTTCAATTTATTTTGATTTGAATCGACTATTCTTACCATAATTATGAGCGGTTCTTGGATATCCTGATTCATTTGAAACTATTTCACCATTAACTGGTTCACCGGGAACATCTTCAATAGGGATTTCTTCAACGTCACTTTCAATTGGATCTTCTGTAACATCTGCATCATCCAATGGTTCTGGTTGCTCTTCTGACTCTGGATCAACAAGTTCACCATTTACAGCAGGATCAGCAGGTATTTCTGAATCAACGATAGGCTCAGTTATTTCACCATCATTGTTAACCGAATCGATTCCATCAGTGACACCATCAGGATTGGCTACCTCTTCTGATCCAACATCATCTAATGAGAAAAAAAGGATTCATTAAACAAATAAAATAAATTGAGAGTTTTGTCCACAGTCAACTGTTGTACTCTTTATGTTTTATAAGATCACCTGATGGATAGGGAAGATGACGATGGTGTCGATTATGGTTGAAGTAAGGGTAATCATGATGGTCATAATGATGATAATTATGATGACCATGGTGGTGGTAGGCATCTTCCCTTGCACCATAATGATGTCCATTGTGAGGGTGGTGTAAATGATGATGGTGTTTAGACGTGAAATCATGATATGAATCTAAAAGCAAGGTTCCATCACGATTTGTCTCAGGCGTTGAAACTCGAAAAGAGTCAAATGAAGCAGAAGATTTAGTTTCATTTGATTTTTGTAAAAGCCATCTTGAAGCACTAGCGTTTTCCTCTTTAGAGACCAATTTCGGTGACAGTTTTTCATCTTTCAAAGCAACAGCTTCAATTAGTGACCAAAGTATCACTGCATTGACAACTATGTTAATTAAATAAAGACACGCAAGATGGAACTAGATTAGTAGACGTTTTAAAATGTAAACAAATGTATAAAGGATAAAATATTTATTACCTGTGAAAATAGTTTTCATCATGATTTTACTTTTGTGTTGTTGATCGTTTGAAATAAAACTACAAAATCATCTTGAAATATCATCCTTAAATACTTATATGAAGATACAGATGAGAATGGAATCAAACAAAGGTCAATTTTGATATATTAATGATGTCCTTAATTACCATTTCAATTTTAAACAAAGACGAGCCTTTGGTTTACTTGTAAGTACCAGATTTTGGGTTGAACCGGTAAATAGTTAAGAGAAATGTATTGTTTTATTAATTACAGCATAATTGAAAAGAAAGTGAATCGTAACTTCCAGCTGAGTTGATCTCAATTGATTTCGCTTTTTCCTTATCAACACAATTGACCCATAGAAACTATTGTTTCCCAATTTTGTGGTCAAATTAATTAACCTGATAACCTTTTCCTGGTAAATTAGATTGAAATGTACTAGAAATGCTGAATCGATTAACATTGAGGTGAAATGTTTTGGAAAAACTTTTATCAACGATTCATCTTCTTTTCATGACTGATCAACCAAATCACTGTGCGTTTAATTAGATTCAGCTCTCAATCTGTTATGACAGACAATTCTAACTGTTCTGTAAATATGATTAAATGAAAGTTCCAATAAGATTGAGCTTTATTTAGTCCATTTTTCTATTGCATTGTTTTTTTCTGAAAGCTAAATATGCTCGAGATGTCGATGCCTAGAAATTAACTTAATTGGCATCCTTTTTGTGAACTTAACCCTGACCATTACTGTATGTGAAAGTGACACTAATTTTAATTGCTTGAGCAGAATTTAAAACAATCATTTTCAAACAGCCGCTTAACAGTAATTGTACATTCAGTTGCTCACAACCACAATTTGGTACAATTTCTTGCTTTGCTGATCATTTATTTTCAAAATTTTACCGTAATCTGAAGAGGTTAGTTCAGATTTTTAGAGGTTAGATTCGTTTTTAAATTCCTCAAATCGATGAATTAGATTATCACCTAATCAGTGACATTTAAATCACTTGTAGACATCTTATTTTAGTATTTGTATCTTGAACACGTTTACCTTGTTAACCCAAGGATTTGGCTGGATTAAAATTGAGTTTCGCGAGGAAATTTTTTTCGATGAAAACACACAAATGAAGGTAACTGGCATGTTATTTATAGTGCTGATTAATTTCTGTTAATGATTTTGAATCATAATTAGATTCAGCCTCTCTTAAAAATGGTGAGTTCAGGAGTTGGCTTAGTGTTTGTGCGATATCATTTACAAATTTAATTGTACTCTAGTTGAAATAATAAATGTTAACTCTCACTTAATTCATCAGTTAATGCATTTAATCTTGTCTTCACAGGAGTCAAGTAGACTATCTAGATTAGCTATCAGTCGAATTCATGAACATATTGAGCCAATTTGATGGTACAAATGGAACTCGCAAATAGCAAAGGAATTATGAGTCCGGCAAGCGTGTGCATAGTGATTAAATCGGATTTATAGATGAGAATCATTTTGTCAAAGCAAACATCCTTGAATCGGTTAGCATTGGAACATCCTGAAACCCATTTTCGACTCGATTGTCCCTCCATGGTTTCAGGGCAACATGAGCCAGGACAAGATGATGCTTTACAAAACTCTTGTGGCCAATACCAACCACAACATTGGTGCTCTCTCATAGTTCGGGCAACAAGCGGTGGCAAAGTAACACTTGAATTAAAGGGATTTTTCTGGTCAGTAGCAATACTTGTATTAAAGTGAGCCACTGATTGATGGAAATTCTTGGACGCTCTTGAAAATGATCTCTCCAGCTCTGATCCAATTGAAAAATATAATCTATCAGTATCGATAATTCCAATTATCAGTGAAAGACAGGTCAACATGAAAGCAAAAAAATGTAATGAAGAAGAAAAAACCAAACCAAAATGTGATGATTTCAATTCGGATCCACTTCCAATGATGGTTGATACACACAAGGCTACTGATGTCATTATGTAACCATATCGAACAATAAGATCACTGTCAATATTAACAATATAAGTTTTATAATTAACATAAGCAATTATACCAAGTAGAATGGACAATAAAAAAATTATCGAATTACAATAATGTAAAGCTGATTGGAGACGTCGATGTGAATAGAAACAAACGGTTTTTGCACCAGCCTGTGATATTGTACTACCAATTGAACCTACAATGTTGATTTTTGCAAGAAAAAAAAGTGTTTAATGAATTGTAAATTATCTAAAATTATCACATATTAATACTTACTGTTTGTTGTACTGCACTCAGACGTTTTTCTGCTAATCATCCTTGTAATTGTCAAATTATATTAAAGCTAATTACCAATCGTTTAGTCTCTCGTATGGGTTCAAAGACATAAATAATTTAACCAAGATTGGCTTCTAAAACTGGATTTGAATATTTCTGGTTCATTGTTGGTTGACATTTTCCTTTTCAAGTGTTGAATACTGATAGAGATGAAAATGTATTTAGATGTATCATTGATGATTAATGATTGGTGATTAATTTGATCACGGTTCGTGTAAAAGTGTAAATAATCAAACAGACTAAATTGTCAAATTATAAAGGCTAAAAAAGAGAGGGAAAACAAGCAAAGAAAAACAAGAGACAGTTAAAATAGCAAGCGAGGGAAACTTAAAATCTAATTGTATTAAAATGATTGAAAGTTAAATTAAAGGGGCTAATCAAGGCAGTAGTAAAAGGATGGTTAAGTGATGATCAAGATAATAAGAACCCTGAAAGTGTTACAGGCTTCACTTTAAATTGTATGTTTAAAGGGTAAGCACGAATGGTTAGGGCTTTTACAATAATAATATACCTGTTGCTGTTACAAGCAAAATGAAGTTGATTGAAAAGATTGAAAGTGGTTGATTATGATGTTCATCAATTGTCACTATTTCCATACACTGTTAATGATGATCCTAATGATTTAATAAACATTAAAAAAGAAAAAAATTTCACACAAATCAACAAAAACAATTAACTAAATTGTAAAGGTTGGCTTTACATTATCTTTCAACATTGAAAACCGTTAACATTAAAAAACATTCAAATCTATTAGATCCCAATCCTGATCCCAATCTCGATTCAAATCTTGATTAAAATCTCAATTCAAAATTTTATTCCAATATCGTTATGATATTGATCATGAATAAAATAGTCATCAGCCATTAAATCTTTAATAATTGTTACTGAAATCAATGATTGTTTCATTTGACTAATAATGGTTAGCTAAGAAGACTCACAATGAATCAGTTAATAAAATACCAAATTGTTTAATCGACTATTGGACGTTAGCTGAAAAAGATGTTTGATTATAAAGAGATTGATATGTTTACAATTAATTGGATCAATTGTTTTTATACAAAAGAGTTTGTTTAATGATGAGATTGGTGATCAACTTGAATATGAATGTAATTTCAAGCCATCAAACCATAAATTATTTGTTCACTTTTATTCGCTTTCAATCATTTCAAGTAATTAAATGAGTGTTGAAATCAATTTTAATCATCAACCATAATATCAATGCAAATAAAAATAAAAAACAATCATTAACATTTAATGACTCTGTAAGGGTCATAAGCTGTAACAGCCGAAAGCGACGGACAAAAATAATGTCCAGTTTGACTGACAATTGTCTGTAATCATTTCGTTACCATTACATGATTAACGTTAATTTTCACATCTTTTTGCTCAAACCATTCGGCTAAAGTTAAAATTAAAATGATGTTTTACTGATCAACCTTATTTAACACCAATTTAACCTCTAAATCTTACTGTTATTAAAATATCAGGCTATCGTTGCATTGACCAACTCTTGAACTTAGCTGGTGGTTAAAGACAATTTGTATTTTAATTTTTCTTCTGAAATTAATAATGTTAGCTATTTACCTGATCATCTTTCATAATTTGTCATCGTTTTAGTCCAGCCAACCGTAAATGAAAACAGCCGTTACCCTGGGTTGGTATTGCTTTCAAACCCAATTTGCTTCGATGAAAATAAACCCATTTCTCTCATCATCATCATCCCCATCTTCAGCCTTTTTAACCCTTCACAAGAATTGTCATTTAACTCTAATCACTTTATCGATAAACTTCACCTTCAATGGATCAACTAAATTTAACCAATTGTTAAAACGACTTGAAACAATCTCATTTTTTACTCTTCAGTCTCTTCTTTACCATCATCTCAAGTCGCCTTGTTTTTACTTGAAACCATTTTGTTCATTTTGTTACCTTTTATCTCTATTAAGGTTAATAAATGACATTTATTGATCTATTTTAACAATATTATCATATTTTTCTGTGTCTATCACCTTACTTGATATAACTGACCAGTGTGACTTATAATGTTTGAATCAAGTGACCTTTCTCCTGTGATATTGGCAAGTTGAAACATCTTTAAAAGTTGCAATCTTGAAGTGATTAAGTGTGGTGACACTGAATTGTTTTGTGAAATGATTGGAAATCCTGATCTAAAGACTTTACTCGGATTAATACCTTTACTAGCCTTTTTTGGGCCAACAATTGACGATCGATCGGACAATAGCAAATCATTGTCTTTACTATCAAGGAAAAGTTGGGAAAAGGAATATGATTACATTATTGGTGAGTATTATCGGTATGAACCAGAAAATAAGCAATGATATTGGTTGAATCAAAACAAATGATTGAAGTGTTGAAAAAAATTGAGTTGAATGTTGAAGTAATAACTTAAATTTATTTATAACAATCTACAATGAATATTGTTTTTTGAACCCTTGGTCAAAAGGGCAATCATATAAATACAAAATGAATAGAGTTGCCATGAAATGATGAAAATTGTGAGATTTGAAAGTCTCATCTTGGTATTACATGTGAATATTTAAAAGAGTTAAAGGTTTAACAGAGAAAAAACATTCCATTCATATTTCAACAAAAGGTAATAACATCAAGTTAACCATTGATCGATTTTCAAGTTAAATCAGAAAGATGTTGTTCAATTGGGCAAGGAGAGGTTAGGAGAAGAGTAAGGAGAGGATTTTTTTGGGGTTTATCTGGCACGCACAAACAGTTGAACCTTGAATGTAAAATGTTTGCTGACGGAAATAAAGCAAAACACCAAATCATCAAAGTTTGCTTGTAAAGGGTATCGATTGTGGTCATGATTGTTAACATAATTGAATGGTCTAAAGGCAGTGAACACTATTTTAACCATTACTGGATATGTTTGGTCGATGTTTGAGATTGTTGTCAGCTTTATGAGTAGTCTAATTACAAGATTATATTAGTTAGATTGGTCTAGTTTAATATTCGTGGCCACCATGTCCCCAGCCATGTTGTTTGTCCCAACCATGTTTGTGGTTTTTGTGGGCCCAGTGGTGTCCATCATCGTATTTCTCCTTTCCCCATTTTTCATTATTTTTCTTGTGTTGACCGTGGTCACCCCAGTTCTTCTTGTAATCCTTGTGTTTCCAGTCATCGTTGTGTTTGTAGCCACCTTGTTTCCAATGTCCCTGGTCATTAGCGTTGTGTTTTTCCCTAGAGAAAGAGATTGAAATTGTTAATATAATGATTGACGAAATGAAACCTGAACAACAAACATTGACAGATAGTCAGCCATCAAACTGTCACATTTTTCATTCTAAAAGTCAACTGTTCAAAGGGTTTTAACCCACAACTTGAATGTGATATTGACTTATAGACGATAAATGCTGAAAGTTCAATTGTATAACTTACCAAATGTCTTTCTTCTCTCCGTGTTTGTAGTCCTTGTGTTGACCTCCCTTTGATCCTTGCTTATACTTCTTGGCATGTTCCTTGTCCCATGAGTAAGATTTTACATAACCATGACCTTTGTCTTTGTCGTAATTCCATTTATCTTCCCATTTCTTCCAGTGGTCTTCTTTCTTACCCTGATCCCAGTGTTCCATTTTTTTACCTAACAAAAGACAAGAAAGCAAGATTAGGCAAAAGAAATAAGAAAGCTTGTTTTTGGAAAGATCACCAATTGATTTTGAATCTTTTCAATATTAATTTTAAATTTTTAGACTAAATTGATCATAAATTATTAAAATTTACTCACCCTTCTTTCCATCGTCATACTTTTTCCATCCTTTGTCAGCCCAATGTTTTTCATCGTGATGAGCTCCATTTCCCTTTTTGCCCCATTCTTCACTGTGTTTCTTCCAGTCATCGTATTTCTTGTTTTTATCTCCCCAATCCTTATATTTATTCATGTGGCCGCCTTTTTTACCTTCACGGGAAGCTAATTATTATTAATCATATAAATTGAACAAAAACATTTCAGAAAAGAAGATTGCAAGAAAAATTATTCCTGTAGACTGGCTTAAGACTTTTGTCTCCATGGATTCTATTCGTTAACAGCTAACTTGACTCATCGGACAAATTGTTAGCTTGCAAATCTTACAAACTGTCTTACCTCTAAGCTTATTTTTTGCTAACTGTTTATTGTTTTAATGAATATCATAGCTTAAGATTTATTTTTTTATTACTTTCATTTGTGAAATAATGTGATATAATTCAATCTGGAATTTACTTATATTATTGTTGAGTTTCAATTATTCAAATTTTGTTCATTGAATGTCTCTAAAGTCCAAGTTACTTCTATAACAATCACAATCTATCAGCTGTCTAATCTCCGATGATCCGTTTATATCACAAATTAGTGAAATGGTGTTAAAGAATGGATGATTCCTGAATAAACCGGAGAATCCAAAAAAACTAGCAAAAGCTAATAAATTAACTTGATAGGACTGCTCAAGATTTGGTAGACTGGATAAAAGGATCTGATTTCTAATTAAGCTCAACTGGTTGGAAACATTGTAAACAGCAGTCAATACGAAGTGAAACTCGCCGTAACAAAAGCTGACATTACCGTCTACAGATATTGGTTACTACAGTTGGTTGAAAGGAAACATTTTTTCGAGTACAATCAAGACAGTGGTGAAGATTTACAACTTACCCCATTCATCGTGTTCCCAACCTTTGGCATCCCAACCTTTTGGCTGACTCCATCCTTTATGTTCCCAGCCATTGGTTGCAGCAGCAACTAAATCACCAACAGTCAATCCAGTTGCACTTGACTCTGTATCCAAAGATTCAGCATTACTCCATGAAATTGTTGAGATATATACCAAACAAGCGACTAATACCAATTTGGATATCATTTTAACTTAGAAAAAAAACAATACAACTACAGAACTTGAATACTTGTTAATCCTTTTAGTTGCTTTCACTTTCTGTACCTTTTCAACATTCAATTCTCCCTTTATATACTTCGATTTCTCAAAGAACCACCCAGTTTACAATTACCAGTGCAATATTCAACCCTCTAAATCCATGAAGAAAATTATCAAGCTCAAGTCATCAATAACAAAACTGGAAAGGAAAGGATTAAGACAAAGGAGGAGGCAAAAGGAGGAGGAACACGCGAGTTTACGGTGACAATGATGAGAACCATGATTGCGATGTTGATGGTGACTCGGAGATTGCCAAAGAAAGAGAGACGCACTTATCTAAACGGTGCACTTTTTTGATACAACCATGATAGTAACTGACAACTGTGTACCCGCTTTTTCGACCCCATTTCGACTCCCTTTTCGACACCAAAAACAAAGCGAAAAATGGCTTGTCAATTAATCTAATCTAACGAAAGCGGAACCCAATCGAAACCCTGTAATCCAACAAGTCACCCAACTCACACTTTTCATCATCTATTTCATTTTCATTTTTCCCTTCAACCATATCCTTCTCCCTTTTTTTACTGTCTTTACTTATCGTCTTCTGTCGCCTTTCTTTTCCTCTCCTTTCTCCTTTTCTCTTTCTTCTCTATTCTTATACAAATCATCTTGATTGTATTCTAATTTAACTAATTTGTTACCACTTTTCCAAATCATTAGGCTGATGATATTACAACCACAATACGGAAGCTTTACTGTTAAAAGTTAATGGGAAACGCGTAAAGAATGGATTAACCAATGCATCGATATGGAATCAAATTTACACCAAACAATATAATACAATAATCATAATCGTAAAAATGATATTATTGGTATTGGAAATTCATTGAAACCTTTTCGAAATCCAAGAATCAACTCTAAATTAGATAATCGTAAAACCATTTCAGGATTTTTGCTCAAGAAATTTGCAATCTTTTCAATTTTGCTGGTGACATTATCGTCTTATGATCATCACTTTCAATCTCTATAATATCTTGATGATCATAATCAATTTAATTAGGACCATATTAGATAACTGAGTCAAATTAAATTGAATATGATCATTGTATTAGTAGAGCAAAAAGTTGATTAAATCAACACTCACTTACACATGTTTAAAGCAAAGATTGAGTTTCAACTCACCATTATTTATCATTATTATTATCATTATTATTAACATCATTATTTTGCTCAGTCTAATTAGCTAATTAACACGTTAACTATACAACAAGTGAACAATTTACTCTTATCTAGTCCAATCAGAGTATTTTTTTAATGTGCCAATATTGTTAAATTCAAATTGTTTCCGGAATCACCAGAAATTCATCTTAATTGTCAAACAGATTGTCATCTTAAATAATAACTGTCCAATTTATTGAACACACATTATGATTAGGATCGATTTATAAATTACATTTCACAATATAACTGTATAACGTTAAACATGATATTGTTTTCATGCTAATTTGTTTGAGCCATTAATTCCGCCAAACATATTCATCAATTAACTCAACTTCAATTACTTTAATCATTCAAGTTCATGCAATAGAGAAATTAATGCAAAACTGAACCAATTATGCTTCTTTAAAATTCAAGGATCAACAGCAAACAATCAAAACCAATCAAGTCTTATAAGGCCAAAGGCAAATACAAAAGCCATTGGATATTTAAAGTGATTAACATTATCAATTGGCTATTTCAAGCTTAATAAAGACTGGACATCTTGATTAAGATTCATTTTTTCATTCATATTCATACAAAATGAATTGCTCGCGATCAAATAATCAGATGTTATGTCAGTCTGGCCAACTGTAACGGTTGACATGAATATGGTTTTAATATTGTTTTGTCGTCTCCTTAAGTGATCAACCAATTGATTTAAATTTTTTATTAAATTGGAACAGTTCCTAATCAAATATTCAAATCATAGTGAATAAATAGAAGCTTGAATCAATTTAATTCAATGAATTTACATTTAGTAAAGTGATTCTAATTGAGTTTGTTTCATTTTTATTTTTGTCAACAGTTGGTGGAGGAACAGCTGGATCAGTATTGGCTCGTAGATTATCTGATATCCCAGAGAATCGAGTTCTGGTAATTGAAGCCGGTGGTATGGAAAATATAATGCATGAGATTCCCTTGGCGTGGTCAACATTGAAAAAATCTGAATACGATTGGAACTACAAAACGGAATCTCAAGAAGTTGCTTGTTTTGGCTATGAAGATAAGGTTTGATATGATTCATTGAAAAGCCTGTCTGTTTTGTAGGCTCAACCTAATTATTTATTAATCTTGTATTAATTGTTAATCTTTTTTTCAGAGAATCACTTGGACATCAGGAAAAGTGCTCGGTGGCACCAGTTCAATGAGCAATATGATTTATGTGCGTGGAAACGCCTTTGATTTTGATGGTTGGCTGAAGGAAGGTGCTCTTGGCTGGAGTTGGGATGAAGTTTACCCTTACTTTCTTAAATCAGAAGACAATTTAGATACTGAGATTGCTTTTAATGGTAAGTAATTAACTCATTTTGTGCATATTGCCATTGTTAATGTAATTTAATAATTTGATCGCTTAATTCTGTTGACACTTACATCCTACTTTTGCACTATACTAACATAATCATGTATTTTACTTGAACCTTTTTTCAATGTAAACAAGTTAAAGGCGATTGATCTGTTGATTAATTTCAATTGACAGGTTAGCTTATCAATTATCATTGTCACTTAATAACCATTTAACCCATTCAGTGGAGTTATCGTCAATTGGACAATTATTTTCTCAGCTAATCTGAAGCAAAATTGGAATACAATTTATAATTCTATTAATATTTGTAAATGCACTTTCACTGTTTTTTTTTAAATTATCAATGCAGCTCTTGTGTTGTCTAATTAGCTGACTCAATTGTTTATCAATTTACTCATTGAAATGCATTTATGGTTGATTGTTGTTGATTTGGTTAAACAACTATTTAGATTGAATGATTATTTCACTTTTCTCGGTAAATGATGTTGAAGATGGTAAAAATTTGTATCTTTTTCTTAAAGGTAAACAACCCTGATTTAATAGATTCATTTGATTGTTACGAGCCATTTGGTAAACTATTAAATAGCCAATTGAACAATAACAATAGTTAATGAGGATATTTGTTAAATGATCATCATCATTGATAACAATCATGATCAATTTTCAACAAGAACGATAACTGTAAAGTAACCCTGTTCTGGTGTCAATTGAAATTAAATTCATAAACGATATCGTCTATCAAATGAAACTATTTTATTGAGATGGCAATTAACATGTCTCGTCTGTATACAGATATGAGACAACAATCAATAGATTTTCAACAAACAATACAATTGTTCACAACATCAAGTATTGAATATCTTTCCGTTAAATCTGTTCATTGAAGGGCCTCTGGAGTCAATTCTGATGGCGATGACTTTTTCCGTTTTTGACTCATAAAATTGAACGGTTTTCTTGCACCTTTCAGATAAAATGAAAATGAATGCCTATCGAGGAGTGTAGATGATGCAGATCGACCGACAGTTTCCTTGTGTTCATCTTTTGATTTTTCTTGATCACTAATTGCTCTATCTTCATCCGTCGTCTCTGATTGATCAGGCGATGAATTGTGAGCATCAAAATCATTAACCGATGTCTTGTTTGGAGAGGCTTTCAATGATAATCTCGATTGATTTGAAAGATTGTCTTTTCTCCCATGTAGTTGATCCTTGTCCACACCTTCAGTTTCATTTGCAGGTTTACCTTCCACTATGTTTAAAGAACATGATTTAGACTTTTCGATAGTCTTTTTATCCTTTCTTCGTGATTGTCTCGGTGCTCGACGCATTGAACTCCATGTGCGCCGATGTGGTGATTGGTTATGTGATTCATCGGCTAAACTAGCGTCAGCATCTAAAGCACTTTTAAAGCAAATTTAAATGGATTAGTTGACTGCAAGAAAAATGGGAAAAAGGTTAACCTTACCCTTCTCCTAATGTAAATGTAACCTTTTCTTGATTAATCAATGATTGTTGCTGGTTGAACTGTTGGTGAGGAGTTGAAGGTGCATCTAAATCACTCTCAGAACTGCCATCAGTTGATTCTTGATGATAATTTACACTAACCACACCGTTAGAAGCCTAAAAGTGTGAAGTTAACATGAAAATAAAAATGTGAAAATGAAATAAAAGCATCAAGTTATCAAGGAGAAAAACAATTGCAAAGCTTTTATGAAATTAGCAATTACTAATTACCATTTCTATTATAAAAGTATAAAACTATCTTAATCATGTGACAATTCATTCTGAAGATTATATTCTTAATTCAGATGAAATGAGTTGAAAAATCACAAAATGAAATGGTAAACAAACCAGTAAATCAAAATCTGGTAATGTTATTTAGTTTGAATTGTTTTTGCACCTTCTTATTGTTTACACAGAATAATTACCTCAGTTCTTGAAAGCTTTGCCTGTAGATAATTATTGCTATTATTATGTGTTAGATTATTATTTTGTTGATTAGCTTGAAGATGGTGTTGGTAGTGATAGCTTGATGATGTTGATGATGTATTTAGACTTGATTTATGATCAGATGAATGGCTTGATCGAAAGGATCGCTCAAAAGGGTTAAAACCAAATTTTGCTATGACTGGACCTAAAGGTACAAGTAAACAGTTATTTGATTGTTGTTTGGTTAACCAGTCAATATATTAGATTCGCACTAATCTTACTTTTTAATGGTTCACTTTCCATTTCAACCAAGAAACCATCATCAATGTTTGCATTGAGATGAGCAATTTCAGCTTGGATAGATTCAATTCCGCGATTATGGACAATTGCAAAGCCACAAAGGCCTTCAATTTGCTGCCAACGAAATGATCGCTCCTTAAACTCTTTGGTTATCTCGGAAAGGGCTTTTTTTGCCTGAAGAATGCGATTGTCAACATCGTCAATTGAAGATCCATGAGCGACTCTCAATGAACCAAAAAAGGTTGAACGCTTCTTCTTCAACTTATCACACTGTTAGACAGGCAAAACAAATGAAAATGTGAAAGGTGACAAAAACAACAGACACAACTCAATGTGTAAATGTAATCTAATTGTGATAATTCACTTTTATTCAAAAGATGGATTAAAAGATTAATTTTACCCCTTCTTTGGCAGCAGCTAATTGAGTCTCGGCTGCTTGTCGTTTGGTATTGTAATGGTTCAATTCAAGCTCATGAGTCAGTTGTAACCATAATTGAAGTTGATGAGGAGGTGCCCATGATTTATTTGCTAATGCAGTTTCAGCGCGATTCAATTGTTCTCGAGTTTGAAAAAGCTCTTCCTCAAGTTCATAAATCCGATTGTAATCTGAATTTGAAGTGTTTCCTAAAATCACAAATTGAGACAAGAAAATGTTCAATCAGAAACATTTCAATGTAAACATCTTATTTCAATAACATACCTCCAGACGGATCAATCAGATGGTAATGTGATCGATTGGTGTGTCGCTTGTTTTGATCATCTGATTTGATCACATCACCACTATTTGACACTGATTGTTCCATCTTTACTTTGTCCAATTCTCGTTGTAACTCGTGAAGTTGATCTTCAGCTTTCTGGATTGATTTCATATCCTTTAACATTTCTTTTTGCTTTAATCGAGAATAATGATATTGAATTAGTCCAATGAAGGCAATTACAAGGGCCACAACCAGACTTAACAATCCAATTGTATCAACTGTTGCTTTATTAACCTGGTTAATTTTATCAATGGGTAAAACCTTCATATCTCGGTTAAACACTTGATCTTTGGGTAAATCATTTATATCCATAGCAGTGACATATTTCGCGATTCAATTGCTAGTCTAAATTATTATCATCAAAAATAAGAATATAATCAAAATCAAATTTTCACCAACCACAGAAATCATTCAATTTCACCAGAAAATTTCATTTCTTCAAAAAATATTCAAAAGGAGTTACAAACCTTTGATAAAACGTTGGCTTCTATAAAATTGTATGGGAATCTTGTTCACTATTTTGGATCATAAATGTTGAATTCACATAATTTTTCCTTGAAGATACAAATTGAAATGAATAATAATGAACTACTATTACAGATTTGATTCAACCAAATATTATTAAAGACTAGGACCGCTCAAAATGGGTTGAAATATTTGAATCTGTAAATTGTTAACTAGAAATGGTTGCAAGATGAGCTAAATGAACAAAATACAAGCAAAATATGGTTATGTGACAATTACTTCACTGCTGACGATTGATGATAACATCTTTATAATGCCTAATTAATCTCAGTTGGTTACTGAAATTAGCTTTATTTTATATAAAGGAGCATCAAGAAATTGTCTTACCTTTATCGTTAATCGCAGTATAACGTAATCAATGGCATGTTAAACACAATTACTGATCTTTATAATTGTCACTTTAACATTAATCATAAAACAATCAATTAATCCCAACAAAAAATAGACGATGAATTAAATCAAAAAGCCCTTCAATTAAACACATGTTAAAGATTAAGATTGAAGGTAAAATAGGAGCAAATTTCAATACAAATATTAATTTCAGAAGACAAAAAAGACAACAGTAGCATCTTTAATTTGGTTGATTAAATCTTAATTAATAGTGCATATTTGATGATCATTGAGTACAACAATACTCAATAATATGGTTATCGATCAACTGAACATCTTATCAAAGTTCTGTTTTCAGTAAAAACAAGTTCATCTGAGTCTCAATTTTCAAGACATTTCGCCAATTCAAAGGTTTAGCTTTTCATTTTTAGATTTGAATCATTTCGCCAAACGTAACCATCATTTGTATTGACAATTTCATTGATTTAAATGTGAAAACAATTAAGAAATATTAATAAGGTCAAAAACTATTCCAGTTTTAAGTGTAACAATATTAGCGCCAGCAAGAGTGAAATGATATTAATTTTACGTTCTTTTCTTAACTGCAATTAAAATAGGCTTAATTTTTGCCCTAAATTAATTGAGATGTGAATTGTTAACGACAATTAACCATTGGTTGTTGAAATGATTCAACATTTTAGATGATTATTGCTTCTTATTTTGGTGACTTTTGCGATTCTTCCCTTATAACCCTAACATTCATTGGTACACTTGAATAGTTTTGTTCAACTCATTTTCAATAAATTACACTTTTTGTTACACTTAATTGTTATCATTAACTCTACTTTCTCATTAATTAAAGGTTATCATAGACAAGGTGGCTTAATGGGCATTTCAAAATCACCATTTACCTCTGAATTGGGTAAAACTTGGCTTCAAGCTGGATTGAGTTTGGGTTATCGGTCAACTGATTGTAATAGTCAAAAGCAATCTGGTAATGTTGATACACAATTAATATTTATTAATAAAACTGATCAATGTATTTAACTTTTCTGAATTTTCACAGGATTCACAATTCCTCAAGGTTTCATCAGGAAAGGTGGACGATCCAGTGCTTACAAAACATTTCTGGAACCAGTCAAGGATCGTAACAATTTACATATCATGTTACACTCTCGTGTTACTCGGGTATAATTATTATTAAATTGGTACTTTATTGGTTCTAATGATTTTAAATCTTTGATTACAGATCCTTTTTGGTGACAATAAAAGAGCAGTTGGAGTACAATTTGACCGTGATTCTTTGTCCTTTGTTGTTTATGCCAAATCAGAGATTATATTAACTGCTGGAACAATCAGTACACCTCATCTGTTAATGGTATCTGGTGTTGGACCTGCTGATCATCTTGAATCTCTCAAGGTATAAAGTGTTTGAACAGTTTACAGCTAATTACAATCTATCGGTTTTATAATAATTTTGTCAACAGATTGTGCTTTGGTTGTGTTTCTGGTTGATAACTCTGGTTGTAGAGGGTTGAGATTATTTAATTGAAGATGATCTTATTTTAACATTGTATTTATTTTTCCATTGCTTAAGATACCAATTGTTGCTGATTTACCGGTGGGGGAAAACCTCCATGATCATCCTTACACTGGAGGGATTACCTTTTCTGTATCTGGAGTGAAGACTTTAAAGATTGATGAAATATTTAGTCCGCAAAATTTTCTCCGTTATCTGGTTTCTGGTTCTGGTCCATTAACATCTTTTGGTGGCATTGAAGGTGTTGCTTTCATGACTTCTAAATACACAAACAGTTCAGGTGATTGGCCTGACATTGAATTAATTTTGGTTAATGGTGATTTACAGGACAATAGTAAACTGATGACTGTTAAAATGAAAGAGCTGTACAACTCGACTCGATCGCTGAATACATTCACCATTTTACCTGTAATACTTAGACCCAAATCTCGTGGTTGGTTAAGACTGAAAACGGCTAATCCAGTTGATTATCCTTTAATTGATCCATTATATTTAACTCATCCAGATGACATAATGGTAATGGTTGAAGCAATTAAATCTGCCCTTGCTATTGGAACATCAAAACCTTATAAAGATCTTGAAGCCTCATTAGTTCCACTAATGATTCCAAGTTGTGATCATTATGATTGGTTATCTGATCAATATTTAGCCTGTTGGGCTCGGGTTATGACCGGCACTGTAGGCGATGTAGTTGGTACTTGTAAAATGGGTCCACCTTGGGATAGATCATCGGTTGTTGATCCTGAGCTTCGTTTGCTCGGTGGAATCACTGGATTAAGAGTTGCTGATGCTTCAATTATGCCAAGAATTATTTCTGGTAACATTAATGCAGCCGTAATTATGATTGCTGAAAAGGCTGCAGACATGATTCTGGGAAGAAAACTAGAAGCCTTTTCCGGTCCAATTCCAACCGATTATTCATCATTGAAAGAATTGAATCGAAATTGAATTAAGCTTTATATTTCCTATTCAAATTTAAAACATCTCCTTGTAATATAACCATTTTGTAATTGTTTCATTTTGATTTAAATGAATAGCTGCTGGCTAGGCTAAAACAAAATTAATAAACCTCTAATTGTTAAAAACAATGATTACTCGTAAATCTGCTAACAATGTTGCTATAATAATTATAACCTATGAAAAGGCATTTTATATTCATAAGGACAAATGTCAGGAAACCTTAAATCAAGGGTAAAATGAGACTAAAGAGGTGAAAATAAGGTTTAGTTATATTTATTTTTGACCTGTGGTGAAGTTAAAAGGTGCCTTGAGGTCAGTTGTTGGGTTCAAGTAAACTACAGTGAAAAAAATAAAAAAAGTGAACATGCGTCAATAAAAAATCAGGTTCCACCGAGATTTGAACTCGGATCGCAGGATTCAGAGTCCTGAGTGCTAACCATTACACCATGGAACCAGCTATTAGTAAAATTTGTTCAAATATTAATTTAAACAAATTTGGGGGAACATCATGATTGGCCATAATCTTTTGAATCAATCTGCTAAAGAAAACCTTTTCTCATGCTAAGCAACCTGGTTAAAAATTTAAAATGCCAAGTCACTAACACTAACATTTTCTTTGACTCTAATGATTCATAAGCGGACCATTTTGATTACATTTAATGCTGATTTGTGTTTATTTCATCCAACAGAACATGTAATTTAATCTTCTTAAAGGGTGTAACAAGTTATAGCTTTCAAATGAAGGAGGTAACAAGAAAATTTAACCTACGTTATCTTTAAATTTGACCATAGACATGAACTATCATCTTAGCATCTTCATCGTTATCATCAAATTTAAAGATAACGGCTAGTTAAATTTTCTTGTTATATCCTTTCATTTTCAAGCTATAACTTGTTACACCCTTTAGAATAATCAACTTTCATAGTTTAGCATAAAACATTTAATTTAATTCAACACGATTTGATGGATACTATTAAGTTAATAGCAACTTTTTTAATCACACGATGATCAGTGTTTTTTGTTGTTGTTTGTTGTTTCAGTTAACTATAATTTAATACTGGATAGTAAATTTTTTAAAATTCAGTAAACCTTGAATAGTTTTGACTATCAATTTTATCCGAGTTGTTTCGTTTTTTGGCTAGTAGAATTAACCAAATTTTTTGAATGCTGAAAAATTTAAGTCTAATTATTAAATTATAATAATAATAATAGTAATAATAATAAAATATGAAAATTACACCAATAATGTCAGTTTTATATCATGTTTTCGCGACCGTTTTTTACAGGATGTCAGAAAATCAGACAAAACTCTTCTCTGGATTGGGATTTAATTGGCTAGGTCATCTTGTAGAAGAGCTAATATCAACCCATCTTTTTTGCTTGCTTTTAACAAATGACAATCGGCTAGGGTCCATGGCAGGGAAACTTGCATCACCAAAATTGAAAGAAGTTCCAGCATTAAGATTGTTTGCCATTGGAGGAATCATTGGGTTTGATCCAAAACTTTGAGAGGAAGAATTCATAAGGTTTGGGAAATTGGATGACGAGAGCGATTGATTTGATGATTGGGGTGGCTTTTGGAGAAAGGGTTGCATTGTTTGAGAAGATTCGTGACTTGGTGGTCCCATTGATTGATTGAACATTGGTATTTTAGGAGGACCTGGTGGAAGATTTGGAGAACTTGGGTCATCTTTTTCGTCTTTATTGATCCATTTTTGTAATTTTTCATCCCAAATAATTGAAGGATCTTTGTCATCGGGGAGAACCGCCCGTTTAGGTAATGATGGTAATTTTGAGAATAAAAAGTCAAGAACACCTTTTTGTTTTACAGTTTTAGAGTCCAATGTATCTCCTTCATTGGATCTTTCTTTTTCTTCGTTGCGTTTAACCTCCGTTTCACGTTCATTTGAGTTAGCCTGGTATTGTGCTGCTGTATCAAAACTGTTACTCCTCATTTGATTGTATTCTGTTGCTGGTGAAGCTATGGGGGACACAATAGGAGTTGAGATTGACGATGGAGCGAGCCCGTTGGTTGTTGTTGAATTGAAATTGTAATGATTAGTGTTTTTAAATGAACTGTGTCCAGCTTCACTTTCATCATAACGATTTGAGTCATATCCTGATTGAACAGAGATGTAGCTCATCGGTTGACTTTGTCCTGATTCAATGAAATCTTGATTGAACTGCTGTTGTTGTGGCTGCAGTTGCTGTTGTAGCTGTTGTTGTGGCTGCTGTTGCTGTTGCTGTTGCTGTTGTTGTTGTTGTTGTTGCTGTAACTGCTGCTGTTGTTGAAAAGGTTGAGGTTGTGACTGTAAGGATTGAGACGGTTGTGCAAAAGGCTGATTTTGTTGAATTGACATTCCTTGTGATGTCCAAGGTGTTGGTTCTTTTATTCTAGGCGTTTGTGGTGGTGTACTCGTAATAGTATCACCTGCAACTGAGCTGAATGCAGAGTCACTACGTTGTCTTGGTCGCCAAGATTGATTTTGCCTTTGATTGGCAAATTGATTAGATGGTTGCATAATCGAAGCCGGTTGATTCAAATTTTGTTGATTTTGTTGATTTTGTAGCGATTGTGGTTGTTGCTTCAGGTTAGATTCAGGATAATTATTAGAATAAGATGGTACAGAAGAATTAATCAACGTCGGAGGTGATGGTGGTGATGGTGGCTTCATCGCTGGAATCGGTGTTGGTATTTCTATCGGCTTTGGTACCGGTGGTGAACTGGATTGTGTTGAAAGAACATTGAATGGTTCAGGCCTACTTGTGAACGAAATTGGTTCAGGTCTTTGAAATTGCTCTGAGCTAGGCCTTGGGTAGAGAGGGGGTTGATCATCAGCTACTGATGGTGAACGTGATTTATGAGGTGAAGAAACTAATGAACCAGCATTTTCCTCATCGATACCGAGGGATAAACCACCGACATCTTCAGTTAAATTGTCAACAGACACTTCTGAAACTGATGGATCATCATCACCAGCCACTGCATCACTTGAAGCAACATAACTTTCACTAGGGGACCCAATAAGGGTACCGGTGATACGGCTTTCTAAATCGTCCAGAATTTTTGTCACATAATCCCAATTAACATTGGCATAATTAATCAATCCAGGGCTTTGATTAGTGTAATAATTAACAGCTTCTCTAATTTTTTCACAATACTTTTTTGCTTGATCAATAAAACCAAAATCAAACAACTTACAGGTAAATAAAACTTTGTAAGGAATGAAGTCAACTATTATCTCATCACAATTTCTGGAGAACTCGAAAATTTCATTGATGAAGATAAGCTCTTCTGAGTAGTCCAATTTAACATTTGGGTCATTGTTCAGGGAAGCAACGGGTGAGATTGAAATAAGATGTTGTGAATCATTGTTTCGGAGGGCTATAATAAAATTTAGAAGTTCTGAAGCTGCTGCAGAGACAACAGAATTAATTTCACAGTCATTGGCTAGAAGAATGGTGAAGTGCTGTAAATTTGAAATGGGCAATGGCTTCGTAGCATTCTTATTATAAAAAGTTAATTTGTTGAGAAGGCATCTATACAAGATATAAAGAGCATCCTGGTTGTTTAACTTGGTGTTGATGAATTTAGTCGCTGCTTCAAATATGGACGAAGGAGGATTGGAGTAGTTTAAAGTGTCAGGAGATAGAGTAAGACAACTAAGAGCCCAGAAATGATCCCAGAGACCATTTTTAGTAGCAAATTCGAGAGCATTTTTTCTCTGTCCAAGTGTCAATAGACGCCTGTAATGATTAAGCTCAGAATTTTCACCAACAGAAAACTCGGCTTCATTGTGATACAAAAGTAACTCAGCAATGTCAGCACCGGAAACATTTCCATTTAATTGCACTAATAATTTCAATATTTGCCAAATTTGCCTTTTTTGTTTATCATAAAAGGAAACTTCTACAGCTTCTCCAATCGTTTGATGTTGACCATCTTGAGCTCGTATAAATTCCATAATATCCGCCTTGTCTGTTAATCCCGACACTAAGGGACCAGGCCAAGTACTGATACTAATTCGACTCTCAATATCAATCAACATTGGTTGAAGATGATGTATGATTACATCTTTTCCATTTGCGATGACAAGTTGATTCAATGGACCAAAGGTTACTCTTGAATGTCGCATTGGATAAAACGGAGGTGTCAATCTTGCCCTTCTACCTCCAGCTTCACTTTTAGCACGATTTGCATGCCACCATCGCATGGCCTGCTGATACCATTCATTGAAGTTCGGTGGTAAATTGTTAGGGGTTTGGTAAGGATAAGCACTTGGGAAAGGTGGAGGCACGTTACCCGGTGGAAAACCACCAGGCATATTATTAGCTGGTGGAGCAGGCATAGTTGAATTGTGAAAACTGGTTGGACCAAAACTACGGTCAAACGATGAGCTACTTGTATTAAGGTCATAACGTTGAGAAGTTTGAAACTCATTTGGATAGGGTCTTTGACGGCCTTGATCATAACCTTGCATCGGATAATAAGGATACATTCCAGGAGCCGGTGAGGGTGCACCATAATTAGGATAATTTCTATATTGTGGAATCGGTTGATAAAAGTTGGGATTTTGTGGATGCGGTGGACCTTGGTAAGGTTGATAGTTTGAATAAGGTGGACCAGCAAGTGGGCCACCATGTTGTGGTGGTGGACCATAATAACTGGGTCCATAATTACTTGGTCCTTGATGAGGATAATGACTATAAGGCTGTTGGTGAAAAGACAAAGTAGCACCAGGTAGACTGTAAGAGGAAAGTTGATCAGTAGCTTGAACAGAAGAGGCTCGTGATATATTTGATCCAGTTGGCGAGAAACTTGGTCTCTGAGGCGGGCTCTCCTCTGGCCTAGATGGAACCTCATTATTCTCTTCAAAATCCCAACCATCCAAAGAGTTCAATGATCTCCTTAATTCACCATTTTCCTCTGATGTTTCCTCATTTAAATTGATATCACTCATTGTATCCATTGCCACGTACAAATCAAGGTAAGTTTGATTAATGAAAATGAGAGAAAAAAATCACAAAACAAGACTCAGTCAAGTATCGGGGACGCATTCACATTACAATCACAATTCAGTCAATGTTGCAGCTCATCCATTATGGATCATCCATTTGGCATCCCAAGTAACATGTTACAGGTAAGAGATGGCGCTAGACACTGTATCATTCAGGATCACCTGGGATCGAGAGTGAACTTTAAATTTTGTCTCATCCTTTAAATGTTTTGTTTACAATTTGCTTATTCTCATTTTAATTAAATTGCTTTCCTCCGAGATAAATTGACATTATTTTCATTTGTTAGCTGTTTCTAAACAATTTAACGTTTGCAAATCATCTTTGAAGCCGGCTGAAATATCGAATCATAAACGGATAAAGTAGATCTGATCCATCTCCAGGCAACGTCTATTAAATCAATTTTGCAAAATATTTGTGTTGCTCTTAAACTACTCGTGTCTGTATTTTTCTTGTAATTGTTTAAATTGTTCTCTATCATGGCATCCTCAATCAAATCAATGTTCACTCGTCCTGCTGATGAATTTGTCAATGATCCAGATGTTGAGAAACTTTGGTCGATTAAAGCTGTTGATCAAATGATTGTTCACTACAATCTAATTTCAAGTGTACCTCCAAGAGATCTTAAATTGACAAAAAAGGATGACATGATTTATGAAACATTCAAAGAGACTTTTCCTGATTTTAAATTAGATGTAATTTCAACTGACGATCTTAAATCAGAGGAATCTAAAAACAAATGGCGACCTTTTTGTGAAACATTTAAAGGAGAAGTTGAAGATTATAATTTTGCTTCATTGGTTCGACTTGATTGTAAGGGTGATTATTCGGAAGAAAATACTGTGGTGGTTCCAAGAATACAATTTTTAGCAATTGAAATCGCTAGAAATCGACAAGGCCTTAATGATACAGTATATCAAGAAAGTCAAAGTAAAAAGCAAAAACAAGACAAAAATTGATGTATTTTTCACTGCGTTACACAGTTGTTGAGCAATTTTGTTTAATAAAAACTTTTGTTAATCTATCAAAGAATATTTGTCATCAAAAAATTTTAATTTAAATAAATCTTAATAATACATTGTTCAATCGATTAAAGCTTCAGTCGGTAGGCTGGGATCCCCATTCAACAGGAATACTGTGCATGATACTTCCTCTTTGGCTGTGAAGATCTTTGGTTATTTCCAATTTCGGTGAAACAGGAATAGCGCCCATCCTTGAACCATTCTTGGCAGCTGTGTGATTATTATTATTGTTATTGTCTTTGGCTTTGTTAAAATTAATATTTCGATTCAATTTTTCAGCGAAATCAATTTCCTTTACAAATTCATCGGCACTTTTTAAAGCTCTTTCATATGCAATCTCCTTAGCTTCACTAGGAAGTAAATCTTGTGTGCATTTAATTTTTTCTATGAAATTTTCTAATTTAACATCACATTGTGAAGGGAACAGACTTCTATGATTAGCACATGCCTCAATCCAGTTTAAGTCCACTTTAGAAATTCTTCGATACTTTTCCTCATGTCGATTGATATTATATGCATCACGAGAAGTTATTTCAGATCCAATAATCACATGCGTAACTGAAGGTACAAGCTCGTTATAAACAGTGCCTCCAAGGCGAGAGATAATTTTTTTTACATGCGGAAGATATTTAGTGGCTAAGCCACAAAAACAAAAGCTGAGTCCATCGAAGACACAGGTATAAGAGATCATATTAGTGAGAGCCAATTTTTCGATGGCGGCAGTTACATTATTTTTTGGAGGTAGGATAGGCACAGAATTATCTTGAGTTGAAGTAGCACTGTTTTGACTACAGCCTTGCAATTGTTTACGTTTGCTTTCTCTTTCTAATCGTTTCAACTCTTTCAAAGCATTTTCGTCCCTTAAACAATATTTTGGGTCATCTTCCATTTGAGGAATCCCATGAAGTTGCGAAACATTGATCCAGTCAATATTAACAATTTTTACGTCTCGGTCACTCATTGCAGCTTTATATTTCTCACCTGCTTTACGAGCTACAACTAAGTGAGTAGTTTTGTTATTAGGACCAATTTGAGTTCTTTGTGTATCTTCAGTATCAAAATCGTATCGGTCCAAAATCAAACCGGTTTGCCAGTTACCTCCGTTGTTCTCAACCATTTTTCTAATTCTTGTTCGATCCTGTTGGTTAAACTGAAAGAAAGAAAAAAAGGTGAGCAATAAAAGTAGGGAAACTTTTAATTTGTCAAACTTACCCCTGATACACAAAAATTCATCCCTGCAAATACAGGTAGGGCCAAGTCATCCAACTCATGAAGGTCAGAAATTTCTTCTCTCTTTTCCCAGCATTTAAATACCCATTCAGGACGCATCACAGGCTTGTTTGCTTTCCTAAAATATTTTACTTTTTCAGAGTTCCAGTTTGAAGCAACAATGTGAGTTGTCTTTGCATATAGCGCTGGTTTGAAAATACCACCCATGGAACGAACTTTTCTCCTAATTTCAGAAACAACAGAATGATCTGAAATACCAGAAAATGTTAATGATACCTTTTTCATGCAAATACTGGCAATGTGAGGATGTTCGAATGAAGTTAAGTCTTGCGACTTTCTTGGATTTATTGAGAGCAAGGCAAAAACTGAGAAAATTTTTAGACTTTTTTTGGATTTGAGAAGAGGAAACTCCCTAGATTTGAAAGAATCCAAAACTAAAACAGGATTTTCTTGAAGCGAGATCATTTCATCAATTTCTGAGAAATCAATCCAGCGAGGATTAAACACCTCGCGTGAAAGCAAGTTGTAGGCTGATCGTAGTATACCAGAGTTTTGTGATTTGAGGAAAAATATTTTAAACAAACGGTCTTTCGCTGGATCTTCTGGAGAGTTAAAAGTTTCCTCAGTACCAAAAGGTAAAGCACCTGGAGATGGTGTAGAGACTTTTCAACAAAAATCAAAAATTAGTTTTAGGGGCGAAAAATTGACAAATGACATGTGAGAGGAGATATGAACTATAAATGAAGCACGACTGGGATATAAATTAAATGCATACTTACTTCCTCTGACAGGCAAGAATTCATTGGTCAGTGAATCTTCATCATCTGAGTCTTCTAATGTGACAACATCATGATCAATTGATCTGGGTATTTTAAATGAGGGAGATACGTTATCACTTGAGTCAAGTTGTCGTTTATAGATGGACTTTGCAGAATTGCTATTGTTATTGTGAACTTGTGCCCGGTAAAAGTCTTTTATTGAAGAAGGCGATTTACTGGTCATTGTTCAGGAGTGTATAAAATTAAAAAAAAATATTTATATTTATCAAAGAAATAATTAATAATTAAGAAATAATAATACAAAACACAGGCCGTTTAATTTAAGTAGGTTTAAATTTTAAAAGCACAACAAGTGTGAAACTAGACCGCGTTTTAAACTGATTGGTCCAGAAAGCAAAAGATTTTAAACAGGGATTTAGTGAAAACAATTCCCTCTATTGTTCACTTTTTAAGTTAGAATAGATAGATGCTGCCCGGTGATAGATTTTAAGCTTTTAAATATTCCTGTCCTTATACAGTTTAATTTAATTCAGTTTATTATATAATTATGTTAATTATGATTAGAACAATCAACCTTTTGTTTATTCTTGCCTTAACGTCTTTTGTTAATGGGGATCATTTCGCTGATGTTGTCAATAAGAAAGTTGACCGTGATGTTGATGCAAGCAGCCAATTGGTAACCATTACGTGTCGCATTGCTGTTGAAAACTCTGGTAAAACACCGGTGGATAAGTATTTTATTACTTTTGATGACAATCATTTAAGCCAATTGTCATTTATTGAAGCTTCATTGGTGAAAAGTGATAAATCCAGAGTAGATTTGAAAGTTACTGAAGAAAATTTACCCACAGGCAGACAAGCCTGGGCTCTTGATTTGAGTGATAACAAGATTGCTCCTGGATCTTCATTGGATGGTATCGAAGTAGAAGCTGTTTTCACCCATCTTCTTCAACCTTTCCCCAATACAATCTCTCAATCTGAGCGACAACTTGTTCTTTATAATGGTAATCACTATTTCTATAGTCCATACCTGACCAAATCTCAGACAACCAAAGTCAGACTTTCTTCTAGTTCAATTGAATCTTACACTAAATTGAGACCAAGCTCAACTTCGGATAGAACAGTCAACTATGGTCCTTATGAAAACATTGCCCCTAATAGCATATCCAAACTGCAAGTCCACTTTGAAAATAACTCACCATTCTTGACTGTGACGAAATTGGATAGAACCATTCAAGTAGCTCTATGGTCTGGCATCATATCAATTGAAGAAATTATTGACATTCATCATGATGGTGCAGTCTTGAAAGGACCTTTTTCACGATATGAATTCCAAAGGGAACCCACTAATGGTATATCATCGGTTAAAAGTTTCAGAACAAAGCTTCCCGCAACTGCATTTGATGTTTATTATCGCGATGATATTGGAAACATAAGTACAAGCAATCTTCGTACTGGTCTCAAACAAGTGATTGCAGAGCTTCGACCAAGGTTCCCGTTATTTGGAGGATGGAAAACTCATTACATTATTGGCTATTCCATTCCCCTGAAAGACTATCTTTCCGATGAGGGTAATCAATATACATTGAAAATTCCATTTGTTGATCACATTTTCGACAATGCTGTTATCGATGAAGCCGTCACAAACATCATTTTCCCAGAAGGAGCAACAAACATAAAATTACAAACTCCGTATAATATTATTAGGGAAGAGGACCAAATTCACATGTCGTTTTTGGACACAGTAGGCGAACCCAAGATTATTCTTAGAAAGAATAACTTAGTTGAAGATCATATTCAACCTCTTAAAATCCAATTTGAACTCAACAAAACGGTTCATACATTTCAGAAGCCTGTAATATTCGCGGTCTCTACGTTTTTGATAATCCTTCTGCTTACATTCATCTTGCGCCTTGACTTTAGCCTTACTAAAAACGTTGGAAAAGATGGCCAGAAAAAAGCTCAGAACGCACAGCGTCAAGTAGATAAGAAACCTAAACTTAAGAAGTAGTAATAGATTATGTTATCTAATGGCAATTTAAAATTTTTCATTTCATGTTTTCAGCTACAAAAAAAAATTGATTTTGAAACTAAATTTCGCTAAGTTTTTTGTTCCTTCTATGGAAAATTCCTTTTTTTATCAAAACTCAATAAATTAAAAAAAATTATAAAAAAATGATCAAGTCTCCAATGTTAAATATTTATTATTATAGCACATTGTTAGTTGATATTTTCTTCAATTAAAATTGAAGTCTATAAGAAATTTAGCAAAAAGCAAGATGAGCTATTAGCAAAAATCGTACAAATATGAATGAATCATATTTTGATTATCACAATGAACAAAAATTTTCCTCGTTATTATTGGGTCTACTGATTTTATAAGTTCACTAAATCAACAAATATACAATCCTTTAATGTCTAATGGTTGGATGAACCTCCTCAACTTTTAATTCACGATGAGTTCCATCACAAAACGGCCGGTGCTTTGTTTGTTTACAGTTACAAAACCAATAATCCTTTGTTTCTTTGCACTCGAAAGGAATAGGTTTCATTTTTATTTGATGATGTTGTACTCTATGAGTTCCGTCACAAAAGGGCTGAAATTTAAGAAAAAAAGATGAGAATAATCAATAGTATCATTTTCCTATCAACACAAGTACTTTTTCACAAGATTAATATTACGAACAGAGAAGATCTATGCTGATAAGTTTATTATAACATACCTGATTTTTGGAGTATCCACAAGAACACCATAGATAAATTTTTCCAGCATTGCATTTGACTTTTATTGGTTTGATTGAATAAACCTTCCCAAAACCTTTTTGATGATATTCCCAATATTTTTCTTTGGCCTCTTTCATATCGAGTTGGTCTTTTAAATCTTTATCAGATGGCTCGGTGGTGTCTTTAAATGAAGAAGAAAAGTTTACCCGGCTCACTATACCTCCATAAGGCCTTATATTGTTAAATACTCGACAGGTAATCATATTCAGAAGATATATAAATCAAAAACTCAATAAAAAATGCACATTTAATTTACCACAGAGTAAAGAATTAAGAATCTTATTATGATAATCTAGATAAATATGTGTAAATATGGTTTTCTCGATAGTATTGAGTCAATCGATGAATCGTTGCATGTTTTGTGAGGTAAAAGCGCGAAAATCTCACAGTTTTTGAGTTTAATGATTAAAAGCTGTTTTAAAATAACCTCGTACTTTCATAACAATTGTTTATTTTTAAATCGTAATTTACGTGTGTTTCTCATCTCATCAATGTCTACTACCATGTCACTTAAACGAAAAAGAGAGGAAGAAGTGCCTAATAAAAAAACAAATGGAGCAAATGGTACTGTTGAGTACAATCCTGCTAAAAGCAACTATGATGTTTTGAAGGATGCTTCATGGAAAGATGGCGAGAAAACGCCGTTCATCTATTTCACTTTAACTCTAAAGGCTATCGAAGAGGTGTCATCAAGACTTAAGATGATTGAAATCTTAGCTAATTATTTATGGTCTGTTAAAAGCAAGAGTCCTGATGATCTTTTACCTTCAATCTATTTGTGCCTAAACAAACTGGGGCCTGCTTATGAGGGCCTTGAATTGGGAATTGGGGAGACAATCATCATGAAAGCTTTGGCCAATGCTACGGGAAGAAGAGTTGATCAAATTAAGGCTGATATCAAGAAGAAAGGTGATCTAGGTCTTGTAGCTGAGGACAGTCGGACAACACAGAGTTTACTGTTTAGACCTCCGAGATTAACTGTCCAAGGTGTCTTCAAAAGTTTCCGTGAAATTGCTCAATATTCTGGACAAAGTTCAGCGCAAAAAAAGACAGATAAAATCCAATCTTTAATTGTTGCTTGTAGAGATTGTGAGGCTAGATATCTAGTTAGATCTCTAGCTGGTAAATTACGGATAGGATTAGCTGAACAGTCTTTACTTTCAGCTTTAGCTCAGAGTATTGTTTTAGGAGATACCAAAGCTAAAAGAGGAACGGATTCTTTTAAAGCTAAAGTTGATGAAGTCACGCAAATTTTAAAAACTGTTTATTGCCGGTGTCCGAATTATGAACAGATAATAAACGTTCTCTTAGAACACGGATGGGAGTCTCTGGAAGAGAAATGTCAGTTAGTTCCTGGTGTTCCATTGAAGCCTATGTTGGCTCATCCTACAAAAGGTGTAGATGAAGTTTTACGTCGTTTCAATCAAGCGAAATTCACTTGTGAGTTCAAATATGATGGTGAAAGAGCTCAAATACATTTGCTAGAAAATGGAGAAGTTCGTATTTTCAGCAGAAATCAAGAAGACAACACGTCCAAATATCCAGATATAATCTCGAGAATGAAAGATGTCATCAAACCTGATGTTAAAACTTGTATCATTGATTCAGAGGCAGTTGCTTGGGATTCGCAAGAGCAACAGATTTTACCTTTTCAAGTATTAAGTACTAGAAAGAGGAAAGATGCCGCAGAAGAAGACATAAAAGTTCATGTTTGTTTATTTGCTTTTGATCTCCTTTATTTAAATGGAGAATCTTTGGTGACTAAAAGTTTCAGTGAGCGAAGGAATCATCTTTATCAAAGTTTCAATGAAATTAAAGGAAAATTTATGCGCGCCGTGTCTCGAGATGTTGAAACTACTGATGAGATTCAAGAATTTTTGGACGAATCAATCAAAGGTAGTTTTATTCATTATCATCACTATCTTTCTAGCCTAATCATTTTATTTTTATTCTCTATTCACTATTTCAGCAAAATGCGAAGGGTTAATGGTGAAAACATTAGATGTTGATGCAACTTATGAAATTGCTAAACGATCTCGAAGCTGGCTTAAGGTATGTTCTTATTTTTATCATTTAGCTCGATTTATCCCTTTATAATTTTCTGTATTTTTATGTTTTCTCTAACAGATCAAAAAAGATTATCTTGAAGGAGTTGGTGATACGCTTGATCTTGTTGTCATCGGAGCTTATATTGGTAAAGGCAAAAGAACTGGTGCCTATGGTGGTTACTTATTAGCTTGTTATGATGAGGAAAAGGAAGAGTTTCAGTCTATATGTAAACTTGGTACTGGTTTCAAAGATGAAGATTTAGAAAAGCAGTTTGAATTGTTCAAAGAGTTGATCATTGAAAGACCTAAATCATACTATAACTTTGACCCGTCAATTAAACCTGACGTTTGGTTCGATGCAGTTCAAGTATGGGAAGTTAAATGCGCTGATTTATCGATTTCTCCTGTTCATCGAGCAGCTTTCGGTTCTTTGGAATCTGAAAAAGGAATATCCCTGCGTTTCCCTCGCTTCATAAGAATCAGAGATGATAAAAAAGCAGAAGAAGCAACTTCAGCTATGCAAGTTGTAGATATGTATAATAATCAAGAACAAATCAAAAATCAAACAAAAACTCATGACAGTGATGATGAAATGGATATTGATGATAAATAAACTGATTTTCGAACAATCTTAATATTCTGGATTTTCATGTCAATCATTTCTGGTCAGGTCTGGTAATTAAATTTTGTTAGCGCGCTTTTTTGCTAGTCAATTCTGAATTATCAAAGCACAGGTTCAATGGCACTATCGACTTGTTCAATCAAGACAAGTAAAGGTTACCATTACGGAATACAGTGATTCGCCTATCTTCTTCAATATCACCAAGCAAAATATTTTTGTAAATAAAATTAAGTTGTCTTCAGTGTAAAAATAATTTAATGTACAAAATTATCGATGAAACAATACAATATCAGCATCTTAAAATTATGATAAAATTTCCTATGATGGTAAAAAGCAAAAGGGCAATCACTAAAATATAAATACAAAAAGTGAATATTCCATCATCTAAGCTTCTTGGAGTGAATTCCGATGATGACTGAGACTTTTCTGGAAGGATCTGAAGTGGACTGTGAGTTGAATTTAAATTGATCAACTCAACTTCTGGAGATTCAACATTAACTTCACACAGATACATTTTATTCGTTCTTTTCGAAATCATATGTATCTCTAGGGTCGTACCTTCCAATGGTGGATCGCATGTAAAATTCATAAAAGTCCTGGGAAACTTCAGAAAGGGACCACATTGACGAGTGTGATGACCATTGGTAATTGTTATCCAGACTTCGGGGATTCCGGGGGAAAGTCTTTTGTAGATTTCAACCTTTTCTTCTACCATGGAAATTTGCACGGAGCTAATTAGATGCATTCGTCCAAAAGAAACTTGAAAAAAATTTAATGTGTCGTCTGATGACCGGTAACAGGTATACGGATCTCCATCGACAGCTAAAGATGTAGGGGTTACACTATTTGACGCTTTCGTTGGTTTATTTGCGGCTAAATTGTGGGCACCAACACCAGTAAAATACAAACAAAAAATGATGCCGAACATTTTATTTATGAAAAATTGACGTGAAAACATGTAAACATTAATCGTGACTAGATACGAAAAACAGTGAAACTAAGCTATTTATAAGTTGAGCCGAAGTGAGCTAAGCAGCTTAAGCTGATTAGAGCTAAAATTTTTTAAGTAACTTAATTCAAAGAGTATAACTTACTCTTTGCCACACTTACTAAAAATGGATATCGCTCATCTTTACCATGAAGCATAATCAAGTCAGTGCCATTCAATTGATCATAATTAGCATCATTGAGTTTGAAAATAAATTTCCTATGAAATTAGAATAGAGTAAAACTATCAGAATTTTCAGAGTCACTGATGGACATTGAAATGATTGATAATCGATTGGAGCTAATAATGAAGATATGCTTGTCATTGGTCATGAATTTTGAATTACATGCATAATGTATTATTGCATAGCATAACTGAAAGGGTTAAATAATGATTGAAACATTAAGGTTAATGGGACATTTAATTAGTGCTCTTTATTTATTATTTTATTATTTTTAAAATAATTTGAAAGAAATACAGTGAGATAAAAATTGTTTGTAATTGATTAGATCAATTGCCATTCAATTTGAACGTTTCTCCATTTATAAATACATTTCAGGTTGTATGACTTTTTGTTTAGGTTTTAGTATGTATTAATCATGATAATGATAATGAAAATAATTATTGTTACTTTTTTGTTCGTTAATATACTTCCTAAGCTTAGATTCGAGGAGTGATTAGTGTTCTAATTGAATGAGCATCCATGGCAATTGGAACTGAGACTGAGGTAAATTTTTCAATAATAAGATCAACAGGACTATCATTTGTATTAAGGATAACCATCACCATTTGATCTGATGGGTCAATAAAAGCTGCCACATAAACGCCTTGAGAATCACCTTGAACTTCATGGCCAATATAGACTGAATTAGGCGGAATAAACTTTGAGAAATGTCCCAATGAATAAAACATTGGGTTACGATAATAAGTAGCTTTACTGGCATCCACAAGTATCAAACCATCAGTCCAATTTTCCGCCCATGAAGGACCTCCTTGCGTATTAAGAGCAAGATTCCAGTCCAACCATCCAGTTGTGAATCTATTCAAGTCCTCAATGATATCGACGGCATAAGTTTCAGCACGAGTCCAGTTACCAAGTTGAGCTGATAAATATAAAGATGATGATAAATGTTTTTACATATTAATGTTAAACACAAGACTTATTCAAAAAGCAACTTAATAAGGAAATAAGGAATTTTAATTGGGTTTACCTCTTTCAGTGCTAAATCGGGCAAAACCTTCACAAGCTTCCGTAGAGAAAAGGAAATGATTTGGGAAATTGCTGTGAACTAAATTGAGATTCTCGTAAAAATCTTCAAGACCATTTTTGTACCAATGGTAACCAATACCAGTAACATACGAGGCAGCTTCGGTATCATTTAAAACGGCCTCTGTATAGCTGGGAAGAAAGTCTCTTATATCGTCATGAAGAAGAACTTGAAGTTTATCAGTTCCGTAGCCAGCATCACGTAGGACAGGACCAAGATCAAGTTTAACAAAGTCACGTAACTGTTGTGGAGTCAGGCCAAGGCAGTTGTAGAAAAATTCTTGATGAACAATTGCCTGAGTCGGTTCATTTTGGGTAGTTATACCCCAGAAATCAATACCCTCTTTAGCATAAGCCTCCAAAAACCTGAAAGTAACAAAGTTAAAAAATTATTCACGGGAAAATTAAAACATTACTGTTAATAGTAAGAATGGAAAGTAAACAAATTAACAAAAACATTGTTAATCTTGGAATATTACTGAATTGTAAATAAGTTGATTTAATAACTTCATAATAAGCAAACATTTGTTAATGATTAGCGTCAGCAACAAGATGGAAGTTTGTTCAGTGCATTGAAGTTATTGAACAAAAAATGGTAAAATAAATTATCATTGCATTTATAAACTATTAAACACACGAGGTAGCAATGAATTGATCAAATTTAAAAGTAAACATTCAACACTGCCAATGACCTAAATTTCTGATTTTATCTTGTAGCTTCCTTTTGATTCCTCATGAAATAACATCACATATTCATGAACTAATTGAAAAAAAATTCCTCTTTGTGTCTCTATTGTTGAACGAGTCTTCCCTAGCCTAGTTTTAGGTCAATTACAAATGTTTCTGGGTTTGCCAGTTAATGATCAATAATGTAAAATGTTACATGGATGACCTGAAAACAACAAGTGCAAATTATTCATGATCAAGAACCAATAGCTACAAATCAGAACGAAATGTGTATCACCATCATCATATGATTCAACTTTCTCGTTGCATAATTCATTTTTAGTTTCAAGGAAAAGTATTACAGGAATAAATTAACCTGATAAAAGGGTTAGAATCAATTTTAATTGCGAGAAAAAGATAATGATCGGCAAGTCAATAGATTACTGTGTATGCAAATAGAGTAAAATTTAAATTAGATTCTTACTTGACATAGTATTTAGCCCAAGCTTTGTAATAAGGTCCTCCCGGTGATCCTTTGAGAAACCCACTTCCAGTAATATTGTTATTGGTCTTCATCCAACCCGGTGGTGACCAGGCACTTCCCAATAGTTTAAGGTTACCTTCCTTTAGTTTCAAGGCTTGTTTGATTAAAGGAATCTGAATAAACAGGAGAAATTCCCATATTAACTATCTTATCAATCATATCTAATGTATTAACGACATGTTATATCTGTTATTGTGATAGTATCGCTGAATTGAAAGTTGCGATATCATGTGAAGGAGCAATTTAATGTTTTGTTTTCAATTATAACGATTTTATTTGATTTACCTTTAAAAGTTTGTCTTCGGGCTCAAGAGCAAAATGTTCAAGCTCAAAGTCATCTGGTTGGTCATCAGCATAGGTGTAAATGCGAGTCGAGAAATCAGTTCCTCCAATTGGGACGCGAGTAACTGAATAGTCGAGACCATTCTTTGAAAAATAGTTACTCATAATAGAGTCAGACAAATTGACAGGTAAATTGAGCAAGTTTAATCCAGTTGCATCTGTTATAGCTCCACCGAAACCATGAATGGTTTGCCTTTGGTCATCAATGTTTATCTGAATCCGTAACTTTTTGTATGGTAAAGTCAACTTTTGAAGCATATTAGACTCGAGTGGACGAGCCAAGTCATTGATAGACAATTGTGTCCGATGGAAACGATACTGGTCTCGCGAAGATTCCCATGAGTCAATGTAACCCTTTGAAACTGGAGTTGCTGGTTCGATGTTTGGACAAACACTGATATTGCACACACAAACAAATGAATTTTGGTCAAAATATTCTTTAACACAGTGATCATCATTACCATGGATTAAGGTAACAAAGAGTAGCATAACAGTCAATGTTAACACTTGTAAACCAGTCGAATGATTCATTTTTTATTCTTTGTTTCTTCTTTTCTCACGTTTTCTTTTCTTATCTTCTAACAAATCTTGTAAATAAATTAATTTTTGTAACCGTTTTGGGTTGAACTTTGACTCAATCTTTTGTCTTGTCTGGTTATGTCTAGACAAGGATTACTCAAAGGTAAAAGCAACTAAACTTAAAGGGTAACAATTGTAAACGAATGAAATGATAACTAAAAAGATCACTCTTAATAAATATTTACACTGAAGATAGCGGTTGGGTTTTGCGTTTGTAATGTACTGGTATCAACAATAAGCAAGTTTGGTAACATTGGACAATGTTTCACTTGACAATTAATAGAGTAACTGTTTACCGTAACAATAACCAATTTTAATCGGGAAAAACTCAGAATTAAATCAAATTGAGATGAAAATGAGGGTGAGTAACGGAAGAGAGAAGTTTATAAAGAGATCTTTATGAAGGGAGAAGAAGAAGAGCGAGAGAGAGAGAGAAAGATGGAAATAAAAAAATATTGATATTTCAAGTGTTCAATTCATGTTTCTATGAAAACGATCATCAGATTTTCATCTTTCTCTTTCTCTCCCTTCCAATCTAGTTCAGCATTGATTAATAATAATTGGTGTCAAAAATGAAAACAATAAACTTCAGCTGATCTTTATCATGCAAACATTGAACAACCAAGTCAACATTAAACTAGACTGATTATGATGATAACTTTTTTTTTACTTACAGAAAGTTAAAATTTGCAACCCTTTTTTGAACTACATTATTATATTCATGATCAATCCATTATCTGATATTGCAAGATTGATTACCAATAGTTTATTGATTGAAAGTGAAATGCAAAGAAAATTATTGGAATCAAATTTTTCATTTTTATTATTTTAAACATGAAAACATCTCAAGAAACGATCTTACCTTTAACTCGTTAACTCATAATTTCATTTGTTTGCTTTACTCCTCAGTTGATATGGTGATTACATTTGACTTTTCCCAGCATTATCTGTCTGTGTTTAGACATTTGAATTTCGGGATTCTTCCAATTTAAGTAATAGTCTCATTAAGTCTATAATCAATATGGAAACCACCGATTAAGGTGATTAATGCGTCTCTCCAGTTCATGATGATGGTAATGATTATTTATTCATTTAATTTTTGACTTACCTTCTATTCAACCTTCAATTGATTCGAAAGCAAAGTTTCCATGTTACAAATTTAATCGATAAGAGTCCTTTAGCCTTAACTTTCAATAGGATTCAACAAGTGGGGTCGAGATAAAGACAAAAAGTATTGTTCGCCAATTTGAGGTAAAAATTAATCCCAAATAAGTTAGGAGGCATCACAGCCATTGTTGATCAATTAGACTGTTTGTGTGGGTAAACATGAATTTCACACTTGATTGATCAAATCCTAAATCTAGTTTGATTTAGAGCTAAAAAGTAACAACTTGGGCAATTTAAAACCCAATGTAAGAACCTAACCGTCCTTTAAATAACCCAAATCCTGGTTTGACACTGGTTCCAGTGTTGTATTGTTCTGGTTCTTCAGAGTCAGGTATAATTTGTAGCATTTTCAATGTTTTTTTACCTTCCAAACTCATCTTGATAATTTATAAGCTAATTCAATTTGTTTTTAAATGTTTAAAGATATACAGTTAACTAATTTAATATATCCGAGATGAGTCAAATTCGGATTCTTGAAGACTGTGGGATAATCTTGCGATACTACTTCGATAGTATCATTCAACTTGGTTAAGATTTTTAGATGGTTAAGATGCTAGCTTCAATTAAAAATTCCTACTTTTATTATTCTACATTTATTTTAACGTTTTTTTCAATGTTATGGCTGATATGGTGGTTGAAAAATTATTATTGAGATTTAAATTTTATTGAAATTATTAAAAATTTGAGTTAGCCGCCAAATATAATTTTAGTTGTTAACCAAAACAATCTCACATGTGTTAAATCCAGTTTTGTTTATTTATAAATGTATTTGTGAACCATGTTTTTTGATCGTTTGGATTTAAATGTGATTAGAGTCTATTGTCATGTTCGAGATTTTTTTCCTCAAATCACAAGACTGTGATGGACTACGATCAGCCTACAGCTCGCTTTTACGCGAGGTGTTTAATCCTCGCTGGATTGATTTCTCAGAAATCGATGAAATGATCTCGCTTCAAGAAAATCCTGTTTTAGTTTTGGATTCATTCGAATCTAGCGAGTTTTCACTTCTCAAATCCAAAAAGAGTCTAAAAATTTTTTCAGCTTTTGCCTTGCTCTCAATAAATCCAAGAAAGCCTAAAGACTTGCTTTCATTCAAGCATCCTCACATCGCCAGTACTTGTATGAAAAAAGTATCTTTAACATTCTCTGGTATTTCAGATAATTCTGTTGTTTCTGAAATTAGGAGTAAAACTCGTGCCATGGGTGGTATTTTTAAACCAGCACTATATGCAAAGACAACTCACATTGTCGCTACAAACTGGAATACCGAAAAAGTGAAACATTTTAGGAAAGCAAACAAGCCTGTGATGCGTCCTGGATGGGTATTTAGATGCTGGGAAAAGAGAGAAGATATTCTTGATATAAAAGAGTTAGACCCTCAAGAGTTCACTCTACCTGTATTTGCAGGGATGAATATTTGTGTGTCAGGGGTAAGTTTTAAAAATTTAAATTTTCTCTACTTTTATAGCTGACTTTTTTTTATTTCATTTCAGTTTGAACAACGTGAAAGAATAAAAATTAAACAAATGGTTGTTACAAACGGAGGTAACTGGCATTCCGGGTTACTTTTGAACCAATACGATGCTGATACTGAGTATACACAATCAACTCAAATTGATCCTAATAACAAAACTACTCATTTGGTTGTAGCTAGTAAAGCTGGTGACAAATATAAAGCTGCAATGAGTGACCCAGACGTAAAAATTGTTAATATTGACTGGATCAATAAATCACAACTTCAAGGGATTCCTCAGATGGAAGATGATCCAAAATATTGTTTAAGGGACGACAATGCTATGAATGAGTTGAAACGAGCAGAAAGAGAAAGAAAACGTAAACAATTACAAAGTTGTAGTCAAAACAGTACTACTTCAACTCAAGACAATTCTTTGCCAGTTCTACCTGTCAAAAAGGATATTTTCACCATAATTGAAAAACTGGTCTTCACCAATAAGATTCCTTCTACTGTTGTTTTTGATGGACTCAGTTTTTGTTTTTGTGGCTTAGGCACTAATTATCATCAAAATGTAAAGAAACTCATCTCTCGTTTTGGAGGCATTGTTTATAACGAACTTGTATCTGCAGTTACGCATGTTATTATTGGACCTCATATGACTTCTCGTGATGCATATAATCTCAATCGACACGAAGAAAAATATCGAAGTATATCTAAAGTGTCTTTAGAGTGGGTTGTTGAATGCGCAGAAAATGGAAAATTGTGTCCTCCATACTTTGACGATAAATTAGAAAAATTCTTAGAGCAAATTAGTTCAACGCAAGATTTACCAGCCAATGACGCTAAGGATGTTGCTTATGCAAGAGCTTTGAAACGAGCAGATGAATTCACTAAAGAAATTGATTTGGTTGAAAAATTGAACCAAAATAACAACAAAATGAATCCCAAGAGCAGTAACAGTAATGTTAAAAGCGGTTTCCGAATGGGTTCCTTTTCAGCTGCGGCCAAATTAAAGATTAAAAGTATTCCAAAAAGACGGGAGAGCAATAATCTTAGCATCCCTGTTGAATGGGCAAATTCATCTAACGAATGAGTCTTTTCTAATTAGTACTTGAATTTGTATATTTTTAAACTTTATACTCATCAATGCTGTAATGTCTGTGTACAAAAATATGTATCTTTTTGTTTCTTTTGATTTAAGATCGTCGCAAAGATCTAATCAAGTTAATTTATAAATAAATAGCTATTGCAAATGCAATCATCTTGAGACTTTGTTTTGATTTTGTATATGACTGTTTGTTAACTAAAATTTTTGTGGTAAATTAAAATAAAGTTAAGAGTGGTACAAATGGGCAAAAACTAGTAAAAATAAATTTGTTACAAATTTAGACTCTGTTGGTTTGTAGGGACATTTTGCAAGGTTTTAAAGTTTCTCTGATGAACAGTTTTGGAGAGATCGAAGTCGAAATTGCAACCTCGATCGCTTTTTATGCAACTACGGAAGCAGATTTGATCATAGAACTCGTTGTACTGATGTAACTTTTGATAGCCAACTAGAAAATGTACTTATTTTGAGAAATAGAACTTTTCTTTTTCTGCAAAACATATTAGTTCGATTTTCAGTCTCTGTGAACGACAAAGTTAGCGAGCTGAAACGTGTTATTTGTCTATAAATATTGTTAGTTCATATCTTGGACTGAATAAATTTAACAGTTTAATAACAGTTCTCTTGATTTTGGTCATTAGACTTAAAATTTTGAACATTGATATTTCGGGAATGTCATCATTTACAATCATTATTCTTAAACCAATTTAATTCTTAACTAATTACTAATCCAACACAATCAAATAACTTTCCATTAGTGCATAACATATCTTGTTAAATAAACCATTTTTCTGGTTTCACTTACAAATGAAGTGCAAAAAGTAATGCAAAAGACTCGAACGTTTGAGTTATGAGTTGCGACTTTGAGGGTTTTGTAGAGACATAAAAACTGCGTCTATTGGTACCATTAAATAACTCATCCGATGGACAGTTCTCTAGAAAATAGAGCTCGAAGTTGAAACTTCGATCGCTGTTTGTGCAGCTATGGAACAAGATTTTGCCAGGAAACTTATGCCACTGATTTTATCTTTGAATAACTAACCAGAAAATGGTCTTATTTTGTAAAATAAAGCTTTCCTTTTTCTGTAGCACGGCTAAGTTTGATTTTCAGTTAAATCGATCACTTTGCGTTACCGTTAGAGTTAGAGAGCTAAAACTTATTGTCGGTCCATAAAAATTGCAGGTACACATCACGCACTGAATAGTTTTACCAAATTATAAAGAGTTCTCTTGATATTCGCCATTAGACTTAAAACTTTGAGCATCGATATTTAGAGAATGGCATCACCTACAATCATCATTTGCTCTTCAATTCAATTCTTTACTAATTACTAATTCATTCCAATCAAATAACTTTCCATTAGTGCATTTGGTTCATGATATTTGGGCTTTAAATGCACGCTTAACAACTTATTTAACAAAACAAACTCATATTAACACATATCTTGGTGAATAAACCATTTTTCTGGTTTCACTTACAAATAAAGTACAACAAGTAATGCAAAAGACTCGAACGTTTGAGTTATGAGCTGCGACTTTGAGGGTTTTGTAGAGACATAAAAACTGCGTCTATTGGTACTATTAAATAACTCATCCGATGGACAGTTCTCTAGAAAATCGAGGTCGAAGTTGAAACTTCGAGTGCTTTTTGTGCAGCTATGGAAGCAGATTTTGTCACGAAACTTATTTTACTGGTGTATCCTTTAATTATCAACTAGAAAGTGAGCTCATTTTGTAAAATAAAACCTTTTCTTTTTCTGTAAAACACGATAGTTCGATATTCAGTTGAATCGATCACTTTGCTTGACCGTTAGAGTTAGAGAGATGAAACTTATTATGCGTGCATAAATATTGTTGCTTCATATCAGGACTTTAATAATTTTATCAATTTAGCGACAGTTTTCTTGATTTCGACCAGTGGTCTTAAAACTTTGAGGCTCAATATTTCGAAGATGGTAGCACCTACAGTCGTCATACTTTCATCAAATATTAGACTTCATTATGGGCTATGATGTATTAAAATATTGAGTTATATAAAACCCAATAAAAGTTATAGCATCGTATTACTTATGTTGCCAGATTTGAGATTTGATTAATAAAGTTAAATGGTTACCAAACACAAATCTCAGAGGTTGGAAAGATATTCATTATTAAATGAATTAACTCAGATTTTCTTTGGTATTCACTCATAAAATATTATAGCGCATAATGAAATCTATTGATCTATCAAAAAACATTGACTGTAAGTGAGGCCATTCTCGAAATATCGAGGCTCAAATTTTCAAGATTAATGGCCAAAATCAAGAAAACTGTCAATAAATTGAAGAGATGTTTCAATTCATGATATGAACCAGCAGTTTTTATAGATAAATAGAAAATTTCTAGCTCTCTAACTCTAACGGTCAAGCATCGTGATCGATTTAACTGAAAATCGAACTAAACTGTTTTACAGAAAAAGAAAAGTTTTATTTTACAAAATTAGTACATTTTCTGGTTGATAATTAAAGGATACACCAGCAAAATAAGTTTCGTGACAAAATCTTGTTCCATAGATGCACAAGTAGCGATCGAAGTTTCAACTTCGACCTCGATTTTCTAGAGAACTGTTCATCGGATGAGTTATTTAATGGTTATTTAATAGATGCAGTTTTTATGTCTCTACAAAACCCTTAAAGTCGCAACTCATAACTCAAACGTTCGAGTCTTTTGCATTACTTTTTGCATTTCATTTGTAAGTGAAACCTGAAAAGTGCTTTATTTACCAAGATATGTGTTTATATGAGTTTGTTTTGTTGAATAAGCTATTTCTCGTGCATTTTCAGCCCAAATATCATGAACCAAATGCACTAATTGAAAGTTATTCGATTAAATTGAATAAGTAATTAGTAAAGAATGGCATTGGTGAACGAATGATGGTTGTAGTTGACCCCGATCTCTAAATATCGATGTTCAAAGTTTTAAGTCTAATGGCGAATATCAAGAGAACTTTTTATAATTTGGTAAAACTATCCACTCCATGATGTGTGCCAATCATTTTTGTTGACCCACAATAAGTTTTAGCTCTCTAACTCTAACAGTCACGCAAAGTGATCGATTTAACTGAAAATCGAACTTATCTGTTTATTCGAAAAAGAAAAGCTTTATTTGGCAAAATTAGTACATTTCCTGGTTGAGCACCAAAAGATACACCAGTGAAATAAGTTTCGTGACAAAATCTGCTTCCATAGCTGCACAAGTAGCGATCGAAGTTTCAACTTCGAGCTCGATTTTCTAGAAAACTGTCCATCGGATGAGCTATTTAATAGTACCAATAGATGCAGTTTTTATGTCCCTACAAAACCCACAAAGTCGAAACTAAAAACTCAAACGTTCGAGTCTTTTGCATTACTTTTTGCATTATATTTGTAAGTGGAACCTGAAAAGTGCTTTATTTACCAAGATATGTGTTAATGTGAGTTTGTTTTGTTAAATAAGTTGTTAAGCGTGCATTTAAAGCCCAAATATCATAAACAAAATGCACTAATGGAAAGTTATTTGATTGTGTTGGATTAGTAATTAGTTAAGAATTAAATTGGTTTAAGAATTATGATTGTAGCTGATGCCATTCTTGAAATATTAAGGCTCAGAGTTTAAATACTAATGGCCAAAATCAAGAGAACTGTTATTAAACTGTTAAATTTATTCAGTCCAAGATATGAACTAACAATATTTATAGACAAATAACACGTTTCAGCTCGCTAACTTTGTCGTTCACAGAGACTGAAAATCGAACTAATATGTTTTGCAGAAAAAGAAAAGTTCTATTTCTCAAAATAAGTACTTTTTCTAGTTGGCTATCAAAAGTTACATCAGTACAACGAGTTCTATGATCAAATCTGCTTCCGTAGTTGCATAAAAAGCGATCGAAGTTGCAACTTCGAACTCAATTTTCTCGAAAACTGTTCATCAGAGAAACTTTTAAATTTCACAAAAGGACTCAGTTTTTATGCAACTACAAATCAACAGAGTCTCAATTTGGAACAACGATTCATTTTTAGCCGTTTTTGTTCATTTGTGTTTGAGTGAATTTGTGTTTAAATGTGATAATTGTGTTAATTATGTCTTTTTGCAACAACCGTAAATGTCTCCATTTTATTCCTGCTGCCATTTCACTCGCTCGTCATCAAGCAGTGACCCGGCCTTTAGCCATCCAAATGTACAAGTACCTTATTTATTATTGCCTTTATCTGGTTAATTTCCTTGTTACTTGCTACTCCTACTTTGCAGAATATGATGATTAAGGTCATAAATGTGACCACCGATTAAGGTGATTAATGGGGTTCATGATGATGGTAATGATTATTTATTCATTTAATTTTTGACTTACCTTCTATTCAACCTTCAATTGATTCGAAAGCAAAGTTTCCATGTTACAAATTTAATCGATAAGAGTCCTTTAGCCTTAACTTTCAATAGGATTCAACAAGTGGGGTCGAGATAAAGACAAAAAGTATTGTTCGCCAATTTGAGGTAAAAATTAATCCCAAATAAGTTAGGAGGCATCACAGCCATTGTTGATCAATTAGACTGTTTGTGTTGGTAAACATGAATTTCACATTTGATTGATCAAATCCTGAATCTAGTTTGATTTAGAGCTAAAAAGTAACAATTTAGGCAATTTAAAACCCAATGTAAGAACCTAACCGTCCTTTAAATAACCCAAATCCTGGTTTGACACTGGTTCCAGTGTTGTATTGTTCTGGTTCTTCAGAGTCAGGAATAATTTGTAGCATTATTAATGTTTTTTTATCTTCCAAACTAATCTTGATAATTTCTGAGCTAATTGAATTTGTTTTTAAATGTTTAAAGATTTACAATTTACTTAATTTAATATATCCGAGATGAGTCAAACTAAATTGGATTCTTGAAGATTACAATATGATCTTGCGATACTAACTAACGTTACATGTATCATTCAACTTTGCTATTCTTGAAGATTTTTAGTTTGTTTCGCTGTTATTCCGACGAAAATTCTTGAATCTTTAATGAATAAACATATAATTTAAAATACTAAGAAAACAGAATCACAACACACAGTATAAAAGGTCATTTTTTAAATTGAAATAAAGAAATATCGCAATACATTTCCAGTTTTTCATTTCAATGGTTTTATTATTGTGGTAATTGATCTAGGTCCGAATGTAAAAGTAAATGGTTTATCGACAAAACCACTAATCGATAATTCAATAGGTTTTTGATTTCGATTTAGGAAAGTAAAAATCAAATCATTAGATGGACTCAGAAATGTAGTCATTTTTATATTTGCGTCGACTTCTCCTTCGATGATCGTATGGCCGAGACGAATCGATCCAGGCTGAATAAATTTGCTAAAATGGCCAAATGCGTAAAACATTGGTTGTTTATAATATTCTGGTGAAGTGTTATTAATAAATATAAATGCATCAGCCGCATTTTGAAGCCAATTGGGTCCACCAGTTTCATCAAGAACAAGATTCCAATCAACCCAACCACTTGACCAATTGTTGAGACCTTCAATTACATCAGCTACTACATTTTCGGCTCGAGTCCAGTTTCCAATAGTCACTGTGAAATACAAGACAAATGTGTTAAATAAGAATCGTCAGTTTGGTGTTAATCGATAATAAAATAAAGACTTACAAGCCTTTTCATTGGCTCTGAATCCTTCACAAGCTTCACTTGAAAGTATAAAATATTCAGGATACATTGAATGAAATTGAGTTAAAGCTTCATGCATAGATTGAGCGTACCAATGATAAGCAACACCAGAAACGTATTGATTCACTTCAGGATCACTGAGGATTGGCCAAACAAAATTCATAAGATAGGGAATATTGTCGTCAAGTACCATCAATTTGAGCTTATTTTTATCGTAACCGGCTGCTTTTAAAGCTGGACCCAAATCTCTTTTGATGAATTCTGCCATCATGGCACCCGAAAAGCCCAAAGAAGGAAGCTTCAAAAAAGGAATAAAGCCAACACTGGGTTCATTTCCAGGAGTAAGTCCCCAAAAGTCAATACCAAGGGCTTCATAGGCTTGAAAAAATCTGATTCAAGAAGAACAATTGCCATTTAAATTATAAAAATGTAGACAGATAATGTTAACTAAACCTACTTGACAAAATAATTTGCATAAGTTTTCCAATAGATGCTTCCAGGATCACCTTTTAAAATACCAAGACCATTGATTTCTCCATTGGTTTTCAGCCATTTAGGAGATGACCACGGTGAAGCGAAAAGCTTGAGCTGAGAAGTCCAATTGAAAGCTTTTTTAATGTATTTTATCTAGAAAAGCAAAAATTAGCAGCTAGATTAAATTATTGTCAGAATTGAGAACAGTTGGAATAAAAATTACTTACTTTATATTGGTGATCATCATGTGTTAAGGAAAAATTTTTCAACTCGAAATCGTTTTCAACATCATCATAAGAGTAAGGTCGATCTGAGAAATCACTGCTTGCCATAACAACACGAGAAACTGTATATTGTAAGCCATTAGGACCAAAATAATCTTCAATTAATTTATCAGCTAAACTATCAGGTAATTTGTTAAGATTGATTCCAGCTGCATCAGTGAAAGCCCCTCCAAAACCAATAATTTTTTGTTTACGATCTGTTGTATTGATTTTTACACGAACATCAGCAAGTTGATTAGAATCGTAAATTAAATCACTTACATGGATTAGACTTTTTGCAAATCGATGAGATGATTTATCAGTTTGAAATATGGTTAAGTGATCAGGCAAGGAATTAGGTTCAGTATTGATTGAATCACAATAAGCTTCATTGCAAACACAGACGAATGATTCGCCTTCAGTGTGTTGTCTAACTTGACAGGCTAAGGATAGGGTAGTTATACAAATTGCAATTAGTGAAAGGGCAATCAATTGAGTTGACATCATATTTCAAGTGGAAAGAACAATTTTTAAACGTTTTATTCATTTAAATAGAAAATTTATTTATATTCTCCTTAATTAATCGACGTAAATTCTAGTGATCATGACAACACAATCAACTAGGCAAGTACCGCAAAGGGCGTTCATGTAACTAGCTTATCATCATGATATGATTCAATTTCCCCTTGAAGCAATGTGCAGTGTTGATCTCGTTGTGCTTAATCAAAATTGACAAAAAGTCGCTTTAAGCATCTCACAGCCACCATTGGTTTAACCAAAGACGAAGTTTTCCTTAATTCATGATATAATCAAGCTGATCATTGAATTGTTACTAAGGAGTAGTCAATAATTTTATTATGGACCATAATAATATAATTGAATAACGAATATCCTTAATTATCAAATCTGACAATGTTGTAACTTTTTTGTATCATTTTGAATGATCTAAAATTTCAACATATTATAGCCCATAATAAAATCTAATGATTGTAGGTATTACTATTCTCGTAATATTGATGCTCAAAGTTTTGAGGCCAATGACCAAATCCAAGAAAACTGTTCGATCTTTGCTAAGTGCCTGATAACTTTCAGCTCTTTAACTTTTACAGCCACAGAAAGCGAAAGGTTTAAGGGAAAATTTGATCTGTAGTATCATCAAAAGTTACATCAACAAAACTGGTTCCATTAAAAAATCTGCTTCCATGATTGAACTAAAGGTAGTCGAAGTTTCAACTTTCACTTCGATATATCGAAAACTGTCGATTGAAGAAATTTTTTAATAGCATTTTGATATTCAAGAACCTATTCAAGTTAAAGTTGTTGCCGTTTTGGTGGCCGCAGCTGAAAGAGCGTTAAAAGTTAGTTTCTACTGACATTTTTGGTATCAACAATAATGAATTATTATTAATGGCGCTTAATCAAATTAGGGGTGGAAAAATTCATAAGATTAGAATGAAGCTAAATCAAACTGAAGATACGTTGAGGAAACCTTGCGTCTTGTGTAAACTAATAGGCAAAGCTAACGCCCTTCAACATGATGTCTATCATTAGCATAATTTACATGAAATATATGCTAAAAATGTGTTTGTTTATCATGATTCCAATAGAATGTGAACTGAAAATTCAGTGAAAATCAATAGAATTAATAGGATTAAAAGGATCGATAAGATTTATTGTTAATTCAAAGTAAACTCGCAAAGTAGAGACAAATCTGGTAACTTAAAGTAGGATAATAGATGTCACTGTGTCACCTAAAGTCTTGTTTTGTTTTGTTTTTGTTTCTTTACGCGACCAACTTTAAAAAATGGTTAAAGGAGTTTTAATTGATTTGAGTGGAACTCTTCACATTGATGACTTTGTGATACCTGGAGCGATCGAAGCTATTAACAGGTAAGGTAAACACGTTGTAATTAGTTTTATTTTGAGCTATTGGCTCCAGTTTGTGTTATTTTTATAGACTATTGTGTTTTCTTTTCAATTAGGCTTCGTCAAAAAGGAGTTAAAATCCGTTTTGCAACAAACACTACCAAAGAAAGTCGTCGATTGTTACATGAAAGGTTAATTAGATTGGGCTTTGATGTCAAACCTGATGAGATACACACTTCATTAACAGCAGCGGGTGATCTATTAATTCAATGTAATTTAACTAAGCCTTTTTTAATGATTGACGAGAAAGCCATCGAAGATTTCCAGGATATTGTTGAAACAAATGTTGAACCTAAAGATGCTGACTCTGTGGTGATTGGTTTATCTCCAAGCCATTTTAACTATCAATCACTCAACGATGCTTTCAGTTGTATAATGAGAGGTGTTCCTTTGATTGGTATCCATAAATCACGATATTTTAAAAAATACGATGGCCTTGCACTTGGGCCTGGTGCCTTTATTGCTGCCCTTGAATATTCAACTGATTGTCAGCCAATTATTGTTGGAAAGCCAGAGAAAAAGTTTTTTCTTGATGCGATCAAACCATTTGACCTGAAACCTGAAGATTGCTATATGATTGGAGATGTAGGTTTTCACTGTGAGAAAAAAAACAAGATTATAATCTAATACATTTTTTCTTTATCTTAACTAGGATGTTCGAGAAGACATTCGAGGTGCACAATCTGCTGGATTCCATGGCATCTTATTGCAAACAGGAAAATATCGTTCTGGTGATGAGGAAAAGATTAATCCTAAACCAGAACATGTCTTTCCATCTATTGCCGAAGCAGTTGATCACATTTTGAAGCAAATTGATGGATAAAGTGATGTTTCTTCCAATTTTAATCTACCAAATTTTATAGTTTTTTTCGATAAATTTGCAAGAATTGCCAAGAATTATATCTTACAATTAAAAACATTTATAATTGCTTTAGCTGTGATTGTAGGCGAATGTAATTTCGAGATTAGACTCATTGAAAGTTGAAGTACAATAAATTAAACCAAACATTGATGAAAATGTTTTAATGGACATTCTATTGACTAATGATTAGAAATCGGGATTATGAGCATTATAAGTAAACTTGTGAATAAAAGTGAAGGACCAATAATTAGATAAATCCAGATTAATAAATACTTACACAAGTTCACCAGCAACAAATATGTAATCTCAAATAAAAGGAATTGAAGTTGAAGCACGAGTAACACAATGAGAATTTGATAAGTGTTTAATTTTTTAACATGTGTGAGCAATTATTTGATTGGAGAAGTCAAATTGAATAAGAATCCCAATCATTAAATATCTTGCAAGATAATTTTAAAAACTGTAAATTAGAAAGAAGACGGTTACTCTTAACCGGCTATTTGGTTATTGCGAGCATAGAACGAGTAACCGGTTAGTGGTAACCGTCTTTGATAAACAAACTTGAGGACAGTTTGCAAATAAGTTTTTAATTATTTTACATGTACTTAATTTAAAAAGTATACCCAACCATGTTTTAATCATAATTTATATCTCTCCTCGCCTAGTCCTTGTTAACTTTTCTGTTACTCTTAAAACTGATTTGGTTTTTATTGAAAAGTCTCTACACAATCTCCAGGTGACTTGTCTTTGGCATGGATGACTTTTTTAACACTTCACGACATCCAAGAAAATCAACTAACAAAAGACCGAGATCGGATAATCATGGTACTGATGTCACGTTAGAAGATGAAACACAATTGACCAATGAGTTCTTGCCCGTCAGAGGAAGTAAGTATTCATTTAATTTATATGACAGCCATTTTTCAATGATAATTTATACCTGTGCTACATAATCTATGTTAACTTTTTTGTTGCTCATAAAACTAATTCTGATTTTTATTGATAGTCTCCACACCATTTCCAGGTGCTTTACCTTTTGGCGTGGAGGAAACGTTTCACACTTCAGGAGATCCAGCAAAAGACCGCTTGTTTAAAATATTTTTCCTCAAATCACAAGACTGTGATGGACTACGATCAGCCTACAACTCGCTTTTACGCGAGGTGTTCAATCCTCGCTGGATTGATTTCTCAGAAATTGATGAAATGATCTCGCTTCATGAAAATCCTGTTTTAGTTTTGGATTCATTCGAATCTAGCGAGTTTTCACTTCTCAAATCCAAAAAGAGTCTAAAAATTTTTTCAGCTTTTGCCTTGCTCTCAATAAATCCAAGAAAGCCTAAAGACTTGCTTTCATTCAAGCATCCTCACATCGCCAGTACTTGTATGAAAAAAGTATCTTTAACATTCTCTGGTATTTCAGATAATTCTGTTGTTTCTGAAATTAGGAGTAAAACTCGTGCCATGGGTGGTATTTTTAAACCAGCACTATATGCAAAGACAACTCACATTGTTGCTACAAACTGGAACACCGAAAAAGTGAAACATTTTAGGAAAGCAAACAAGCCTGTGATGCGTCCTGGATGGGTATTTAGATGCTGGGAAAAGAGAGAAGATATTCTTGATATAAAAGAGTTAGACCCTCAAGAGTTCACTCTACCTGTGTTTGCAGGGATGAATATTTGTGTATCGGGGGTAAGTTTTAAAAATTAAAGTTTCTCTAATTTTACAGCTGACTTTTTTTTCTTCTTTTCAGTTTGAACAACGTGAAAGAATAAAAATTAAACAAATGGTTGTTACAAACGGAGGCAATTGGCATTCCGGGTTACTTTTGAACCAATACGATGCTGATACTGAGTATACACAATCAACTCAAATTGATCCTAATAACAAAACTACTCATTTGGTTGTAGCTAGTAAAGCTGGTGACAAATATAAAGCTGCAATGAGTGACCCAGACGTAAAAATTGTTAATATTGACTGGATCAATAAATCACAACTTCAAGGGATTCCACAAATGGAAGATGATCCAAAATACTGTTTAAGAGACGACAGTGCTATGAATGAGTTGAGACGAGCAGAAAGGGAAAGAAAACGTAAACAATTACAAAGTTGTAGTCAAAACAGTACTACTTCAACTCAAGACAATTCTTTGCCCGTTCTTCCTCTCAAAAAGGATATTTTTACCATAATTGAAAAACTAGTTTTCACCAAAACGATTCCTTCCACTGTTGTTTTCGATGGACTCAGTTTTTGTTTTTGTGGCTTAGGCACTAATTATCATCAAAATGTAAAAAAACTCATCTCTCGTCTTGGAGGCATTGTTTATAACGAACTTGTATCTGCAGTTACGCATGTTATTATTGGACCTCATATGACTTCTCGTGATGCATATAATCTCAATCGACACGAAGAAAAATATCGAAGTATATCTAAAGTGTCCTTAGAGTGGGTGGTGGAATGTGCAGAAAATGGGAAATTGTGTCCTCCATACTTTGACGATAAATTAGAAAAATTCTTAGAGCAAATTAGTTCCACGCAAGATTTACCAGCCAATGACGCTAAGGATGTTGCTTATGCAAGAGCATTGAAACGAGCAGATGAATTCACTAAAGAAATTGATTTGGTTGAAAAATTGAACCAAAATAACAACAAAAATAATCCCAAGAGTAGTAACAGTAATGTTAAAAGCGGTTTCCGAATGGGTTCATTTTCAGCTGCGGCCAAATTAAAGATTAAAAGTATTCCAAAAAGACGGGAGAGCAATAATCTTAGCATCCCTGTTGAATGGGCAAATTCATCTAACGAATGAGTCTTTTCTAATTAGCACTTGAATTTGTATATTTTTATAAAAACTCAATATCAAATTTTAAACTTTATACTCATCAACTCTGTAATGTTTATGTACAAAAATATGAATACAAATTTTTTTATTTCTATTAATCTGAAATCTAAAATCCTCATCAAGTTAATTTGTAAATAATAAACTTGATAGATATATCCAATGATGATTGAAAATTAAATTGTTTATTCCATATACCATAATAATATGTAATAATATCATATGCCATAATTATGTATCAACTCTTAACTCCTCACATTTTCAAAATACGAAGATAGTGAATCGACCTTGTTGATAATGAACAAAATTACTCCTACTTCAGGCTGTTCCATAATTCTTAGATGTCATGTTTATTCTTGGAACAATTTTGGTGATCTCACATGTAATATATGATACAAAGATGAGCGAATAGGAAAAACCCACAAACAATACTGATTAGAATCATTATTGATAGTAGCAGATAATATTGTTGCGATTGTAAACAAATATACCTTTGAAAGATTTTCTCTTGGACAGTCTAAACAGGTAAAAAAAGCAGGAACCATGAAACAAAAAGCTTTCTTCCTTAACCAAGGAAAGAATCAGCAGAACAACAAAAAATAATAAGAAAAGCAAAATGTTAAAGGATAGGGTTTCTTTATGATAACCTGGTAATATTAATAATGATATCGAGTCATTGAGAGGCTAAACTAAGGAAACAAAACAAGACCAGAAATATAACAATGAAGTCTAAAAAAGTAGAGCTACAGAACAAAGAATTGCCTTTATTGCGAATCAAGTTGGACAGGAGAAAGAAAATGTTTTGTTATTAATAAGCTTAATGATAAAACGCCTGTTTCTTCGTTAGCACATGGGGATTCAATTCACTAAACCAATAATGTTATTTATCAATTTGATTTGTCTTGAAAACTGAGATAAATTAAAGTGAAAACTGACGTTCAACAAAAGGAAAGAAATAAAAGTAAAATTCATCGATTCCTTCGAGTAAACCCATTAAGTAGCCATTAATTTAGATTACTTGATTCACAATGTGTTACCCATGTTTGCCTCACAATTTATAAGGCGTAATTAATCATAATGAAGCTTTCTTTCATGGTTAAATCACAAATCATAATGTTACCTCAATTAGCTGTTAATTGTGTTTACTGTTGTTTGATGTTTCATGTCAAAACTTTATCATTACCAATTTTCAATGGATGCTGATGACATTTACAAGGACTTGAGGGACATATGAAGTATGGCAAGAATTAAAACCAATCACAATCGGGTCAAATGAAAGCAAATCACAATAAATCACAATCAATTTTGATGATAATATTCAATTTTCTCAAGTAATAGTACAGTTTGTATCTTGCAGTAAAACTAATCATTTGTTAAAAGGTAATGTGAAACATTTTCAAGTGAAGAGACATAATGTAAACCTAAAAAGGATAAAAGTGTTGGTTTCAACCGAAAAGCTTCCAATTTAATCAACATCTTGACCATTTCAAGGTTCACATTTAACATGCAGAATTAACTGAATTGCTAAGTTTACCAAATAAAATTAAAGAGTTGGGTAACAACAATGAAATGACCATTTTCATCATGCATTAGACAAAAAGATTGTTGGTCAAACCAAACCAAGACTAATACTGAACCAGGAAAAGCCAACAAACCAGATTATAACCACTCTCTTTGTACATCATCATTATCGTCTTATGTGGGTTAAACCAAAGGATTCACTTTTAAATGTACACTTTTATATTAAGCAACTGTACTAATAGTAATTGTCATTTGTATTACAATACTGATGGTATAAAAGCAGCATTAAACCAGAAAACAATCCTTGGTTTGATTTTGGTTGTTGGATTGTAAAAGTGGACACTTTAAAAGTGAAGCTCATGTTGAAGAATCAAATTTACATGGTTTGTTGAAATCAAATCATCATTTATCTTGATGATCGAGTCCATTACAGTTTGATGGTTATGATCATATTATCATCAGTAAACTAATGTTAAGGCAGCTCTTGGGATATTTAAGAAGGTAAAGTTTGACGCATTGATTTGATTTTTTCTGGCCTTTCTTCTTGGACATCACCAAAAATAACAATCAAATTTCAATTGTAATAACATTGTAATGGTAATCGCCAACTAATAATACATTTTACAAGTTGAATCTGTTTCTTGCCCTTTAACTTGGATATCGATTGAGTTTACTTATACATTGTAATGTTATAGTTAATAACACTGAAACTACTAAATCATCATAAATCAATTGACTTACAAATGATGGACCAAATTTTTCGTGTCTCTTGTTTAATCAAAATTTTGCCTACTTTTTGACCAAGAAAAAAAGCATCAAAATTGACTTACAATTGTTGTTAACAAAAAGCTTGACTCTAATTGTAATCAATCCATTTAAACGTATCGCAACTCCGTTTGACTTTGTTCACAAGACAGATTGAAATGTCTGAGCAAATTGTAATTTAAAAGCTCTTTTCATACACAGAATGGAAAGATCTTCCTCTGAACTGATTCGATTACGAAGTAATCATTAAAATATATAAAACATGTAACAAACATCAATCGGAAAAAGTAAACCTTCTCAGAAAGGGACCTTAAAATGTCATTTAGAGGTCACATAGCTGAACAACATTGAATTTCTGGATTTATGGTTCTTTCATTTTGAAATCCTGCTGACTGAATATTATCAAAATCTGACTTCTGGTTCAAAAGTTATTAGCACAAACGAGCACTCAGCTTAGATATAGATTACATTGTTAAGACTAAAGATAATTTTGATTTCTTGCTTAACGCAAAAATAACCAAGACTTAACCAGAAATCTCAACCAGAAGTTGAAAGTGAAAGCAGTTATGATTGAGATTAAATTCAAAATCTTATATGCAGTTGATTTCACCAAAACTGGTTAAGCTTCCTGATCAAGTCAACTGTTTTAGTCTATTAGCGAAGAGAATAAAAATGATTAGTGGAAACAATATATCTAAATGTGTCAAGATGATCACAAATTGAGCAATTAAACTCAAGGGTTAAATTGTCATATGTAAGTGAAAAAACCGTTGATGTATCAAGGTGAAACTTTTGCTCATCGAAGGTTTTCACCGTTGATCTCGGCTCGTCAACTCACAGTTATTTAGATGAAAAACTGGTTTTAAAATTGCAACTTGAATTTTTATTTCACACAAGATTCAAACCAAATCGATGGTGAAAAAATTTCAAGAATTTTTGGTACCTACAGTAAACTCTAATGATTAAATTAAATTTTTTGCTTGACAAGGCGAGTTACACTGACAGTTGTAAGCTGGAGAAGCAAATCAAGTTTAATAATGTGACAACTCAACTCAAGTTTACCCTTGACTTGGATGGTCAATTTATTTTAATTAACTCAGCCATTCAAGCCATTTATTTACTCATTTAACTCCTCATCACAATCAACAGCGATTTGAGATGTACACTCAGCATTACATTTTTTGGGTTTGCTGTTGAAAAAGCAAATGAATCTGAAATGGATTGAATAGAAGAGCAAAGTACGAGGAAAAATCTCCAAAACTTCTAATTGGGTCAACAAAATTATTCTACCATTAAGTGTCAATCAGTAAATGAATTGTGAAATGAAAAGCTCAAGTAATCAAGTAAGTAAATAAAATAAAATGGCATCTTCAGTTAGCCTGACGATCAATGATGAGTTGACCATTGATCTACTCAGAGTTGGTGGAAAATTATTCTTTACTCTCTGTTGAACAACCAATCTTAATCAATCTAAATCAATTGACAATTATCAGCAATTTTACACTAAAAAGTTGAAAAAAGGAAGAGAAACAAAGATTATGTTAAACGGATAAAAAGTGAAGGGTTTATCATGGTTGGAAGTAAACATGAGATTCAATGAGCGAGAAAAGTAGATAGGAAAATATAGTTGAACATTGAAGACACAAAGGCAAAAGAAATAGATCCAAAATTCAGCTCTTAATTCAGCTTTCAGGAATTTACGCATGAATCTTGATGAAATTGGTGGATGAGAGTAAAAAAGAGGTAAAACCTTTACAGTGAGTGTTATCCTTTCAACCTGAAAACTAGAAGCAAGGAAAAAAAAGTTTCAAGTTTTTTCCTTTTATATTTAAAAAGAAATACAAAAAATGAATCACAGAACGTAAAAAAACTGAGTGATGAAGTGAACAATTTGATAAATTGTTGAACAGTTGAAAAAAAATGGTTTGGTAAAAAAACTAGGTTAAAATTTAGGTACTCGAATCAATGTAGAGAGGGAAAAGACACAAAAGCAAAACACTCAATCACCTACTGTAATGCATTATAAATTGTTAACCCAACAGTTGGCCATTTTTGTTTACAATCACTGTTATAGTGTCCATTGTTTACCATATCTTTGGTTGTTACATCTTTAATTAGATTCAATTTCAGCAACATTACATGATCGGTTTACATATTGTGATCAACAATCTGTTAATTAATAAGTGAAAATATTTGTGGTGCCAATCAAGTTGATTGTATCAACCGTCCAAACAAAGAAAACCAAAAATCAAGAGGAAAAAAGAAATACTTGATTCCATAGTAACCAAACAAGAAACCCAAAGTTAACCGTTAAAATGGATATAACCAGATACAAATTTGGAATTACAAATAGTTCATCTTTAGTGTCAGCCTCTTCTTATCTGATTAAATCAATTTTAACCAATGTTTCACCTTCTGCCTCTCCCTTATCTTTAACATCTTTACCGTCTTCTCCTTTATCTTCCATAGTTGTGTTGCCTCCTTCAAGTTCAAGTTCAACGTCACCACCTTCACCGTTGCCGCCATCGGAGGCTTCTCTATCTGGTGATGAGTCTATTGATAACTCTGAGGCTAGTTCTGAGGGAATTTATCAAATTCCTCCTTTGATGATAGTCTTTTTAACTTCAATTTATCTTCTTGTTTCCCTTTGTGCCGTCATTGGTAACTCAATGGTTCTCTGGATTGTTATAAAATCCAAACGAATGCGAAATGTAACCAACTTTTTCATTGCAAATCTTGCCGTAGCTGATCTTGTTATAGCATCGCTTGCTGTGCCCTTTCAATTTCCAGCAGCTCTACTTCAACGATGGGTTCTACCTCATTTCATGTGTTCCCTGTGTCCAACAGCTCAAGTAGTTTCCGTAAATGTCTCCATTTTCACCCTAGTTGCCATTTCTCTGGATCGTCATCAAGCAGTTAC